ATAATAATAATAATAATAATAAAAGTAAAGAAAGTGGAAAGATATCCTAATGCTTTATTATTATATTTATTATACCTATATTATTATAACTAAAAAGGAAGCGTAGGTTTAATAATAATGTTAAATAGGGTAGAAAGAATAGCTAAAATGCCGTTATACCTTTACGCCTACGGAAATAGTAGGAAATATAATACTTAAAGCTTCAATAAAAAGTATCTAAGCTATCGTAGCTAATTTAAAAAATCGACTAATATTAGCTATAAAAGTAGTAATAGCTGGGATCTATTATATTAAGCCGTAATATGGTTACTATGATAAGGTTAATTCAGACTTGACTTCACCTTCTAAAACAGCTCCCGAGACACACTCCCGCAATATGTCTTTAGAGCTGAGATCCTTCCAAAAATGGCAATTCAAGTATCCAGCGTGCTGTAGATGGTGTCGAGGATGCTCACTAGGATCCAGCCATGTTTCATAATCTTGGTGGTGTAGAATCCATTCACAGGTGTTAGCATGTGGTGGCTTTATATTTAATTCTCGGGAAACAATGCTTTCAAAGGATAATGAATGCATTATGGCATCCAGGTCCTCTGACGACATCCTCTTCCTAGCTAAGAACTATTCATAAGCTGAGAATAATCTGACCCTCCAGCGATACACGTACCCATTTTGGATGCTTGGTCTTCTGAGATAGGCATCGCGAGAATGAGCTCCTTCGCGAAGGCGGCGGCGGCCGCCGCAGCGTAAGGCTGCCATGATTTGTTCTTATGGCTATCGGCGTAGTCGCAAATAGAGCGGATGACCAAGCTTCGATGACTTTCTATGATTCCTGCGCCCTCCATCTCAATGCAGAGTGCCTGAAACTGTTCTACTAATTCGCGTCTCTTCTCTGGAGATTTGATGAGTGAGTTTCCAGACGCTATAACACCGTAATAGATCTTCGGATCGTTGGTTTCCCGCCGTTTTCGCTTGACAAGCTTTGATCGGTCGCAATTATCACAGGTGTTGTTTAGTTCGGGATGGTTGTATGTATCATGGAACAGGAAATCTTTGAGTGATCGTCTGTTTGCGAAGCTCTTCATCTTGGGATTTTCTGCGACCATTTCACAAATGAGAGTCGGCACTTTAGATCCATCCTTCAAATGCGTCGATTTTAATTTAGTAAGGGCGGTCCGAAGCCTCTCCGAAGGACGTAGTGGAAATGCCTTTGTTTGGAACTTCTGATCGTGAAGCTCTTTCCTTAAATCATACTGGATCACCTGATCGCCGACCACGATATCGCCCAGGCGCACATCAGCGTTCTTAGTAAGGCCGGTGCCACCAGCAATTCCAACGACGAGGAAATCTTCAACGGAAGGAAAAGTTCTGTGCATGTTGTTCGCCACAGTAGCAGCATTCACCGTACCGTATCCATCACTTGGCAGACCTGCGATAACAACGTTATGCCCTCCAATCCTGCCAAAGGTGTAGGTATTGGGGTCACCCCGCGATCGGGGAATATCCTCATGAATCTCATCCAGCATAGCCTCGGCGGCAGCATACTCCTCAGGCAACGCTGCGACCCAGCCAATAGTATAGTCACCATAGGTGAGTTTCATTCGCTTCGACTGCTGCTCGGCATCTTCATCCCCCATGCGTCTTTTGCGGCCAGCAATTAAGCTCATTTTGTTGGCTCCAAGAAGACGACACAGCTAAGCATGTAGGAAAGGAGGAGGCTTAACGACTCGTTAAAAATAACTAACCAAGGATGTTCATACGGCCGGTTGGCGATCAATTGAGTATGGATTACCGCTGTTCCCATAACAAAGGTGATTTAACTATTGCCAATAGATCAATTCCAAGAGAATGATGGTCGGTTCGGTATTTACTGATCCGGAAAGCAGATGGTAGGTAATCAACGACGAGACTAGGGACTGGGAGCAGTACACTGCAGATGAAGGGATGAGCAAAGATGGAAAAAAGGAGGTTGAATGCGGCCCGACAATCTGACGCAGGGGATACATGTAGAGATTGGACTTGGGCTGCCATACTCATGCGATTCACTGGCCCGGGTGCTTTCCGAAGCCAGGCAGGCAGGCAGGCAGGCAGCGCGAACGCTTACACCGACCTGCCCCAGCATTAGATAGCTGTCCACATCATGCCTACCTAAGTAGGTATCGGGGCGAAGTAGACCACCCCTCGCTATCACATGCTGTATAGGGAGTCTAGACTCGCCCGCTGCTTGGGTAAGATAATCTCTGCATCTGTTCACAACTTGCAAAATGTGGGAGTGAGAAGTGGCAGAGTGGGGGCTGAGAATCTGCCGCTGGTGAGGTTAAGTGGGGGTTTTTGGGGAGGGGGTTACTGTCTGACCTACCTGGCAGACTCGAGATCATGCAATAGCAACGGTAGGAAACAGCATCTACCCACCTACTCAGCCGCTCTTGCTACCTCAAATATTGGGTATGGGAGGCAGCCCGTGCCACAACCCAGAGCACCTCTATTTGCACGTGTAAAAATGTGTACCTACCTTCGTCCCGATGTACTTCTCAAGGCTAGATCCAATGTGACTCTGACAGCAGATTGGCAATATATGTTCAACGGATTGAATTGGACGTAGACGCATTTAAATCTGATCTCATGTATACTTCCCTCTTTAAATATTCTAGAAACCATCCCCCCTAGGCACCAAATGCTAGCTAATATCCTTTGATCATCATTACATAGGAGCCTGCCATCTCATATTAATCTGCTTTTTCCGAACCTGTGACAAATCATCAGTATATACACATGTGAGGGAGAAGGGCAAAGGAGGGTTGGGGAAAGAGAGAGAGGGAAAAAAGAAAGTGGGTTAGTATGCAACGAATTGAACGAAATGAGGGGCGTGAGAATATACTCACCATAGGACCTAATCCAAGCACGCCCAAAAACAGCGCCGCAACCGTAGCCAAAAGAGTGACTTTATTGAACCCCTTGCCCAGGATATCAAAGGCCTGTGAGGGCGCGACCCTCGAGCCGAAGACATCAACGCCGTACGCGAAGACGAGACACGTGCTCTCAAGAATAGCCGGGGCCGCGATGATCTCGCGGACGCCGAGGACGTCGCGCGTGTGGGACACCGTCATGCGGGCATCGAGCTCGATGGCGGGGACGTAGCGCGAGAGACCCTCCTCGAGCTCGGCCGGGGTGGGGTCGCGGCCGACGGGGCGGCGGGGCTCGAGGAGCATGCGCGGGATGGCGATGATGGAGTGCGATTCGGGCATGTACGCCAGCAATTGTCTGATGGCAATGCCCTGGCGTGTCTGCGTGACTGCTAGCGAGGTGATGGGGCCTGAGAGGATGAATGTCTTGGAGACGACGGAGGGGAGCGCTGGGCCTGTGGGCATGTCCACGGGGTCGAGAGAGGAGAAGTTGGCTGCGTCGCCTAGGGGGCCACGATCGTTGGCGAGTTCAGATTCATATAAATCGGAAATGACGACCTGGTAGCCCTTGAGTTTCTGGTCCTGAGACTCGCGCAACTGGAATTGACCGTAGAAAGTGCACAGGAACCAGTTTTCGGAGAGGGTGCAAGTGATATCCTTGTTAGGATCGACTCCGTCATAAGAGGAGGAAGCTAGGACCTCTCCAGATACGGTATCCAAGAGATAAGTATATAAGGTAGATGTCTTGTCGTCAATAGCAGCAACCACAATTGTGTTGGGGTTTAGATACTTGTACTTGACTGTCCTATCACCAAGGACCCGACCGATAGAAGCAATGGGATCGTGTTGTGGGCGAGTCGCAATGTTGACAATGTGTTGCCCAGTAGAAGGAGAGAAGTTCCAGACTGGTACTGCAGAGGCTAGCCCATCTTTCCCTACATATCTGAACCCCTGAATCTCACTCTCCCCCGTGCGAGTAACTACGGTTTGTTTAGGAGCCCAGCCAGGCTGAAGGTCACCAAGTTTCCCGTCACGTTCAATAGGTAAGAGCCACGGTCCGGCGTCGCTGTCTACCATGATGGCATCATCAACTGGCGGAAAGAGACTAGATGGCATAGACTCCACGGTTTTGCCTGTATCTGATTTCACGATTATGAATTCGCCTTCCGAACCGCGAACTGTAACGAATCCCTTGACATTGTCTGCGTGGATGGCCTTAACATCCCAATGTCTGCCGGACGGTGTCTCGTTGGCTTTCTTGGACCATACAACCTGTCCGTGGTTGCCAGCATTGAGACCGTATAGCTTTCCACGCTTAGTCGCCAGAACGACAAGTTTATTGAATCCAAAACTATCCCTCTTGACTTCTTCAGTAGAATCTGTGCTCTCAGAGCCGACGATACTACTAATAAGACGTTTCGGGATAGACTGTAGGTAGGCGGGCAGGTATTGAAGGTCGTTGATGTGACGGTTCACGCGATGTACGTATGCCGACCATGGGTTGCTATGGGCTTCGGCCTCTAGTGTTCTTGCTAGATCCTCCGATTCGGGAATCTCGGCCCATGTAGCAGCTACAGCGCCGCTCAGGCCCTCAAGGCGTATCCAGCTGATCTCTCCATTGACGATCTGGGTCCAATCATCTGAGTCTGTCACAACGGCGGCCCTCACAGCGTAGCTATCTTCGGCCTTCTTGATAACTTCAGAGACGCCATGTAGAGCACTAGGCTTTTCAGTTCCTGGTTTGAAAGACCAACGGCCGAGAAGGCCATGGGAAGTAGATGAAGTTATAGTAATCTCATTATCCGTTACTCTGGTGAAATACACGTTGGCGCCGGTTGAGCTTGTTGAAAAGGCACTGCTACCCTTAAGCAATGGGAGCTCATATGCTTTGGTAATGGCGCTGTTCTTAAGGTCGATGTGAAAGACGTCGGCCTTATTTCCAGACTTTGTTCGACTGTGTACTAGGAAATGAGGTGATGACTGTATGGTATGTGGAGCATGGATCTCCACCTCTATCGTGTCCGCGGGAAGGGCGAACTCCTGCTTGGTTTTGCGGCCGAGCACATTGACCTGAAGCTGGGTCATTGTGTGATCTGTCCATGCGACGATAGGGGCAGCCGAATTCGCACCGACGAACATGACATCTTCAGGCTTCTGGACCTCATTCTTGGTGCCAAGCGGGATCTCGTCCAACTTCTTACCAGTCAAGGTGTCCAGCACTATGACTTTCAGACTATATGAGAGGAGCGACCCATGGAGACTCACAACAAAGATCTTGTCTAAGCTGGTGCTCACTTGTAAAGGAATATCCTTATTCACGTCCTTATGTTCCCAGAGGACGTGCCCTTCTGTACCGTGGATTCTTCTTGTGATTGTTGCGCCAGGCTCTTGGTAGAGAGCTAATACATCCTTGCCCCCTCGTTCAGTCATCTCCATGACCTCCACATCTTTAACCACACCATTGGCGTTTAAGGACCAGGCATTGCGACCAGTCAATGCATCCCATGAGCTTACGGAGCTACCGTGTGCGCCAACTAGCCATGTCTCATGTTCGGGAGCGCGCAAAAAACCCCCACCATCGGTGATGTTGCCAGCTAGCAACTGTCGCCATACGATAGCGCCATTACTGGGGTTCACGGCGCCGAGCACGCCCAGGTCACTGAGGGTATACAGAAGGCTGGCCTTCTCTTCGGTTCGGGGTCGGTGGAAGAAGGTAGTTTCGCGCTGGGGGACGCCGAGGAGCTCGTGGTGATAGTCGATGTGTCCAACCTCGTCTTGGAAAACGGCGCGAACGCCAGCAGGTAGAGCGAGGAGAACAGACAGCGAAAGCGCCTGGAAGGATAAGTACATCTTGCTAGGACGAACTCATGTGCAAGGCGCACGTATGGCGTATATCAGTGGTTGAAGAGGAAGGAATTAAACAAGATAGCCGGTCATTGGTCGTGGCATCAAGCAAGCGGCCTACAATTAAGGTGTGCAAGCACACCAAGCTTATTGGTAGGTAATTGGTGACGTTTTTTGACGTCCTAGCGGTAGCTCCAAGAACTTGGGTGGATGAAAGTACCTAAGTACCTTGGTGGGATGCGCGCGATCCCTTCTCAGTAGCACTTGGCACCGGTCACTACCAGCTGTTTAGGTAGGTACATCGAGTATGTACCCACGACGAACGAACTTTACCTACAAAGGCCCTTGATCGCATCTACCGTAAAACATAGCGAATATAGTTACAATTAATAAGTCATTCAAGGAGATCCTCGTCACCGTGAGGTTATTAAAGATATCCTCAAGACTTAGGTCTCAGGAAAAGTTAATGTTACATGTGCTGTAAACTCGAAACTATCATCAGCCAACTTGGTCAGTCCCGAATAACATCGCTCGCAGACTGCGCCATCTTCAGCATTATTGGTCAGACAAATTCCAGGCTCTTCCGCACCGAGATCATACAGAGAATGTCAGACTGTCCGAATATGAGAGGGAAATTAGGAAAAGGGACAGTTTGAGCGATAAAGCGACAAAACGAATACCAGTGGGTGAGTAATCAGCACGACTACTCGCCATCGGCTTTGCTGCGTAGCAGGTTAAAACCAGATGCTATGCGCACACTCTCTCTTTGAACTTACGCCTTCGTACTGCGACGCTTGCCACCTTTGGGAGCAGTAGCAGCAGCTTTCGCCTTACGACCGACTTTGCCTTTTGCCACCGCCTTGGTGATCGGCTCATCGTCATCTGGCTCATCATCATCCTCAGGGGCGGGGGGAGGTGATGGTTCCTTCTTTGCAGCTTTTCTACCTCTGCTTTTCTTCGCAGGGACGGGTTCCTCAGGTTCCTCGGGTTCCTCCTCCTCCTGCTCCTCCTCCTCCTTGACAGGTTGTTTGGTGGAGTTGCGACCGGCTTTTCCCTTCTTGACAGGTTTTGCTACCTCGTCATTATCCTTCTCCGCTGCGTCGTCCGTCTTAGCCTTACGGCCACGGGCTTTCTTCACTGGTTTGACTTCTTCCTCTTCTTCCTCCTCGACTTTCTTGGCTTTACGGCTAGATTTAGCCTTCTTCTTCACTGGCTCAGGCTCTTCCTCAGCTTCTTCTTCTTCGTCCTCTTCTTGCGCCTTCTTGCGGCCGCGCTTGGCGCCAGCGGTTTTCTTTGGGGCAGCTTTCTTGGGAGTTGTGGCATCTTCACCAGCCTGCTGCATGTGAGTGAAGAGAAGAGTAAGTAGATTAGGGATGAATGATCTCACCTCGTCGTCACTACCTGCTTTGGCCTTCTTGGCACGACCTCTAATCGCTGTTTTGCCAGGTACATTAAAATCAGGATCCTAGCAATATAGTTAGGCATCTAAGTACAGCCCGAGAACTGGCGATATTGTTCCAAATTGAATATTGACAAGGTAAGGTAGGTCATAATTAGTGGTGAGATGCATGATAATGTGAGACTCACGCCATTGAAGTCCTCAGGATCAATGTGACCTTGAGTTACGACGCGTTGAATTTTCTCCTGGAGATCGGAATCTCTGTATTTCAGTCAGTAAAACAAGATGGATGAAAATGAGAGGAAGCCACGGTATTCATACTCAATCTCGTCATAGCCATCCAGCATGTTCCAATCATAGCTGCCATCATCCTGTTTGATGGCATTTTGAAGGTTCTCAATGCTTTTGCCCGAAACGCAGCCCCTGAGCAACAAGAGTCAGTAAGGATAAGAAACAAAAATATTATGGTCATGATTAGATAGGCTTACCAATGACGCCATTTCCAAGATCCCTTTTCAATGGTGGGCACGACAAACCAGACACCAAAGCGTAACTCACCTTTGGTGATTTTGTGCTTGGAATCTTTGCATACTTTGTCCTGGCAGCCGGCGCGGTTATTGGGAGAGATCTCTACGAGAACAGTCAGTGATCTGATCCGAAAGTATGTGTCTCGTGTGTTCGGTGTGAACGTTATGAGGTCTTGGGTGCTAGCTAGAAGTATCACTTGGTATTACGTGTTGTAGAGCAAAGAAAGAGTGGAGGGGAGTTGATGAGATACAGACGCGACACCGAGGTCCATCAGACAATGCAGGTTTTCAACAATGAAAGGGGGAACGCACCAATACGGTAAGACATTTTGTCTTAAGCCCAGACAGCAGATGCTGCAAGGTATGATATGTGAAATGTGAGATACGAGACAAGTGTGTTGTCTAGGAGTAGATAAGGTAATAGTGATGAAGATGAGGTTGAGGTTGAGGGTAAGGGTTCGAGGTTGTTGTTGCAATCGACCAAGGACTGGTCAGCTCAAGTCAGATTTTGGGGTGGAACTTGCCCAAGAACTAGACTAAGGGAAGGACAAGAGCACTGCAGCGCTAAGATCAATAGAGGATTCAGAGACAGAGACAGAAACAGGCACAGGAACAAAAGAGTCGACGTATGAAGAGTAGTTCAGCTGGAACATGAAGAAAAGGTAGGTAGTGAAAGCAGGCTGTGACGGGAAGCAGGGTGATGAGTGAATGGGCTTTTGTTGGCCTGGCGCGTTTGGAAAGTGCCGGAGAAGGATACGGCGGGGTGCCAGTTGGTACCTGCGACGTGAGGACTGGACTGGGGACACAGACAGCTTTGTCTACCCAGGTACCTTTACAAGTGCAAGTATCTATTCCCCTATCTACCTATGTAACTCTAGACAATAGATTGATAAGAATAGACAATGCAGAGAGAGAGAGAGAAAGGGACAAGCGCCAGCCGAGATGGCTGGCGAATGAATGGATTGACGGATGGGATCAATGGTTGTGCAGGTAACGAGATACCTGATACCTACCTACCACCACTCGAGACAGTCCCTACATGCTCACTGGGTTGAAGACGCGTTTTTTGGTGGTAGGTGGATAAACAATTTACATTCTACAAATTACCTGCTATACCACAATGACTTGGGTGCCTGCCAGGCGACTAATAAGGACTATCTTAATGTTCTGTGACAGGAAGCGTACGAACAGCTTCGTCCTCCCGTTGTTTCTTCCTGTTTTTTTTTTTTTCTATCTCCCAGATTATTTTCTTTTGCCTCTGGCTTGATTGTAATGACGTGATGAATGCAGTACTTACAGCTAGCTGGTGACGGGATGGCACCATTTAGTGTAAGGACAGCCTATCCACGCGGACCACTCTCGCCTAGAATACAGCACTAGAACCACTACAACCGCTGTAACGCCAGAGATACCAGGGCCTAACAGAGGCTCCACACATGGCCTGATGATACCTGCAAGTGATGGTAATAATACTCGATGTTTCGCGATAACGAGGGAGGGAGGATCGCGAGGTCAAAATAATCTCATGCATGTACCTAGAATGAATAGGGGTGCTGCGTGATTCTTGAAGTGAAGTAGGAAGAAAGTCAATTGGTTTACTTCTACTGTTTGCAATTATGCCGACCTAAACCTTGGTGAATAAAGCCTAAGATGACAGAGACTGTAACTCAACCTACCTAGGCATTTGCAGACACTGGACGGTAGGTATATGTGGGTATAAGAAAAAATGAATTGGCATTATCTTTATCATATTTCACATTACATTCTTAGTCTGTCCCCTACCTTGAGCACAATATATTGGGGCTGGCCGAACTCTAGTCATCGAGGCGTTCTAAAACCCTCGAATCCTTTTATATGCAGTATACCAGCTAATGTAACCTTACCAAGTCCCTAAAGGAACGGACACCACCCAATGTACATGGCTGAAAGGTTCTTCGGGTCAACCGCCTGCTTAATAAGTTCATCAACCTGTCCCTCCACACCAAGCGGAATGCTCTCGTCGGGAAGCAAACCCTGGACTTTCCTCTTGATGCTCTGTACCACACTCTGTGGGTTGAGTCGTACCACCTCATGCTTTTTACGCTTGTCTTTTTGAAGATCCAAAGTGGGATCGTAGATAAACGCCTCCAAGATGGTCATGAGTGTCTCTTCCTGCTGTCGAAGAATGCTCAGCGTCAATTCCGAACACTTCCTAAAAGGCCCTTCATATCCATATATGCCCATCGCGGCCACCATGTTGTGCGTGAGTCGGAATGGTACTCGTTCGGGTTGCGCAAAGGTAAGACCTTTGTCAAAGAGACAGTTAAAGTCGACGTGGAAAATACCGCCGTTGCCTTCTTCAAACAATACATTCTCGCCGTGACGGTCGCCCAGTCCCAAAATTGTCCCAACCATCGACATGACGGCGCAAGACCGAGTATACCTGAGCCTGGCTGTGAACCAAGCGGACGGGTTGGGAAACTGTGATATGAACCAATTGGGTAGCACTGGTGGGAACATGCCCAGTACACCGTCCGTAAATATTTTGGTGTTCTTATCCCCTGTGGCGGCATTCTTCATCATTTCCTGCAGAGCACGATAATCGGGAACGATTCCACGCGAACGGTAGATAGTCAAGAGTATATCACGCAGTGTCTTAAGACCTTCCACCCATTCAATGATACCGCATTCCTCGTTGAGTGGCGTAACTGCGTAGGTTCGAACATATAGCTGCCGTCGGCTCGACTCTGCATCCCGCTTTAGCGATCGGTTGATTATACCGTTGAACTCCATTAGCCGCTGGTCGGTACGAAGGTCATCCTTGGGCTTAATTAAAAGTCCATAATTGACACCATTTGAGCCGCGAGCTGTGAGTTTCCGAGGTTTCGCAAGGGAATTGAGAACCAAAACCTCATCAAGAAATGAGTCAATTGTAATGACATCCCCAGAGAACGCCTTATGCCGTTTTGAGTTATCAGTTAGTGTGGGAAGCGTCGCTGTGAGACACGTTTCGACGGGGACGACTAGAGGGCAGGGCGTGCATTTGTGGTTAAAGTGCAAATCTCGGGTAATGCTGGCCATTGTTGTTCGATTGCTTTGGAAATCGCCGTTGTTACAAGCTAGGAGGAGTTGATCCGCTAATCTCTCTCCTTTACGTAGTAGCGAAGGGAGACTGAAGGCGCCAGCTTCCACTTTGATGTTACGATCTTTCACGTGAAGTAGGATCTGCTGGCCTCGCGCCCTGCGCTCTGAAGAAGCCTGTTTGGTAGTCATGATAGCGAAGAGACTCCACAAGGCTTGTCTAGGAAATGCTTCAACAACCTTGAGTATGATCGCCTGTAGCACCCTGAAAACTTCCGAGTGAGGATGCGCTATCCGCGCGACGAGTTGAGGCAACGTTGTGTAGAAGATGTATGCAGGTAGACGGCTGACATGCTTGCGTAGGATATCATGCAAGGCCTCGAGTTGCTTCTTTCGACGATGGAGAAGCTCTCGTGAGAGAGACACCTTCCCTTCGGGCGCTTTGTCAATTTGAGCACCAAGATCGAGCCATAAAGTCAAAATGCGGGGCAGAGTCTGATACAAGTATTTGGTGCCATAACTGAGAGACCTCAAGTAATTCTCGATCACGAGTTTTGCAACCTCTCCCGTGAGATATTCGTCAGTCTGATCATCCGGCTTCAAGGCTCTTTCAGACTCCAAAACCTTTTTGTAGTGCCGACCAACATAATAATGACCCTTTTCCCATTGACCAAATATTTGGGGTATTGCTCGATACTGCTCTCTCAAAGCTGAAGCATTGGTCTGGCCTGCAGTATCAAGCCATTTTGCGAGCAATAACTTTGCTTGAGCGGTCAACATGTTCTGCTGTGAGCCAATGTTCCTTTCGGAAGCATCGTGCTCACTAAAGCTATATTGAGAGAAAACTTTGCTATCGATAGCACCTTGGAGTGTTTGTATAGCTTTCCTGTTATGCCCTTCCTTCCATAGAAGACGAGCATTCTCTATCGTAGCTGACTCGTCGCCGAGTTGTGAAGCACGAAGAACAGCATTAAATGATTGGTGCATGCTATTAGCCTTCCTTGCTAGTCGAGCACTAGAAAGCCAGAGCGCCGATATGTCCATGTCGCCAAAGCGTGGTCTATCACAATTAGTGATTCGTACTTTCAAAACAGTAGATCTGGTGTCTTACCGCGATAGTTCCATGGCCGCTCGACGAATACTCAAGACATATTGTTTGTCATTCACATAAGAGCCGAGCACCTCTAGTCGTCGGCCAAGCGATTTGAGAATATCCTGAGGGTGTTGGTCTCCATCGTTATTTACACCAGCAATGAGTTCGAGATCAGTCAGTACATGAGCTCTCAGTATGGGCTCATGACAAGCGTGTAGCGATGCAGTTGTCGAGGAGGTCATGGACGAGCCGACTCTACCTCGAATAGTCTTCATAGTCTGGAAAAACTCCTTTGTCAATCCCTGGCGAAGATACAACAATGTTTGGGCTATGGACACGTTGAAGTCTTCTGACGGATCTCCTTGGTATTTGCTGAGAAACTTTTGCATTGTCAGCCACCTGCCAGTTGTCCAAGCAGCCTCAACCGCATATGGTACAATGCGATTGATGGTTGCAACAGCCGTATGCTTCTCGATGCCTTCGACATAGTTCAACAGGACATCTAATTGCAGATTAGTATAGAGTAGTAAAGAGCACTTTAAGGTGAGCATACCATGTTGTCCTGATTCCTTTAGGCAAGTGAGCAGATCTATCTGTACGTCTATATTGTCTGGTTCTTCGGCAAGTTTGATTTCGTACCAAGTTTGAGCTGCAGCCCATCTGCCAGCCTTTCGATGACTTAAAACTTGCTGTTCAATGTCAAGTACGTGAAGGTGTGCTGATATACCCTCCAGCCCGTCTGGTTCATCAATCTGTGTGTAAATATCCTGAACTCGCTGAATCAATCGATCTCTGTCATGGACACTGTTTTTGGACTCGTCAACTTGACGGATATGTTGCTCCAGATGAAATAGGGCGCGAGAATATGCAGAGCAGTCTATTGCTCGTTGAGATATCAGCTCCGCTGGGAATGATGCTAGGTAGTTCGCCACTTTCTCTATGCTAGCAGTGTCTCCAGAGGACTGGTTAGATGACATTCGTTTCAGATGAATCCAGCGCATAGCATAATCGAGGAAGCGGAAGATGGCCTAATGATAGTCAGCTTATGTGGGATATTCATTTTACACGATAGTTTGCTATTTACCTCACAATACAGCTTCCTATCCTCCCTTTCGGCGTATGACGCCTCCGCCGGAACTTCATACTGCAAAACATTGAGTAACTCTTGAAGCACAGCAGTCCGTTCTTGTTCCTTAATCTCCTCGCCGAGAATCATGTGTACGATTAAATAGGGGAAAAGGAATTCGGCGATTGACAGATCTTTCACTCGAATCAATCGACACAGAGGCTCGAATAAAAGCATCGCAACTGGGTTTTGGGGTCTTCGCAGGCAATCAAGAGTGAGGTTCCTCATCCAATTTCCATAAGTCTTTCCTGGGCCAAATATGGGGTATTCGATCTTTTGTTGGCTCATAGGCATGAGCCTATATCTTGACGTTAGAAAGGGAGTCAAGATCTCCTGTGCACTCTGTGAAACAGAGCACCACCTCCTGTACACGACCTCGCCCTTCCCAAGTCCTTCCATCTTGACCGCTTCTGCAATGTCACCTCTCTCGAGAAGTTCTTGGATGGCGTAAGACAAAAAGCCTTGCAGTCTAGTGTCCGTAGTACTAACGAAAGAGATCACTAGGACTTTCTCTAGCAAGAAGAAGACGAACTCCGTCACCTGGGATGAGTCTTCAAAGTTGCTTGTCAGAATAATTCGGCTCTCCTTTCTAACTGCTTCGATACGATTTGGGTCAAGGCAACCGACCAAACCGATGCATTGAGCACAGAGTTCGGTAATTTCGCTATCAAATCCATTATACCTTGATATGCAGTTGAGGAGTGCCCTAACGAGGCTAGAGACGATATAGTCGGGCTTTTCACTAACTGCAGACGCCTGTAGATAACCTTGATGTCTTTGCAAGTATTCAGCAAGGTCTCTCAAGGCATACAGAACAACTCCAGAGGTTTCATGGCGTAACCTTTCAGTCAACATGAAAAAGGCAGTGTGATTATCTACCGGAGATCGCAGCTTACTAAGCATAGACTCAATAGCAGACAATTCCTTGATATGACTGAAAGATGGCAGTTTGCTGATATACTTCTTGACCGTAGGCTGCTGTTTTTCCAAAAGATACTTAATCAGATCTTTGGCAAGTTCCTGCGAGATTTCCTCGAGAACCGGCCAGTACTGGTAAATGAGATAGAATGTTGTCTCAATGAGAATATCGACTTCAGATTCCTCAAAAAAGGACATCATTGCAGCCCAACATGAAAAAGCCGCTTCGCGAAGTTCATCGCGCGACAATGCAGCAAGTATACAAGCAGAGATCTGCCTAGGGTTAGTATATAGTGCAAGACGCCCTGGACACGACAGAATCACTAACCTGCGGGCGTGCGATGCGAACATCGTTTTTCCCTATTCGTATCATTTCTTCCATGGCTGAAATGCACCGTCGCCGCTCATGGAATGGAGCTCGTATAATAGACACGTCATTTATGACATCCGTCAACTGGGCCATTAAACCAAGAGCGTGGTGGTGCAAAAATCGGCCAGTTGCATGGTTCTTCTTCCTCGACTCTCCGTTGGCGATGAGAATCATACTAGCCATTTGGTTCAATGCGGTACGGATCTGTAGGAAGCCAGAGTTAGGCTATAGGTGTCCGAACCAATTAAAGGCCAAGACCTTACCTGAGGCTTGCGACTTTCATCTGCATCAGCCGCGGCTTTAAGGATGTGAAAAGTGGTAGCTAAGGGCTCGATTTGAAGCAAGTCGGCAAGGCCGAATTCATCAAAATGTGGTGAGATATGCCTCAATAAAGACATTGTATACTCTTGAATATCTGTCGTTTCTTGTGTAAGTAAGAGAGCTAATATGCGGCCGAGATTAGCATTGTCGAGGCAAGGCTGCCACGGCTCGGTCTCGTTGCGAACTTCCGCAATCATCTGAATAACATCTTTTTTCTTGTTTAGAACAAGGTATGGCAGAGCATATGTCTGAATATGGAGAAGCAACTGGGAAACAGTCATATCCTGAATCTCCGCCAGGAGCCGAGTGAGTTTTGGTTGTGCGATTACATCCCTAATCGCTAGATAGGCCAATGAGTTCCAATAGAGATCAAATAACTGCCTAGGAGTGACCGAGCGATGGCGTGCAATTTGAAGGATCTAAGATATACACTTAGTATATCGTAATCGAAACGGACCGATGTCCTTCACTTACCTCTGTGAATGCAGCGGCCGAGGTGATTGCACTTTGATGGCCCAAGTATTCAACAAGCTTGACTAGAACGAGTATCAACTCATCATCGGAGAGCACCCTTTAGCATGTAAGTAAATTATATTTCACTAACAGCCAGTACAACTTACAATGACACGTGAGACCAAGCCAGAATGCATGACTCCGTAAACTTTGCCTCGTTTCGGTCAGAGAGATTCCTAAGGATGCCGAGCGCGATTCCTCTGTTCTTCTGTATGATAGAATATTTGATAGCAGAACGATCATGATGAGCAAGAAAAACGGCAAGCGTTCGTCTGAGAAGTGATTAGCTACAGATTCCCAGAACACCGGTATGCCTTACCCTGCAGCAATACGCAATTCTCTCTGCGAGCTATGCAGTGACTTCAAGCACCATTGCGCGGCGAAAGAGACTTCCATGTCAACGAAATCTGATGAGTTACAGTGCTTGGCTATACGTCTCAGTGCTACCATTGCAGCTACTCGCGGTTTCCGTGACTCAGGGAAGCTTTCAGTTTGTAATAGACAGGTAAATATCTCAGTAGCAAGCTTTTTGGCTTTCACATCTATACATGTGGACCCATCGGGGTTAGTTCTCAGAGTATGGCAGTCAGGACAACTAAATCGTGACGTTGTCTGATTATCCCCAGCAGTCATTGTGAGAGTTTCGTCAGCTGCACAACATACATCTGCAATCAGGTGAATGACTCGAATCTTGTCTGAATCGGAAAGGCCTGAATATGCCGACCTAGATGGTTCATCAGAATCTATGCTCACCATGCAGCCAAGATAGGAGCATACTGAATAGCACTTGAGTAGGAAGCGAGTGTGTCTTGCGGCTCTGCTCCGATAAGTTCCCACAAGAGGCTGGTTATTTTAGGGAGCATTTGTGGACGGCCTGTTTTTCTGCGTTTCGATCGAGGTTCCAAATCCAAAGTTTGTGTCGAAGACCCCGTAAGCTCATTGACATAGCGTCGAATGTCGATATTGAGGAACTTGTCTGGTTGCATAATAGGGTCTAAGGTTGTTGGAGGGGGATCTCGCGCCACCCGCCGGAGTAGTTCCAGGCTCCTCTATGCCAATTTAGCAATTAAAGACACGTCGGGCTCATTGCTTAACTTACCCACAAATCGGTCCCATTAGGTGTAATTCTGTCGTAGCTTATTGGCTTCTCAATTATCGGAAGTATCTGAGATGCTGTAAGGCGAGACACAGTTGGGGACCACAGACATGCTTCCGATATCTTTACGATGGCTATACTCAGCAATGTATCATCAACACTCGACATACTTTCTAAGCCAGATGTTGCCTGTCGCTGAACAAGCACATCCACGCAGAGGTGAACCAGGAGCATGTAGATTTTCTCTTTGACTAGTCCCTCAGTATTTACTAAGAGATTCATATTATCAAGAATTCGTATCGCATCTCGCAAGGATCGTGGCAGGTACGAAGTAGGAATCTTTTGCCATCGATTTCTTGTGATGTTGATACGTAGAGAAGCTTCCACCAGCCACGGAATTGCTTCCTGAAACAATGGAGGGGCTCTGGGGCTCAATTGAGAATCCCACAGAGGAATGGACAAAACTGATAAAAGATCTGCAGCATGCTGTAGGGCATGGGATGCTTTCCCTAGAGTGTAAGTGCATTGTTCCTGAAGATGTGGGAGCTGGCTGTAACCGAGAGACTCCAGGAAACTGTCCTGAGGCAGTCGCAATTTCAGAAGAGGATCCCGGCTTGTCGACGGTAACTCAGTCAGATATGATTGAACAACTTTCAATATCATCAGCTATTGAATATACCGTATGATTCAGGTGAACAAACCATCAAAAGTGCTACGAAGATATGCCAAAAACTGTGGAATATGCGACCACAGGCTATTTGATCGAGCTGCTGCCAAATACACTTCACTGAAAAACTGCTCAATTGGGGCACCCAAATCCGAGCATACGCTGTTCCCAAGCATTTTAAGGACCTTGGGAAATATCCAAATCCAAAGTGGCTCGGGACCGCGGAAGAGAAATGCGCCCGTGCCAGCAGTGAAAAGGAGGACCTCCGGGGTTTCGTTGACAGTAATCCTGAGAAAATTAATTGCCCTCAAGGCATCAGAACGCAGCTGTGAAGTATTGGCAAAGGGTTCGTCCCACTTAAGGCCCTCTAGCACCACACGGGCATAGACGTAGATGAGCATGTGGTTATGCTCAACCCTATCTTGATCCGAGGTAAGCAGACCAGGCTCATTCTTAACCTTCTCGATAGCAGCGAACAATTTTTGCAACTCTGCAGTCTCATCGGGGCGAGACGATCTAGCAGACGTCGATATATTCTCGACCAACTGAGCAGCCAGAGTCGAAGGCGGAGGGGCGTTGCTATCCATGGCACCATTGCTGAAGGCTTCGCGACCGGTGAGCATGGCTCTCCCATGAGATGTAGGCGCCATATTCCTAGGCAGTTTTTGGTTGTTCCTCTTTCGTTACCCAGACAGCTGCAGCATGTTGTCACGATCAGCACGCAGTGCGAACGAAAGGCGCAATTACTCTTTTATACAGCAATCCATTAAGTGGGTAGAGGACGGGATGCGATCAATTGGGTAGACGCGTCCACACGCGAAGATGTTGTCACGGAAGCACGTGAGGAAATCAAGAATCGGTCTATCCATTTATCTGGACAGCTGTCGGGTCAGCTGAGAGCAGCCGAATCAGCCCCGCACTAAGGGCCATCCATCAAAAGGGTCCCGTCATAACCTCTACCTCCTACCTAAGATAATGCGGGTCTTCGGTGGCTTCTTGACATGCTATGATGATACCATCGTTATCAGATTGCGCTCAGCCTCGAAATCGCCTGTCCAATTGTCACCGTAAACTCAATTTCTAACTGATGTGATTCTTGTGTACTTGTGCTGAATTCTCGACATTCGACAATACCACCCGTCTCCGCCGCGCAACTCTTCCACGATGGCTGTTTTTCAATCCAAGAAATTTCGAGGTTCCGCCGACGCGGGCACTTTTGCTGCCAAATACCGCACTCTGATGGCCAAACATCCCTTTCTTATGTTTGGGCTGCCTTTTATTTCCATAATCGTGGCCGGGTCATTCGTACTGACTCCTGCCACTGCTGTTCGATATGAACGTCATGACCGGAAAGTCCGACAACTCACTCGAGACGAGGAACTGGGAATTGGCAAGGGAGGGAGGAAAGTCAATATTAAAGACGAATACTACGTAAGGATTTACTACAAACGCATGGCGCAATTGCACGGCCCTAACATATGATGCGTCTTTCTAGAGACTAGCTGCGAAAGACCTTGACGACTGGGAACAGAAACGCGTTAAACGACTCCCGGGAGAGAACGACGGCATACTATAGAATCTTGGAAGCCATGACCATTCAGCCAACGGTTCAATACCACTCGCGAGTGCTCTTGAATCGTTGGCCGCATTCCTCCGGAATTTGCAGACATGAACCGTCGTAGGTGGCGATAATTGTCTGAGGATACAGGACTGCATCGTCGGCTTGCCAGCAATAACCCGGGGAGTCTCCAGTTGATTCCGACCAATCATACAGGTCTCAAGTTCCGATACAAATACATATATGCGCTCCAGAGCTATCCACATCAAGCTTGGGAATGCCCTTGCTAATACTTCATGACATGATATGAAATGCTCGCGTCGCGACGAGCCTAAGAGTCATGAGGCGGCGCATAAGTCCGATGTCTTAGAACTGCTATCGGACAGTGCCGATGGTTCAATATTGAGGAGTCTGCGAGCCTCATTTACTTACTGCGTATCATGGGACCTCTGTCAGAATGTGTTGAACGGAGATGGCGGAAGCCAACCCCGTCAGGTATCGCTAGCATATGATGACTAACCTTTTTCTTTTCTTTTTTCAGATATGATAAGGTACATTCATGCGGAGTATACCGCGATTCCCCTCAAGTCCGGGTTCTTTATATGCATCATGAACCGTCATGGAAAGAGAGACTGGCTTTGATGGGACGATGAATTCGAGTCATGGGTACAATCTCCTCTGCGGAGAACATAGCTATCCCAAACAGAATATTGCCTGATCAAATTGAGTTTCGCCAACTTGAGTCTATGGTGTGCTATCTTTGTAAATAGCTGAAGCGGCGCGGTGTCCGGAATGTCTCCCGGCTATGTAATTGTCCTATAGCATATCACCATGTAATCACTCTTTACTTAGCATAAGATAGATAAGACAAGCAGGTCTCCTGAATCGTGGCTGGTCTAAATTGGAAATCGTCTTTGCTTTTCTATGCCGCTGCTTTCTAATCATAAACACACTGTTAAACCACGGCACGCCCTGACTCGCTTCTCCCTTGATAGCCTTCTCGTATGACGCCTGACCCAATGGTGGCAGCCTCCAGCCCTAGTGCTTATAGATATTTCTATGCTATGTACGAAGTACACTAGGTAGCTGTGCTCGTGTAGCGATTTTGTGCAACTTGTTTCACATCAGCGTTGCTTTGACAGATAACGATGATTGAAAAAGGATTTGATTCGCTTTTCTGGTCCAACGAGCAGCTTGTCATGTTTCATGACCTTGATAACAAGGTGGTATGGTGTAGCATCTACAAATTCTTTGCGCTAGAGAATACTATGTACATAGTAGACAGAGACTACTAGTAAAATGGAGAATTCTGCTTAACATCCGAAGCCCGATAACTACCCACACGCGTTGTGTTATGTCCGCCCAATCCTTCGGCTTCGCCCAGTCTGCGATTCTTGGCAAGCTTCTGTACCCCATCATTTAGGTCTTATACTATTAGTTCAGCCTAGCTTAGCAGCTAACGCACCTATTAGAGTTCGTTACGGCTACATCAGCAAACTCTACATAAGAAAATTGCGTGATGCCGTAGAGAAGGCTCTTGGTGCGAATTAGCAGTGGTGGCGTGAGAAAGAGATCTGAATGGCCAAGCCATATTGTCTCTAAAGTCTACGCGTGGTCGGTAGGTTTCGGTCCGTCGAATTCAATGATAATCAATGATAATCAGTGATAGTCGTCTGACATCAGCGAAATGCGCCCTATGGCCTCCTCCAGCCGTATATGGGAATGATAGTGAAGTCAAAGCGTTTCAGCTGGTTGGCATCGAGGGGTGCAATGTAAGCATGCCCTGCGCAGATCAGCACAGCAAGGGCAGGGCCTATGACTTCCATCCTGCAGCCGTCTGCACTGCTCCGCACTTGACATCTGCAGTCCATTAAACTCCCACGTTGCAGCGCAGCGCCGTGGTACTATCAACATTGTGAAGATCGTCCGCGACGTGTTTCACGAGGGAGGCGAGCGAGGGACTTGGTCGCGTGGGTGACACAGCAAGGCACAAGGCTCGACAGGTAAACGTCGATGGGGCTGGTCACATATGATCTCGACAGCGGAACATGCGGATATTTGTTCCAAGGTCACGGCCGAAAGTACTGGACAGGTTCCAGAATAGCATCCCATTATCCCCACATCACTCAGCCATCGTTCTCCATCAACAGGGATCTGTCTATAGGATCTACCTACCACACTCATGGGATGACGCCATGATGGATGTGGCCTAGTTTATGAACACTCGGGTCATGCGCTCATTGTGACCAGGGCAAGAGACTGGGGGGGTTCCCAGAGTTCCGGGCCTGCCAAGAAGAAACAAGAATAACGCAGGCAATTGTTTGCGGCAAGGAACAAACCCCCAGTAACGATTATTGCTGTAATTCAGGCTGAAAGGCAACCTGCGCGATACTTGAAGTGCCCGAAACTGGTGTGTGTGCACTCCGTTGACCTTCGTCAGGTACGCATAAGCTGAACTCGTCCTCAAGACTGCTTTTACGCATGTACTTGAGTCTTTCTTTCCAACATCAGCCCAAAAAGAATAGACTAATCATATACATGTAAATGCTCTGCGGCGTACTCGGTCCCGGTAGCGTCAAGTACGAAAAAGGGCACATAAGCGGCTGTATACACTAGACCAGGTAGACCTTTGAAGGCCGATAAAACAGCAAAAAGGTCGTAGGTAGCTCGCGTAGTAATCTCGTATTATTAGAGTGTAGTGTACATGTGTACAATCACAAGATCTTCAATACAATACTGACGGTTACCAGGTCACAACTCCGGTGCCAAGACAAAGCCACACGACAGTATGAGCCAAGAGTTTGAGACACGCCGTTTAACTTTCCTAAATTACTTCCAAATTCAGACCGGGTCGTTCTTGGTGCCCGACGTAGCCCTGGCTGAAGTCATTGGCAAGGCATGTGTGGTGTGCCACCGGGCACTAACCCCGGTTAACAATGACGCATACCGTCTCTCCTCCCCGGCCAAGCGATGGAGAACTCGAGAGGGGCCATCGTGAATTTTACTTTTGATCGGTGCGAGTATAATTACTTTTCACTTTTAACCATCTTACCCTGGCCCACACCATCCTCTCGCGCCCTCGCGTTCAGAATGCCCCGGAGCACATCTGCAAGGCACCAGTCCCACACACACAGCTTACATAGTACCTCTATCGTTTCTCCACCCGAACACAAAGCACGGCAAGGACATATCTGCAGGAACCGGCCGATCCCCAGTTATCCGTGATCATATTTATAAACGAGCCCGAGTCAGCTGCCTGGCCTTGGTAGATATATAAGCTTTCAGCCTTGAGGAGTCTGACCTGAGCCTTTCAGCATTTACATCTATCCATTGAGAATAATCACAAGTGGTCTGACACCCAGACAGTCCAGATGCTCTATATTCCTTTCCAGAAGGATAGGATCTAGTTTATTTGTCATACTAGTGACTCCCTGGTCTACGTCTACCACAATGTCATCCATCACCAAGTCATCTTTTTTCTACAAGAAATCCAAGAGCAGCTTTTGCAAGCCGAGCAATCCAGAAGAGCAAACCCATGTTCGCAAATGGAGTTCGTGTAGCACGATGTCCGAGGCCTCTTCTGCGGGCTCCCATCGCACTAGGTCTGACAGCCTCAATCCTCTTTCTTTACATCCGCCATTCAACCTCAACGCCTTGCCCAATGTGGTGCCCGAGTTCGATATAGTGCGGTATCAAGAGGACGAAGAACGTGAAGCACGCTTCTTCAACCAGACACGACACGCCCAAGATTACATTCAAGATACGGCAGAATATTCACCCGTCAAAGGCCACAACTGCTACTTTCAAGGCCCGAAAGCACGACCGTATCAATACGACCAGGACTCTCAGTGGCCATTAAAGGACTGGCAGGCTATTCCTCCCGGCCTATCCGATTCTGGTTCACCGGCAGCTTCGGCAGCTTCATCGCCCACTCGACTTGATGTCCCTCGGCGACGAAATACAGACTGGTCGGCTGACCATGACAACTTGAAGCGCGGAGCCTGGAAGCGTCGTGGCATCGTTTTTCACTTAGACGAGCGGGATAAAGAAATGCAAGAGCTTCATTTCGAACTACCGGAATAGGCGATCATGAGTATCCATTTACCATGATCACCTTGTCCTATTCAACTTTTCATCTACGAATCCATTCGCTTACACACGGCATGCCGAATCACTTATACTTACACTTACCATCTTTTAACTCGGTTCAAAATTTGGTTTTGACACCTATTACTGGCACGATTTGTTACGATGTTACGTTTTTATCTCTTATGTTGTTTGGCATGAGACGCACAGTTTGTTCCAGGGGAACAACATACCATGGAAGGCTCGGATCAATTTGGAGACAATTCTCTGGCCCACCACCGACTTATTTTCTATCTACATGTAATCTATTAGGGTTTAGCATCCAGCCGGCGCGTAAGGGACAGGGACTTTGCCCAAGATACCAATTTGATTTTTGAAAGAAAAAAAAACATACAAATTTGGGTATGTGACGGAGGAGGGCGTCTTTACGGATTGACATTAAAGAAGTCTGTTACAAATAATTCTGTATCACTCAACCAATTCAATCAGTCAAAATAACTTACGCCTTGATTCATGCCAACACGATCGCGAATTAGTTTGTATCTGTCTTCGTCACTGGTGGTGTGACGTACCTGCGCCGAAGATGTCCACACATATGTAGGTACACATCACCATGCTGATCTCAAGATCTCCCATCAAGGGATCGACAGTACGACGCCACTTGCGTAGGAATCGAAAGTTGGGATACAGTCACCCCTTTCGGCCTGTCATCCCTCACTGCCTCCTGCCTATTTTATTCGTCGCTTTGGCCCCCAGACCCGAGCCCCGCGTGCCGGCGATCCTTACCCGGGCGACAAAGCAAGCCAGTCGTTGCGGGAATCATCCCTTCTGTGACACACACATTTCGCGAGCCCCGGAATGCATCAATATACGTCATTCTCAAACCCGATGGTTGTTGAGATAAGAAATGTCTTTGCTTTTTTTTCTTCCCTCTGCAACCGTTGTTTCGAAACAGAGGGGCGGCTAACAAGCGATCTGGCGGTTCGGATCCCCGCATTGATGATGCGCACTTGAAGGGGAAATCGTTGCTAATCTTAGAGATCTGCGATGTGGGGAAATCGTCAAGATCGTGAAGCATGTACTAGGCAATTGACTGAATTCGGTAGTCCATCACGGGTTTCAAGAAATACTGTAACGGTCTATGCTAATTTCCTTGAGAGGAAGAGATATCCGATTGCTGAAGTGAGAGTGCGCGTTTCTCTTGTTGATGGCCCACGTCGGTGCCTTGAATGCAACATCGAGCGTCTTACTGTACCAGCCAACACGTAGATAACAAGTGTAACGACATATAATCTTAATCAACAAGAGGATGGGAAAGCTATTATGTATGTATTCTTTCCGATTATAGAGACAAGTCCTGCTGCATCTTAGCGGTATTGCGTTATAACCATTTATCTCGCGCAATCTTTGTTGTATACATATCTTTACTAGATATGATTAATCTTAAGGTTAGCTATACTTCCGGTAGCCTACATAGCAGTGCTCTGTTTTCAAAATAGAATGACGTGTTTATGTGAATATTGAACAATTCGTTCACCTATCATGAGCATCTCGTCGCAGGGCCAATGCGGTACTTTGACTATATCATACGGGCAGTAACCTTACTCTTCAACGCGTGACAGTCTAAGCCGTAGTGTTTCATTGATATCAGTGTTTCTAATAAATCATCTAGAGGGGTATGTGGAAACAAGAGGGAGGATGTCTTCAAGAAACCATTCAGAGCCGTCAGTGCACCATAGCCGGTACTTTCTGTAGGCTGGACGTCAGCCCAGCTGGATTCTTGGTCGATATTCTGAGAAATCAGTTTGTTGACTTTCCCGTATCCATCGTAAGTAGACGAAGGGATTTTTTGAAAGTCCCCCCAAGCAAGTACTTGCACAAGCCTGGAAGCTTCTGTATATTAACCAAAGGGACTGATGAAAAGCCATCTAAGAGTGCGAGTGGGGGAAAAACAACTCCTTCGGGTCTGACAAGATGCATGTGATAAGTCGACATCAGGGAGCGCAATAAGATGCCCCTATTACTATATCAACAAGTATGTTGAATGTGTCTAGGAACAATATCAGTCAGAGCTCTCGTATACCTCATCGTCAAAGAAAGTGTTAATCTCACTGAAATTGCCGTGAACCAGTGTCGCACATGTCACGGAATTGCGGTCTCGTGGTTGACTATTGCTACGCTAGTGTTGTAGAGGAAGCGAATTGTCCGACACGCCGAGCTGTGTTCTCACTACCGACTCTGGCTAGATTTTTATGCTCACTTCTCTACCAGAGTTCTTCGCAGCAATCTAGGAATAAATGCCTCTATCTAGCTCCCCTTAGCGACACGCTGTCATCCAGTTTATCAGTGAGCTAATGTGGGATGATAAGGTTGGAAGTATAAAGTGGAAGTTCAAAGCAGAAGGTTAGGGTCAAGAATATTGTCAGATATTCTGATGAGTGTGATTGCGAAAGCTGAAAACTACGTTCACATGGCGCCGGCTAGCACCCCCAGCATAGAATGAGACGCCTTGTAACTCACTTTGATATGTATATCCCTTTACAGTCCTGTTCGGCAGCTTCGAGAACTCTGGGTCTGCATTGGAACACAGTGGGTGGAAAATTGGAAGACATGCACCGCACATTATACTGAAAATGCCTCTTCATCAGGAGCCCGTACTTATTTTATAAGAAGATACTTGTACAATGCCTCAAGATGTCTGGAATGAGTGTATTGGGTAAAGTTGACTTATCATTTATAGCCCAATTCATCACAAAGTCATACTCATGATGGGCAGATAGGATAGACACGCTGTATGCCGAGCTCAGAATTCCTCGACCCGCCTTAATTGACTACACAAATAAATAAAGATGTTACTATATTTTGCCCATCCTCCTATTGTGATCAAGACGAGCGATCAGTGGTTAACTACATGGCAATTTTGTCATGAGTGACTACTGATAGGCCTCGCTTAAATTCTGAACGAAGAGAGAAACAACAACTAATCAAAGTCACTGATAACGAATCATAAGGTCTCTAGATTGTTCATACGCTCAAGGGACCGAAGTGTTGAGATGAAACTCCCATGACTAGGCGCTCTTTTCCATGCGACGAAGCTCACAAACTCAAGGCGGTGGACCCGCTACGATGTCATGCCCCCCACCCCCACCAAACCCAGAGCTTTCAAAGCGCCGTTGAACCTAGAATTCATCAAGCCTCTTCGAATTCAACACCACCTCCCCTGCCGTCGGCGTCAAGATTGCATTAACAATCTACAATCCAATCATACGCCATAAAAGAGATGTCCAAAGTCTTCATCGTTACGGGTGCGAGCCGAGGTCTCGGACTGGCCGTCGTGCAAGCTCTGCTCAAAGAGTCTCACAAAGTGTTCCTCGTAGCTAGGTCGGAGGCCGAGTTGCGGAAACTCAAGACTCAACATGGAGATTCGGTAGATTACACAAGCGCCGACTTATCCGATTTGAAAGTAAGCGAACATTCAGGCCCCTTTGGCTCGGATACCGTATATGAGAACTGACAAACGCGTAGGTGGCACCGAAAATCGTAGCATCGACATTAAAAGCATTCGGCAAGATTGACGGGCTGGTGATAAACCACAGCTCCTTGTCCCCAATCACCAAAATCTTTGACTCAGATGCTGAGGAGTGGAGGCGGGCATTCGACATCAACGTCTTCAGCGCAGTGGCATTGGTAAGCCGTGAGGCAAATGTGAGAAGCTGGCATTATTTGACTGACTACCTAGTCTATAGGTTAAAGAGTCTATCCCAGAGCTACGGAGATCGAATGGACGAGTCATCTTTATCTCGTCGGGAGCTTCAACAAATCCATATATAGGTTGGGGAGCCTATGGAACATCCAAGGCAGCTTTAAATCATCTTTGCGCACATTTGGCAGTGGAAGAACCCTCTATTACTACTGTCACCGTTTCACCAGGCAAAGTCGACACAGCCATGCAGAAACAAATTAGAGAAGAGGGACATGTGGGCATGTCGCCAGATGTCCATGCCAGTTTCGTGGCCGAACACGAGAATGGCCGTCTCCTCAATCCAGATCAGCCGGGCACTGTCGTCGCCAAGCTAGCGATTGGTGCCACGAACGCATTGACGGGCAAACACTACAGGTAGGATCATAGTTTTTCTGAACAAATTGCTTTTACTAACCCCTTATAGGTGGAACGCAGCGGAGCTTGCCGATTACCAATCAAAGTAGATGGTAGACGAATCCAGAGAGCACAAGGGACTAGAGAGAACGTTAGTTTCCATGATACAAACATTCCAACAAGTCTTGTTCGAGTATGTTGCTTCAGTCGAAAGATGAAAAGACGTTTATATAATTCTACATAGATGGTTCGGATATAGCATGGTCATCATAAGCATTAGAGGGGCTGGAAGTAAAAATGCATGTCATACCTTACAAACATATCTACTGCATGAGTATCCACGATAGATGTCCTTTGTGTCTACGACCCTCCGCCAAGTCAGTCCTGGACACGTACATAGACAGGAGGTGAAATGGAGTTAAAAGGACAAGGATCAGAGACTATGGAATCCGTCATGTATGATCGGTATTGGAATGGTACTTTTGGATATTGGCATCATAGTAGTTGGTAGGGTTGAGGTAAAAAGTCTTGCTTACGCATTATACACACTGCCAATAATTAGTCATTGACTTGATGAATGAATCGAGGTCAGCATGTTTGAGTGGACGAGGATCAGGAAATATTTAATCCGTCATCTACGATCGGTATTTGATAGTACTTTTTGGATATTGGCATCATGGTAGTCGAGAAGTTTTGAGGGGAGTGTTTTCGTGGGTACATACCATACACGAGACCTAATCCATTTGGGCCGTTAGCAAGGGACCACGCGATTTACTTCGAAAACAGGGCAGTAAGTGAACTTCGATCAGTTATGTCTGTTTGGCTTGACGTGTCGATCACCATGTTGCCATTTGGCAAAGTAAGACTGGGGCGACAATGGGCTCATCATTGAAGGGGGAGAGCGATGATGGAAATGCAAGAACGTACCCTAAGTGATCTACGCAAAGCGCGCAGGACGACCAACCCAGATCTACCAATACCACCGTATTTTGCGTCACAAGTGTCATATCCGAATGTGCCTTTGCGTAGGGGTAGAGAAGCGACCGCATCGAACTTGTTAATCTGGTCGATTGACTCGCAGTCCGTATACGTTTTCGCACTCCTGACCCTGATAACAAAGGATAGAGGAGATTAACTGTGTCGAATGCAGAGGCAGGCACAGAAAAAGGCGCGTTGCTATACGATTACAAAGGTGGGTGAAGCAAAGGTTGACAGAAAAAAAAAGTTTGAAGATTTAATAGCGGAATGAGACTCTCTGTTGCGCCACAGGCCAGTGTGGCGCGAGCTTCAAATCAAATGGAACCAACCCAGTCTCCCGGTGGCATGGGCTCAATGCTGGGTTACCTAGAATGTACCTAGATGCCAGAGCGGGATTAGGCAGCTGAAACAAGTCGCTACAAGTCACAATCTCACTGAGCGCTGCGCTAGGGTGCCGTTGGCCCAAGCCCATCATGGATCGAGTACTTAATACCGGGTAACCTCGCGACTCAGCCAAGTCCACGGCGGCCTACAACGGAAACAGTCACCATCCCTTGTTCTCGATTCTACATATATCCTTCTAGACTATCGTGTCTTTTCGACCATACGCTCATCGTAGTTGTCAGCTCGACACTCGCAACGGGGCTTAATCCGTTCACCCTCCAGCGAATAGCAATACTTTTTCGGCCTATTACTCCAAAGTTCTTATATAGGCTATCATTCACCAAACGCTAACTCACCATGTCGGACCATGAATATGGAGGTGAGCGAACTGCATTCATCATGTCAACTCAACATCAGACCCTTTTCTTTACCCATGCTCGTTTACGGTCATTTGGAAATCCGGGCAGCGATGAAGGAATGTTATGATACCTATGTTCCGAGATGCCAAAGCTGGCCTCTAATATATTCGCCTTGTCTACCTGTGTCTCATCTCATGCACCACATGACATACCTGTTCCGTACGAGAGGCGCCTCTGTCGATACACTGCACCTTTGTTTATTCTCTTCACATGCTTTGGTATCGGGTTCGACCTCAATACATAGATGTGCCGTGGCTATGCCATCTCAACCCTCATCTAGGTATACATACACTCATCCTGAGTCGATATCTACTACAGATGATGCAACGACCTGAGCCTGAATAAGGCAGTGTGCTACTTGCAATCTCATCATGCACCAGTCAAGGATCTTCATGAAAACTACTTACAGGATCGCTCCCAAGTCGCTCTCAGCCAACTCCTTTGTCAGAAAACTCGCCCCGTGCACCTATTTTTGGTTTACTGTGTCTTACAACATGACGAGATCCACAACGTCTTTGTCTTTTTATTCACGTCATGCCAATGGGCAACGTGCTGACTATGTATCTAAATCAGGTAATGATGATCTATCGCTTCCTAAAGGTATGTAACATAGCCCTCCCAACCCACCTAGTAATGAATCAATACGTGTATTTCTACGCCTCGGCTAACTATCATCTAGCAACGGTACAGAAGATCGTTAGCGAGATCCTGCCGCCATCAACAGGAGTTTCGTTCTCTAAAGAAGCACGAGATTTGCTCATAGAATGCTGTGTTGAGTTCATCACTCTCGTATCCTCTGAAGCGAACGAGATATCGGAGAAGGAGGCTAAGAAGACGATTGCATGCGATCACATCACCAAAGCACTAGACACTCTCGGGTTTGGAGACTATGTTCCGGCTGTGCTAGAAGCAGCCGCTCAGCATAAGGAAACGCAGAGGGTGAGTGCTATTATTAAAACACTTTGTCGTCATGACTACGAGATTACTAACATAATGATAGGTACGTGAGAAGAGAGGCAATAAATTTGAGGATAGCGGCATGACGATGGAGGAGCTATTTGAACTCCAACAGAAGGAATTTGAAGAAGCCAAGAAAAAACAGAGCGGCGAGGTTTAAGAGCTTCTTAAGTTAATTAGACTGGCTTAACTTCTGTTATTATAGATACAGAAGTACATCACCGTGATCATCATTGAATGGTCTTCCATCTGTCCGGTGGAAAGCACACATAGGAAGCCAGGCTCGGGAGCTGTGGCGACGATCGTGTATTGCATTGGTTGGCGTTGGGTCGAAGAAAGAAGGGATACCAGCAACGGCGTTATTTAGTGGTATTTTCAGACAACAGATATCATGAAACTCTCATCATGCATTGAAACTCAACTTCGCCTTATACACATATTGCTTTGATGAGAACACTTCTGTTATTGACTCGACGCTAGGAGGGCGCACATAAAGTAAACCTGGTGCCGACTGTCTATCTTTCCTTAACGACGTAAACCTCATGAAATCCACAGCCGCTGACTTGTAGCACGTCGCCCGCTATGCAAAGCCAAAGTCACTCACTCCCATGATCGTGCAACACTCCGCTTGTCATTTATTCCCGTGCGCACGAATTCATTCAGCACATGCCGTTCGCTTAACCTAAACTGTTTGAGCTGCGCTTGGTATCAATAGGTACCTGTTCCTGTAAACACTCGATAGTGATGATTTCCACTGCGCACTCTTAGCGCCGATTCAAGTGGCCACAAGCTCACACAGTTAGGACTGCCTCTCTCTCTCTCTCTCTCTAGTCTTCGAGGCTGTGTCTTTTCACTCTACACAGGTATTCTTGTTTCGCTCGCGGCATGCTACGTTGAGGGTGGGCCAATATGGTGCTTGCCGTCTTCTCATCATCTCATCATACACGTGTAGCTTGCATGCTAACCCAGCTATCTGAATTCAGTGCTATCGACCATTCAATCCAATTCATCGTTGTTGGATCTAGTCTTTTTTTTTAATCCTTTTTTTCTCTTTTTTTTCTTAGAATGCGCTGGCGCAAAGTGCACGATGGCTCATATGAGGGAGAAGTCTGGGACGGGCACAGCATCATCGGGCAGGCGATCAGGATGAGTGACGACACGGGCTGCACTGGGAAGACACTACTAGCATAGCATCTTACTCATAGGTCTAGAAGGTGATGATTTTTTTAATCAAAATCTTGAGTAGCCCTAATTCCGCGGCTTCGTAGGAATTAGTTCAATGAACGTAGCCATTACTTTGTCGTTACCATTCATCTCGCGAGGCTAGAGGCTAGAATGAATGGTCTCTGAAGTGATTGTGAAACCCAACTGACAAATCTGACAATAGACGGATCCGACCGATGTAGAGAATTATCTCAACATTGCGGCTTATGTTGTTGACTGGCTAGGTGACCATCTTGCATTGGTTCCATGACAACTATCTTCATGTGCGGTAGGTGCTTGCGATCTGATGCGGCCACAACTCCCTCTACTGGCGATTTCTGGAATCCAATAGTGTCAGTCTCACTCGAATCATTCATTGTTCAGTGATTTCAGAAAGAAATATCGAGCGCTTTTCCAATGACTTATTTCTTAGCGGTAGGTCGAATGATCTCCCGATCCTATGGCAGACTTGTGGGTCACTTTGCGAAGAAGAAGGTGGTATGGGACTCCATTTTCGGATTGCCAAAACCTCCAGTCCTGGACTTACTCCAAAACATTTGCATGCAGAATTGCGTCAGCGTTCGATTTGCCGGCACTGTCTCTTTCAGCCCAAGAGCCCCTCGACTGACACCATACTCGGCCGGTGAACAATGAACGGCAGACGGCAAACGTGCAAGAGTACCCATCCCATTTTATTTCACTACCTAAGTAGTATTTTTTTTTTTTTTTTTTTTATATATTGATATCTTCTCGCTGACACGTTATGCAATGCCCAAGTGGATCAACAGTGCCCAACAGAGAGGACTGCGGCCTCCAATACTAAGCGAATAGGTAGGTACTCAGTTAGCCTAGGTGTCTAGATTTCCCAGTGAGCCTACACATGCTACAAGACAGATGGCCCACGAGACACCTGACACGGCTCAGCCCCGAGTACCTATTGTAAGTAAGCCAGGTGTTGTGTTGGACTAATTATCTAGGTAGCCGGCCTGCTGATGGGATGAGCAAGCGTCTGTGGGGCTCACGAGTTCGTTCACTACTACCGGTAGTAGAAGAATTTTCGACCCGTCGATGCGGATGAGACAGACGGCCTTTTCCTCGTGATACGTATCTACCTACCTTACAATAGTACTACTTCGTACCTAGCTAGACACTGTTTGTGTGTGCTCTCACCGAATAATCGGGACTTTGGGGGCCAAAAACCCTCATGCGAAGATGCCCTTCCTCTGTCACGTTCGCGACCCGCTGCCTGATGACTGCATATATGCGACAACCTAGTCGATTAGGTAGAGCAGCACTGCCTGCCCTATGCCTCATTCTCCACAGAGCTCGTTATAGGTAGGGTAGAGGTAGGGTATACATACTGGAATTTGCTGGCAGAGAGGAGTGAGTACCTAGATAGGTGCGTAGTGACCCGAAGAGGGTGGAATTTGGAGGATTCCAGATCAATCAGTGCCTGGCGAGCCCGAGCAGAAAAGCACATACTGGTTATCACAGGTCAGACACAGGTGCCATACCACCCTCCTCCATCATGTTACAAGCCCCTCTCGATGCCTAGGTAGGTAGACACTAGCATGGAACGGGAGAGGTAACCAGCCAGCCCACCAGCCCACTTCCGAACCTCACGATAACCTATGACAGCGGGGAAACCCAGATCCTCGTCTCCCTCGTGCAGCGCCGCTGTCGCATTACTCATTAGACCTAAGCAGTCTAGACTGGTGGGGTTCGCGGGCGCATCAGGCTGCTTGGATATGCGGGATGACGATGTTGGTTTTTTTCCCTGCTTCTTGCTTGCTCGCGATTGATTGCTAAGATAGGTTTTACCATCTCGAATTGGAATGAGAAACCAACCTGAGCAGTGCCACTTTTCAGCCAGAACCCGGCCAGAGTAGGGCCTGAGTAAGACCCGCTTTTGCACAAGCCTGGATGCATAAAATCTCGTAATGGGCAATACCGTTTCTCCGTTCCCATACCACAAGAATCAGAGGCGACCGTTTACTCAAAACGGACTTCCTACGTATTGACGCATAGTTACAATGCTTTCGTTCAAGATTCAAGCAAGATGCAAGATGTTTTACCAAACAATATAGGTTAAATATAATGAGAATGCAATGTTAGTATAATGATAATGCACAGCAGTATGATTGTACTGGCTTTTTGTTTTTGTTCAAGGTCTGTTTGGGGGGATTGACTTCCAAGTATCTATAGTTACATAGTAGGCTCCATGCGCGTAATGACAAAAAAAAAAGGTCATCCCAGCGGACTGACTGACTTCCTGGGAAGACCGCGAAAGTCAGCCGCCCCACAGAGACGCATCGGTTTATCAGGGACTTGAGGGCGAGCGGCCGGCTCGTGAGGGACTACATACAGAACATCGATTGTCTTGAAGAGACGGCGGGCCTCAGTACGGATCTGCGCCAAGGACCGGGCACTTGGTCCGAGTCGGGGTCTGGTTCTTGGGCGAGGAAATGGCTGCATCGCTCCAAGACGGACTCTGTGTGCCTAACCAGAGGGGTCGGATGTGTGCAGCTGGGACGAGCAGCAAGAAATCATGTCAGATGGGAAGCTTTCGACTTGTCCCGCCTGTCCTCCTCAAACAACTGCGAGGGGACGCCGACTCAAGCCAGGCCTACTCAGACCGGACATTCTCCTCTATGGCGAGCCGGATTCGCGGGCTGATCCGATCACGCAGATCATTCAACATGATCTGTCCCTCGACATCGATCTCCTTTTGATTTTCGGAACAAGCCTTACGGTCCACGGCAGCCGGGAGCTAGCGAAGAGCTTCGCAAGACTTGTTCGCCAGAATAAGGGCAAGGTTCTTTTTATAAACCGCGAGGAGCCGGCAAGAAGTGACTGGGGCGGCGTGATCGATTATTGGGTTGACTTGGATTCTGACGTGTGGGTTTGCGACGTGAAAAGGCGGCATCCTCGCTTCTGTTCACCATCAACCCCAGGAGGATCGGATCTTCTCACTACCACAGTCGAACATGGTGAAGGTAATATCAGTCGAGCAAGAGAGCACGTGCCTATTTGTGGAATATGGGGGGTCGGGGCGAAGAAGAGGCTCGCTCCGCCATCAGATCATCCGGTCAAGCGCGTGAAGATGCATCTGCCGGGGGGCATCAAGAAAACTTGATTTGAAGGCGTCGGCTGGGACACGTGATGATCCGATTGATCTGACCTAAGAAGATAGGCGCGAAAGAAGAAAGGTATGATACCTAAAATGCATTAGGTATAAATAATAGGTAGAGTCGGTGGGACAAAAAACATTGGCTTATCCTGCGCGTCTCGTTTATGTAACTCCTGCAAAAGATGCATGCTGCCACTGTATATATCCCCAAAATAGTCTGGTAATTGCTATGAGCGGACCATTTCTAACCCCGAAGACCATGGGAAAACAACTTGTTTTGGCCTTTGTTCTCCCACAAAGCACAGCTTAGGTCGCCAATGGACGATACGGAGGGATGGCTCGGTTCGGCCGGGTATATTTGTCGATCCCACCTCGAGAGAAACATGTCGGACCAGACAATGCGCATCCAAACCCACCAAGCTAGGTTCTTTCTTCTGCACAGAAGTAAAGGCGAACGCCGGATCCTTGTCGGATTCATTCGAGATACGCCCTTCCCAAACGAAAATGCCGTGACATGGTCCCTAGCCTCAACGTCCCTTATTTTCAATACTGGCATAACTATAAACGGGTTATTCTGATTCATCTATTGCTGCTACCAATGGATCAGCTTGGGCTTTGCGAAGTATCTCCCTCATTTGAGAATATAGCGTTTCATTTTCCTCCCGCCATCTACCGCCATTAGGAAATACTGTTCTGCGTAGCTTGTCAACCCACGGTATTAGAACTTGATAATGGCGTGTGAAATGTTGTGATACCGTTCTGTGGAAAACGTCTTCATCCGACACCCTTCCAAGTTTCTGGGAAGCCAGCTCTTCCGCATCCATCCAGTTCCACTTGTCAAACATGGCAATGCTCCTGCCTCGGCTATATCCATCACAATGGATACAGATCCAAAAGAGGACCCAAAAGAAAGACTCGAGGTCATCCATGAAGGAGTGTTCATCACCGAGGAGCACCCCAATTGCTATGAAAGCCCTCGTGCCAGTTATCCCGTGAGCACCTGATGACTGCGTTCGATCGAACCTGATCGCAAGGTCGAGATCAATCAGGAATGAAGACCTAGATAGGTCTGGTTCATCCTCGTTAATCATAAGATTGTTGATCGAAATATCTCTATGAAGAAGGCCGGCGTTATAGAGAGATTCGTGTCCTCCGACACACCCTTCTAAGGCGCGAAGCAAGGCCACCCGAGAGCTGGCCTTATAGATTGGCTGCCCATAGTCACGTAAAATAATACGCCGGTGGATCCGATTAGGAAGAACTGGGCTGCGAGGCTTTGTGGGAGACTCCGAACCGGAGTAAAACCGCTTGCTAGGTGGGAGAGGAGCACCGAGTTGACTGGCCGAGCGTTTCGAGCCTGTAGAACTCGCACGCGATTGAGTCGATACAGCCGGATACACTTGGTTATAATTGCTAGCTTTTGTGATATCCAATCCTTTGCGAACGTTGGCTTGAATATTATCGTCTTTGTCTCCAATCCTGACCGTCTCGTGATGGTAGTATCGCGCAACATTAATAACGCCTTGCTCTGTTGCCTCTTTGAGCAGGTCACCTTCATCGCGTTCTGGATATTGCCACGAGTCTTTGATAACGAAGACTAAAGATTTATCGCTGTCGAAATGCGCCTTCCAACAAGTTATTGCACGCCCTATAATGCCTTGTGCTCCTCTAATGCATTTGTCAATAATGAAGCGTTCTGTTTTGCCATGTTGTTTAACTTCAATATATTGTTGATCAGTAGTCGTAATAATAGTAGGATCAAGTCCAAAGCTGCTACTATCCATCCACAGAAAGCCAAGGATAGTTAATACCAATAGCTAACCCTCTTTGTGAATATCAAACTTGGTAGATGCAATACCGCCAAGCCGATCAAATTCCCAAAGTCGCATCCAAGTTCCGCATAGAGTAAAGGCGAGAACAAAACGGCGCGTGGGTTGGGCAATGAACACCTCTTTCACGTATCTTGCCACATTAAGTCGGGCCTGGGAGGGCGTGTCTTCTTTAGGGTTGCTTTTTAATTCACCAGGCACTAGGATCTGCGACCAATGATATCTTTGATCCTGGTCACTCTTAGGGACGTCGGCAAAGCCGACATCAAGTTTGCGTTGTGCAACTGAACCTTCGACGGGGGTATAAGGCTTGGTTACAATTCTTCGGTTTATTTCCTCGTATTCTCGTGCGTAGTGCTTAAGCTGTTCGACTAGGCCGGCAAGCCAGGTCAAAACGTCGGCTTCGTTGGCATTCTCTGGCCACCAGGTCCAGGCGTCTCGAAAGAGTGGCTGCTCTCCTTCTGTACAGTTCTGGAAGATCTCCGTAGATCTTGTCTCAAGGTCTGTGATATCACCAAAAAAGGCTTCGTAGAAATTCGGAACGTCGACGTACATAACGCCAAGTTCATCTCTGAGCGGCTTATCTATATCGATGCGTCTTTCAGAGGAATTCACAACGCTGCTAGTCTTGAAGACCCGTGGTGTTTGTTCGAATGAGGCGGCGGGCTTTCGGGGAGGTGTAGATTCGGCAGTAGCGACGGCATTGTAGACTTGTTGCCAAATGTCGACATCGGGTCCATTTGTAAACACTGCGTGAAAGAGAGGTCGGAGGCGACGAAAACCGAGTTCACCGGATTCGAAGGAGACTTCTAGTCGAAGTAGATCGGTTCGGAGGGTGCCGCGACCTGTTTTGGAAGGCAACTGGCGAGATAATGGATGGCTCTGTAGCGTCGGCAGAAGGTCGAGCGTTATAACCTGAAGAACTGAGTACCTGTTAGAATGATTCGCGAGGGGTTGAGGTTCATACTTACCTTCTGTACTTATTAAGTCGAGATCTGTAGGAGTTCGAGCGACTTTGTGCAATGAATCGCGTATTGCATCAAGATATATGCCAAGAGAGTGAGCTTGAATAATCTCGAGCTGGTGTTGGTCCATCCTGGCATCACGACGTGATGGTGCAGTCGGCAGTATTTACATGGTGCATGGATCTATCTTATGCTGTACTAAGTATGTAGTGTATCTACCAGTATCAAAGTTCGGTCTCATTAGAAGACAAGAAAGCATAAGTAAGACAAAAGAGATAGTGTCGGAGATAAGAGCCCGCATCTTAACTCCATCCAGCCCCTCCACCGATGCTGCACGTACTTGGTTGATATGGGGAGCGCGATGCCATGGTTATAACTAGGTATTATTTCACTAGCAGCTACAGTCGTTATTTATTACGCCCCAACGAGCCCGTTAGGCACCACAACCTCCCTTATACTAACCCCCTAAGCCTCTCCCAAAGGGCGAGCAGCGGGAACGGCAGTAACAGCGGTAACTTGGCCGCCCTGACTCGATGACGTCACTGCGCGTCTAATATAACGGTCAGTCAGTCAGTAGTCAAGTAGACAGTCAGTTAGATAATCAGGTATTACCGTATTGTCAGGTGACTGTAATAAGAAAAACTACCGTTTTAACTAAGCACCTAAGTATTCCGTAATTGAATGTGCATAAATATTATACTAGCTCCAGGGCACTGATGACAGGTTTACCGTCACAGTGTCCACTTGACCCTTTAAGGCCCTATCTATCTACATCTATCTACTTACCTCACTTGTACCTGACCCGTTGAACCTTATGACCCCCGCCTCATCTAGGTAGATCCAAGCATCGTCCCCGTAGGCTTTAGACCGCTCGCTCGCTCTCTCGCTCTCTCTCCCTCTCGTGATCCCATATAGAAAACACATTTACACATGTCCAATATCTGAAATCGGACAACCTATCTCAAGAATCATCATACAAGACACGAGACGCAGAGTTCGCAAAAGCACAAAGTGTTAAGCGCTGCAAGAGCGAACCAGATCACCGGGCCGAACAGCGCTATAACCACAGTAGCGTCATCGTCCCAAAACGCCCACACTTCCCCTCAGCCCTTCGCTCCCTTCCCTCCCTATTCCACCACCACCACCTCATCACCTCATCATCTCACTACTACACACGTCTTCCCTAGGTATTGTTAAACCGGCCACCCCGCCGCAACAACCCGTCGTCCCTCGTAGGACAACACCCGTGAAGCTACCCAGCCGTATCCCTTACCTGCGTGCACATTCGCATTCACCAACCATTTTGCTTCTCTCTCTTCCCTACCACCCGTGCTACGGCTAGCAGAGACACATATCTGCTGTCATGGCGTACAGGAGTAGCCGAAGCGAGCTAAGCGAGCGGGATTTTGCCCATCGAAGGGCACCTGTTCGCGAGTATGACGACGATTTACATGTTGACGTCGATATTCGAGAGCGTGACCGGGTAGACAGAACACCCGCCTTCCTCCGTGAGGATGGTCGACGAACAGAAGCTGGACCTCTCGTGCTCCGGTCGCGCGAAGTCGAGACTGTCGATAGACGGCGACCCCGTAGCCCAAGCCCCCAGGTCCGTTATCGAGAGCGCTTCGTAGAGCGCGAGAGGGGCCATTCACCCCTCCCCGAAAGACGCCCTGTTCGGTTCATCGAGCGCTCCCCCTCCCCACCACCCGCTCGCGTGCAAGTAGTTGAGCGTATTGAGCGCCGGGAAAGAGAAAGGTCCCCCACACCGGATCGGGATAGAGAGCTTATTCGACTTCGCATTGAACGCGAGAGACAAAAGGAGCGTACTCCATCGCCAAGTCCCTCACCGTCTCCTCCACCTCAGCCTCAGGTTATTCGAGGCCCTACCATTGAACGGGAGGTAATCACTCACTACCGAGATATCGATCATGGTAAGTCTGACCCCAACATCTAAACACGCTTGTACCCCAATATAATGGAACTCTTTTTGGCTAAACGGAATCTAGGCATGGTGCGAGCGAAGCCACCAACCCCTCCTCCGCCACCACGCCGCGCACCATCCCGTGCACAATCCCGTGCTCGGGAACGAGAGACTGATATAGACATCGATATCACACGTAATGAGACTGATATTGATATTCGCCAACGAACTCGTTCTCGTTCTCGCTCTCGCCCTCGCGAGCGACCCCGCCCACCACATAGGCCTTCGTATGACGATGATGATTTGATTATTGTCAGAAACCGCGATAGGCTCAAGGTTTCCGACGGGCAGAGACGCCGTGCTCACTCCGCGGCTCCACGGCCGGATTTTGATGAAGAGGCTGAGTATATTACCAGCAAGATCGACTCCAGAGGGCGCATGGGCGAGGCCTGGAATGGTGCTACCAAGGACTGGACCATCGTCGATGTCCCCCCGGGAACTGAGCGTGTCAAGATGGACGGTGTAGGCGGTGCTGCTGCTGAGGTGACTTGGCAACGCTACAACGGTGTCCGGCGCTCCAAATTCATCCCTGAAAGAGACGAGTCTCCAGCGCCTGCTCCACCGGCTCTCCCCGAACCAGCTCCCGACTCCTCACGTGAGAGGCTAAGCGTACAGATTTACGACTCGAAACACCGAGACCGCGAGGTAGAAGTGGAAGAGGTTCGAGACCGTCGTATCTCAATTCGTGATGGTGATCGCGACCGCCCCGCCAAGAAACGCGACAGCATGTGGACAGAGATCACAAAGGATCTGGTAAACCGGGAGGCTATCGAGCGCCTGGGATACGAGTATGAGGAGACGGAGTGGTTTTTCTACATTATGACATACCTGCGATATGTGAGTAGCAAGTCGTATAGTCTGAATTATCTTTCAGGTGCAAGAAAACTGACAATGTTACAGGAGGACGTTCTAGAACTCACAGACCTTACGGAGGATATCCGTCGTGCCCGAAGACGTCGAGCCCGTGAGGTTGAGGAGCATGACCACTACACATTCCACCGACGACATCACGCGCACCGACATCTGCCGTGGGATAGGGTAGACGACGAACGCATTGTGGATCGTGAAGTTATCTATGACTCACCTCGTTATTATCGCTAAGGCCAATCCGTCACGGAGTTTAATCATATCTAAGCTTGCAAAACTTGGATTTTTCTTGTCAAGACATTTGTTACCCGACCAAAGTGTTTCGAGTTCAGTTGGCTGTTATCCAGGGTTATCGTAATAAGCGACAAGCGACAATGGGGAACGAGAACGAGAACGAGCGGATGAATCATGTAAACATGGATGAATCGATATGATGTGATTTTCTCACTATAAATTTCTTCTTTTTGTTTCCTTCTATGACCGGGATTTGAAACACATTCCTCTTATTCTCTTTTCGGCATTGGGCGCGTGTCGCATGGAGCGAGTCGGTGGATGATGGGAGGGTGAACTTGGGGATTTGTATCTAGACAGCGCTTGTGTGTGTGCTCTCATGATTGATGACTCGATGAATTATACCTATTTATCAGTAACTTCATTTATTCATTTCGGGTTTCGTTATAGGATGTGAATTGTTAGCTCCCTTTATTAGGTACAGAGGCTACGACGACACGTGGTTGTAATTGGAAAGTAACTGCAATGTGCTAGGAGACTGGCATGTCTTAGATTTTTGTAATGATGACGTTTTAAAGGGGGCGGGGAGCACTTTTTTTTTTACACAAAATTTAGTTAGGTAACTACGTATTGATGGTGTGCGCTATTGTATTAGTATGGGGAAACACATGTCAAATCCTCTAAACACCAATTAATTGTATTAAACTTGGTTGTTGAATATATAACGTTGTTAAGTTTGAGATGGGAGGGAAAGCGATTTCTATTAGGATGCAGATACGAAGGGAGTTAGTTCTATGTAGATTGGGAATCTAGAAATGAGGAAACTGGAAAAGGATGTAAATTGCTGCGAATGATTCAATGTAAGTAAGTAGGTAGGTAGGTCGCTGGATCAAACTCATAGCTCTCGTACACCTCAGCTCAGATACGATGGTTAGGAGTCGTGGGAAATCTCAAAGCGTCGACTACGAATCGCTCCATGAGCTCCGGCTCACCCTGTCGAACCAGCGTCCAGAGCCACTTCATATGCGCCTCCTGGACTTGCCAGGTCCGCACCACATATAGCGCTCGATCGCGAATCGCGATAGCGGCGTCGTCATTCACAGGGGGCGGGACGAGCAGGAGCTTGTGAGAGTCCATGATCGTCTGCTCGACTTTTTCGAGAACGGACTGGAGCGCTTGGAATCCGATTATTGTCAGCGGGTCTTCCGTGTTGGACACCACGTCCTCGAGTCGGTCTTCCAGATTGCAGAGCTTTGTGAGGACGGAGGCCGGGTCGTTGAAGTCGTCTATGTAGACGTTGAGGATGGAGAAGAGGTCTTCTAGGGTTTCGTTGGAGAAGAGATTCATGTCGACTTCTGCGAGGTAGCGTTGGAGTGAATTAGTGACGGGCATTGTTGCTGTGGGTGTATTGAAGGCTGTTATTCGTAAGTTGGTTATGGCTATGTCACGTTGATGTTTATCTGGTTGCTTGATGATGATGATGAGATCGAGAGTTCTGGAATTGAAGGATTTCCTGGTCATTTATATTCAAATTGCTACCTAGCTTCTTTTCTGTAGTGCTGATTGTTCTTTGGTTGTTCTCTTTGCTCTTAGCTGTTATGCTACAATGGCCTGCTTTATTGAATGAATAAGGAACAATGGCATTATGGTGTAAAGCTAGACTTAGGTTATTTGTTGTGTGAGAAGTATTGAAAGTATACATCAGTCTTTTGAAAGGTTGACTTTGGAATCTTATACACGGTTACAAGTGCGTGCTTTGATAGGAAAAAAGTTTTGTATGACTTCGTTGGTGAGTGGTTGAGATATACACAATGTAGTTGATGAATACCTGCATAGCTTAAGAAGCAACCCCATTGAGATGGCAGAGTGTGATGACTTGAACTTAGAAAAGAATCTGAGAGCAACAGTGCCTTTGATAAAATTAGAGACTCTTTGCCCTGGAGGCAGGGTTGTATTGTCGTTGAAAACGAAACGAGCAGAACGCATAAACTCATCCCATAGTCACCATCATGGATATCACACCAAGCAATACCACATCAATACCAATCTTGCCAAGTACCAATACTACTCAAGCCTTCAACTCGTCACATTTCCTACAACAATAAGCCAAGACACATAGACTTCAAGGAAGCTCAACGTCATCGCCCTCAAGTTTAATCGGAGGCTTCGCCATACGTTGCGCCCGCACCTTATCATCCATGCTTCTCTTCTCCGGCAATCCCACCCGCGCGACGGCAAGAACAGGCTCTCGAGCCACGACTTCGACGACGCCGCGAGCTGTAACAGAGTGTCCATCAGCAATGTCCTCTCAGCGCATTAAACCAAACATCGATATATCACAAGCAGTGATTCTAGATAAACACAGGGAAAACTCACCAGGATTCCCAACTGGGGCCGCGAGGATAGCCGGCAGCGAAGCTAGGGACAAGAAGGGGATTTGCCACTTCATGGTGATGGGACTAATGAGCCGCGGAAGAGACGGAGGAGTATGGATTAAGTCGGTTCTGGTAGGAGTCAATTTCCCCGAGATTGGGTATGAATTTGTAAGTAACTTTACTTTGTACGCCCGAGACGGATCTGAGTATTGAGGATATATATGCTCTTATAGTATAAAGTGTCGAATGGTCTGGCCGTCTATGGTATACGTTGCATTTTTCAAGGTGTCACGGACTTCAGGATGTCTCGGCGAACTTCTGGCTGAGAAGTAGTGTAGCTCGTTAGTAACCAATCACTTTACAAAGCCCAAGACTAGGAGCGACGGACAACTCAGACCGAAGACAATATCAGCTAGTTCGTGTTCAGCTCGTAGACTCAGCTGGCGCAGCTGTCACGTTGGTATTACTTCGAGATGCAGGGACGCATTTGGCCCCATCCACCCCATCTGAAATAACCTATATCAATAAGCTGATTATTTCCTGAAGGACAACGACTGTATTGATAGGCGCAGGGCATCCGTTTTGGGGAGATAATAGGTGGTTTAGTCTATTAAGTGGATTCTACATGTCTCCTCTCATAAGCTTCAACACTATATCTTGCAAAGTATCGCCTTCCATACTCTGACTTTCTGAATCCCATGTCCAGGTACCCGTGTGGCTTATCTTGTTGGTCTGCCAATCCGCTTTCAAAGTAAGCACTATTTTATCATTTACGACATCTATGTCGATTCTGGCATCCTTGCCCTTAGCACTCTTTATTCCTATGCCGGCAATTGTTTCCGACCACTGAATGTCGTTATCTCGAAGCTGTTCAGCCGCTATTCGAGCAAGATTCTGTGATAAGACCCGAACGGCTGCTTGGCAAAGATAATATATTGCTTCCTGGACGTTGGCACAATAGTCCGCCGGCGGATATGCAACCTCTAATGGGTTTGGTGGTAGGTCTTTGACATCTCCTGATGGCGGTTTTAAGCTCATTGTAAACAACGTGCCGATAGTTTGACGAACAAAGCCTCGGCTATAGCACCATATCCGTGCTTCTGGCGTGATGGTGAACGTATAGAGAGATACTAAATTGAAAACAAGCTGTTGGACCCAGAGCAGTTCGGTAGTTGGGGTATGCCGAACTCGGGGTACCCCAGATGGAGGGTTTGGGGGAGGAACAACTTGAAAGAATGCTGTTGAAATGCCGGCATGCCGTAAGGTACGGACTAGTTGGTCCAGGTGGTTCCCTAGGTCCCTGGAATTCTTGAAATACTCAAAGCGGGATATGAGACTTCGTAAGATGTTGTAAGTCGTGTTATTAGATTCACTTTGCCGTACTGAGGGAGAAAGCGAAGTCCGTTTGTGGTAATTTTGTCGGTGACTCTGGAAAAGGAGAAACTGCATAAAAGAATATGCCGCGGTAGCAGAGAGCGCGCCCTCTGAATAGTTTGCGCCTCCATCATCCTGTTCATCAAGATCTTCTAGCGTCAGAATGAACTCAGTGTCTTTGCTCTGCTTCCAGGTAATGGTTGGACCTTCGTAGTAGACATCGTAGGCTAGTAGGACACGGGCTTCGCGATTAAGCTCGTACCACAACTCCTGATGGAAAATAGTATTCCTAGCTTCACGAACCCGGTCCTTTAAAGGGGCGTCGTCCGGTATTCGCGCAGGTAGAGGTGATTGGTCGGTAACTGTACCAGCCTTTTTAACGGCGATGCGTATTCTTTGGGAACCACCACCAACCTTTCCAACGCCTAATTTGATGGTGCCATCGTCATTGCGAATTAATGGCGCAATGCTGTTATTCCTGAACTCAGCTGCTGACTCGGCAAACCCGAAACGAACACCCAGTGTGTGGGGTTCTTGAGGAAGAGCACAAACTGTCCAACCATCGTCGCTCACAGCCAGAATATCGGCCCAGTACTTAGTCTCAAGTTCAATCTCTTTCTCCAATCGCTCGGCAGCAGCTAGAACCGAGTCGACCATAGAATTGATACCCATGGCCCTCCATCCAGTGGCAACAGAGAGGTCATCTTGTATCTGAGCTTCTGTAATATTGGGCTCCTTTAATTTGGAAGCGCCTAGGGTTCCGATACCTACAAGATCGCGCAGCGCTGGAGACAGCGTAGTACCGGCCTGGACTGGGATTTCCTTGGAGAGGAGGAGGGATATGGAGTCCAGTGCCAACATGGCAGACTGATGTGCGAACCTGCGGCATCCATGATTAGCGCAGGTTCAAAGGGTAGGCAGGCGGAGAGCTAGGCTGACTCAATATTCCTCAAGAATTCCTCGCGTGCGACAAGAGCAGTCTTTTCCTTGGCTTCCTCGGCCTCCTCCTCATCGTCTTCTTCCTCATCTGAGCCCTCGATGCCATCGTCCTCGAGGGTCCCTTGCTTTTTAGACTGGATCTCTTGGCGCAACTCTGCCTCGTTTAGGTTTCGGAAACCACCAGGCTGGGCATTGACGCGAGCAATGAAATCGGCAAGGTTTTGGGGTTTCTTGTCGCCGATTGGCCAGGGGCGTAGAGAAAAAGGCGTCTGATTGTTGCCAGCCATCGTGGTTTAATTCCGAGGACCGATATCTCGGATTGATGGTCAGGCAAGATGGTGTCGGAAAAGGATCGTTCTGGGATGGGTGGCGACATTCATCTCAGCATCGGGGGTCTGCACGAGATGAAAGCACATTATCTGGTACTTGAAATTCGCATGTTGTGCATGATCTACAGGTTATTTGCAGGAACTTCAAGTTCCAAACAAAGGGATTCAACGGTAGATAGGCGGTCGTGGGTTGTGGTTGAATGACGCCCTGGTAGACCCAGGTACAAGGTACCTACCTAGGTAGCGCGTTGGAATGCGCTAGACCTCAACCCCTTAACATAAAAAAGTTGCCGAGGCTGATGTGTGGCTGATGGGAAGCTTACCTAGGAGGTACTAAGAGGTACCTAGGTAGCTCCCTACAGCCTACAGGTGACACAGGTACCTACCTCTCTGTAACTCAGCACATATGTAGGTCTACTGGCTGTCACCCATCGATGAGATGAGTGCTGCTATTAGAAATGAAATGGGAATTTCATCATGTTGGCCGCCCTCAAGAGAATCGAGAAACTACCTTTTCCACCTGTGGATTCCTCGGGGAAGCATCTTCCAGTTTAGAATTGAGGCTTTATGATTTGGCCAATTACCCCTTCTGCAATGGTAAGGATTGGCCTTCACAAAGTAGACTATTTCGTAGGTATGCTACACTAATGTAGGCGAGTCGACATCGAGTTGCGCGTGTAACATTGCCTGCCATCGTGTGAAGTGTCCAAATATCCATTGTACTTAAGCATGCCTACCTACATGTAGGTATGGATCAGTAGACATAGTCTACCTACTTAGGTAGCACAACATGCGTGTAAATAAATACCGCTGCGGGAATTTCCACAGGGACGGACATGTGGGATGAAGTATCACTTGCAATTGGCCGTTACAATAGAGTGGTATATCTAAGAGGGATACTATGAGATGATTGTTTTCGTACTCTGGTAAAAGTCGCGCACCAACAGAGTCTCGAGATTGAGTGAGTACCTACTCGCATCCCGGTATCCGACATCGCCAGGGTCCCAAGATGTTCGGACTTGCGGTTGGGGAGGAAGCACTTATTCAAACATCCGACTCGTCAAATCGCCTCAACTTTTGTCCGTTCAACTACCGGATAAATAAACCAATACTTAGGTAGTTGGGATAATATGCATGTGTGTATGTATGTATGTGCCGTAGAATGCTGAGAACAAGAGAACAAGAGCTGCAGAGGGAAACAAATCGTATGATATCAAAGCAGCTTCTAGCCCTCGCCAAGTTGCCATGTTGAGGTCCATCACCCCACCAAAATGACGCACAGCCTTACGCTCAGCTCCGCCGGAGGGGGGCGCCGTTGGTTAGGTACTCGCTCGGCCGGCACTCGGCGCACTAGGTGGCCTGCTAATCCAAGCTCTGCTAAGGGAGCTGTTTAGGTTGCATTCGACCTCGACGGATCCTTGATGACCTCACATGCAGGCTGCACTATTCTACCTAGTATCTCCCCTACCTGCTGATCAAAAACAATCTTCGAAAAGAGAGGAAAAGAGCGTGGTGGATTAGGGTATCTGACCTGATGGACAGCCTTGAATGTACCTATCTTAGGTACTGCTAAGGTACTACTACTGTAGCTTCAAGGCGTACAGTACCCCTCCCTGCCCCTGTAGCTGTCGCTGTACAATGTAGCTGCAGTGTGACTCTACAAGTCCCTTTAACCCCTCACTACGGCCAATTGATAAGCCTGATAAGAGCTCCCCATCGTCCCATCCCACCATACCACATGCCACATCCCACTACCACCATCTCATGCTCGGTGTTGGGTGTTTTCTTGTCGTCGAGATACCCAATTACATGACATAGCATGACCCATTATCATCTACACGCTGTCTTCCTACCTAGCCTAGAATCGACCCTGCAAAATCTCGTCTGCGTCACTTGACGTCCCTTGATATTACTTACTACCTTGCTCATAAGCCACCTAAGCGACCCAAGCTGCTGACATACGAAACGCTCCTAGGCGCTCCTATATAGTTTTCACACAAAACCTACGCAGCTCTCTGAAAACTAGCACCTTGAGCTCCGCAAGTCACGCCTAAATTTATTTACCTACCATTCCCCTCACACACACGCTTGCTCAACACAACAACCCATCTTCAGCATGGCGGCACCACACAAGAAGAAGATCGCCGTCATGACATCCGGGGGTGATTCCCCTGGTATGAATGCCGTCATCCGCGCCGTTGTCAGAATGGGAATTCATATGGATTGCGACGTATTTTGCGTCTACGAAGGATACGAAGGTCTCGTCCGTGGTGGTAACTACATCAGACAGATGGGATGGGAAGATGTACGAGGTTACCTATCCGAAGGCGGCACTCTCATCGGCACCGCCCGGTGTTTGGCATTCTATGAACGCCCAGGTCGTCTCCAGGGTGCGAAGAACATGATTCTCAACGGCATAGATGCACTGATCATCTGCGGCGGTGATGGATCTCTTACCGGTGCGGACAAATTCCGTGCCGAATGGCCATCACTGCTGGAGGAGCTTGTCTCAAAGGGAGAATTACAACAAGCACAGATTGAACCGTACAAGCATCTCAACATCGTCGGTCTGGTTGGATCCATTGACAATGATTTATCTGGCACAGACGCTACCATTGGCGCTTACTCTGCCCTAGCACGCATTTGCGAAATGGTCGATTACATCGAGGCTACCGCTTCATCTCATTCTCGCGCCTTTGTTATTGAGGTCATGGGCCGCCACTGCGGTTGGCTTGCTCTGATGGCAGCAGTTGCTACCGGCGCCGATTTCCTATTTATTCCCGAGAAACCTAGAGAGGATAACTGGAAAGAAGAAATGTGCCAAGTTATAAAACAAGTGAGTAGCCCTTTCTTGCAGTACCAACCCCTTCCCATGATGTCTAACAATTTCAAAGCATCGGAGTATGGGGAAACGTAAGACGATCGTCATTATTGCCGAAGGTGCTTTGGATAAACATGGCGAAAAGATCACTCCCGGTATGGTCAAGGATCTCCTAGCCGATAAGAACGGCCTAGCCTTAGATACCCGCATTACCACACTAGGTCACGTTCAGAGAGGAGGAACAGCTGTGGCATATGATAGAATGCTCGCTACTCTGCAAGGTGTCGAGGCTGTCAGAGCTGTGCTTGAGGCTACCCCTGAGACTGAAACTTGCTTCATCGCTATTACCGAGAACAAGATCACCAGGAAGCCTCTGATGGCCGCTGTCAAAGAGACGAAAGAAGTTGCAGCGTTGATTGAAGAACAGCGTTTCAATGAAGCTATGGCCCTCCGCGATACCGAGTTTTCTGACCAATACAAGTCGTACACAATGTCGGCGAATACGGGTTTCAGCGATGAGATTCCGTGCAAGGAGAACGAGGTAAGTTCGCTGTGTTCCAGGCCTTTGCTTATTATGACTGACACTGTACAGAAAATGAGGATTGGTTTCATCAACGTCGGTGCTCCGGCGGGCGGTATGAACGCTGCCATACGCGCCGGCGTGGCTTACTGCCGAACCCGAGGGCACGATGCCATTGCCATCCACAACGGATTTGCCGGATTTGCTCGACACCATGGAGACGAACCTCTCGGCGCTGTTCGCCCGTTTGATTGGCTTGAAGTAGACGGTTGGGCCAGCAAAGGTGGCTCAGAGATTGGCACTAACCGAGAGTTACCCGAGGAATCAGGCATGGAGCACATCGCTAATCTAATCAAGAAGTACAAACTCGATGCTCTCTTCTTAATCGGAGGGTTTGAGGCTTTCCATGCAGTGTCGCAACTACGCAAGGCCCGAAGTCAATACCCATCGCTCTGTATTCCCATGGCTTTGCTGCCTGCGACTATTTCGAACAACGTACCGGGTACTGAGTACTCTCTTGGCTCTGACACATGCCTGAACGAACTTGTGGCTTATTGTGACAAGATCAAACAGTCGGCTTCTGCCACTCGGCGGCGAGTTTTCGTTATTGAGACACAAGGCGGACGATGCGGATACATCGCCCTACTAGCCGGTCTGAGTGTAGGCGCTAGTGCTGTGTATATCCCAGAGGAGGGTATTAGCCTACAGATGCTCACCGCAGACGTCATGCATCTGAAGGACGTCTTCACCAAGGACAAGGGCCAGACAAGAGCTGGAAGACTGGTACTCATCAACGAGAAGGCTAGCGAGACATACACCGCTAAACTCATCGCTGACATTATGCGCGAGGAAGCTCACAACAGATTTGAGTCCCGGGACAGCATTCCGGGCCACGTTCAACAGGGAGGTGTTCCTTCGCCAATGGATCGATGCCGAGCTGTGAGACTTGCCATTAAGTGTATACAGCATTTGGAGAAGTTTGGCCCAAGGGCTTACGAAAGACCGGAGGAGATTAATCAAGACCCTATGAGCGCAACCGTCATCGGTATCAAGCGCTCGGAGGTAGTGCTTTCTGCGATGAAAGACGTTGAAGAAAAAGAGACGGACTGGAAGAACCGACGACCCACTGCAGCTCACTGGATGGGCATCAAATCTGTTGTGGACATCCTGGGCGCACGCGCGGACTACCCTAAACCAGTGCACAACCTTCAGGGTCTAGCAGCCAAAGACGCGAAGCGAGGTCTCTAAAGGGGATATACAGCGCATCATTTCGGAGTCGGGGGTTCAAGGAACTGGATTCGGGTTCAGGCGGTATTAAAAGGTTGGATTCAAGATGGTATTGTTTGTTTGTTATTATCCCAAACTATTTCCGGTCTTACGGACTTGCAGAATATTTCGGTCTAGTAGAATTAAGAATATTAGTAGAACATTTGGAATGAGCTCGCATACTACCTATAACGCGAAGTCGTCCGTTGGTTTTTTCGGAACCGAAAGTGACGAAAGGGAGAGAATCGCACGTGAGTTGGGAAGCCTCGTAGAGCTCAGTGTCGGCAGTCTCCATGAGCCGGGGTTTTGGCCAACGGCTTTCGACTGCGCCGCCGTGCCCGAGAATACTAATGTGTGTCGTTTCAATAATAGTTTACTCTGACATGAACTCTTCCTGTGTGCTGTGTGACATGGATGGCATATAGCCTTCCTCGAGGGGGGGGGGGATAATTCTGTAGTTATACATCGCATAGTAGGGCTTTGTTGTCTATATAGTAAGTAAGCCACTGTCATCCGAAACTAGGCGTCTTCCCTGCGGCAATCAGTCGCTGAGTTGCTGATGAAATAAGTGGCTTTAGTAAGAACTGTAGGTATCCCACCGGGACGATGCCGGAAGGAATTGGAGGCGCAGGGGCGTTACTCTGTCGGTGCATGGATAGGTGTATACCCTCCCTACTACTGTACCTACCTACCTTGCATGACGTGATACCTGGTGTGTTTTATCGTGTTGTGTTGTGTTGTTGGTTAACTGTTGGTTTCGGATTCTGAGATTGATGCAGTCTCGGAAGTAATATGTGAATCGGGAAGCTAATACTATCGCTCGGATCCCACGTGGCGAGCGGCCATGCAGAGATCGGCGGCTGTAGATAACGAAATGCAGTCGTACTTAGGAACGCTAGCTACCAACATTGTGGCGAGTGGTCGGTAGCGGGATGAATTGAAACCAATTGTTGGTTGTAACTTGCATGGGCGGTTATGGGTAATAGTGTAACTTCTTGCGGTACCGTAGCTCGCGTAGTAAATGAAGTAGTGTCGATACGTAAGTATTGTGCCGAGATCGACGCTACGTGCATACTATATGTAGGGATGTGGCGGGAACGCTTACTATGGACTTGGTTGAGAAGCGTGCGCAAGTAATCTGCTTGTTAGTTGTTGTGCTTGGTATCATGCATTTTATTTGCTTGCGTAACCTAAGTAGTCTAGAAATTTGGATTTTGAAACAGAGAAAAGAGAGAGAGAGAGAGAGATAAGAGTTATTTATAGACATTACGATTTCATTTTCTGTTCCTGTTGTTAATTGTCATATTCTATACGTATCTAGCTTATTGATCGCAGGTATGAGTATACCTCGGCGCCTGGAGAAGGATGATGGGTAATCTTAAGCGATTTTAATTAATTAGGTGTTCATCAATTCGTTGTGATTATACAGATTCTATTCTGCACGTGGCCGCTCGCTATGCTTCCTGCCGGGGCCATGATATGATTTTTACCCCTGGGTATACAATTGGTAGATAGACAGACTTGCCATTACTGTTATGCTATGCTCCTGGCCGGGCTCAAGTACCCAGCCTTTCCTCGTGAAGTATACAACGATATACAAATGCGCGGAGATATGCAATCCGGGCGTGGCGTGTTATGTTTTGAGTAAAGACGTTTTAATTGATTTCGCTGTTCAAGGCACCTCTTTGTAGTGCCCTTCTCCCATTAATTCGACGGGTCTCCGCTGCTCGGGAAGTTCGCTCACGTCTGGGCGAGGTAGTGGGACGTGATATTTATCGTTTTGATATTCTTGCGGCGAAATTGGGCTTCCGTTCTGGTTATGACCCGACGTCGAGGCTTGTACCTGAGGTTGGTAGTCTTGGAGATAGTTATACTGGATGTCTTGTAGAGGTGCTCCGTCAACCGGAGATAATGTCGATACTGGATATATCCATGTCAAGTCTCCTCCTTGTTGTTGTTGCTGCTGTTGTGAATGTATATGTGCTTCGGGCTGATATTGTGTATTAGATGGCCCTGCGTAGCCATGTTGCGGGTTCGCACCGATGGGCGTGGGCCCAAGGTACGTTGTTCCTGAATAAGCGTATGTCCCTCCATATTGCCCTACCGCGGGCAGCATCGCTTGTGTTTGCTGGGGCAATATATATGCCTGATCTGGTATTGCTGGATACTCCCCTCCGTGATATGCGACTCCATGTGGCGCCTGTTGAAACACACCGTGCTGTCCAGTCGAGGGCGCATTCATATAATGGACCTGCTTACCCTTTCCAGCGTCTCCCCCTGATATATCCTCATCGTCAACATCACGCGATGGCGGGACCCGTGTCTCTGGCCTCATTAATGTCCTATTACGTTTCCTGATAACACATAATATCGCAAGAGATCCGCCTATAATAATGGCACCAAGGGTGACGCCAACCGATATGCCCGCTTTCGCCTTATCGCTCAACCCTCCTCCTTCGTGTTTTAAAGATGGCGAAACAAATGTTGACGTTGATATTAGAGCAGAACTCGTAGGTGTAGGTGTGCGAGCAGTAGTCGTTTGGCTCCAGACATGCTCAGCAAGGAACCACAGAGCGATAACGCTGGTATATAAGGACCTTGTAACCATGATCACGACGAAGACTTTAGTCACTCATCGCATAGCCTTGGGAGAGGGAAAAGGTGACACGAATAGATGGTAGCGATCCAGGGTCCTTCGGCTCCGTTCCGTCTAGGGTAGATGTTGTGGTAAGAAAAGACGTTTCCCCAGATCTTTCATCGCCAAAACCATCGCAAATCTAAAGACCGGAGAGCGAAAAGGGAATTGGAGAGAATCAGAGGAGAGCCGAACCACCGAGATCGTGGGCCCAGAACAATAGATGTAGTGTACACTAGGATAAAGCATACCAAAAAACAGTGCAGGGATTGGGATCTCCTTACTACAGCAAGGCAAGGTAAACTACTGAGGATTAGCGCCGGGTTGTTGGCTTATACTGGGGGTGACGACAATGACCTACCGCTTTGAGAATGACAGGCGATCGTCATCGTCTGTCTAGCATCCTGGTTCAAGCTGGTTTTCCGGATTGAAATGAGCTGCAGCGTTGCTTGAAGATTTGCGCTCTGGTGACCCATCTGCCAACCCCAACTCTGCCCAACCCGCTTTCAGCTTACCCCTTTCACATGCTTTTCAGCAATTGCCAACCTCAACATGCACGACAACTCTAGAATGCTACTCTACGAACCAGATCTACTTAGTCGAAAGCTCAATTCCCTTTCAGTTTCGGTGTAGAGCAATGACATAACTACCGCCACCTACACACACTACTCATGCAAGACATGTGTTAGGTATTTTTAACAGGCCAAGGCATCGATCGCGCGAAAACTATCTAGGTTGGGTTAGATCATGTGGATTTGTTATCCAGTTGTTAGCAACTCGGCGTCTAGGCGCGGGCACCGTACGGCGCGCGAAATCCGTCGGAAATCAAGAACTTGGACGAGTCGAGGCACGAGGCTTTCGAAAGGAGAATTTGCCGTTTATGAGAAAACCACCAATGGACCATTGCGTGGTTCTGCGCATGGATGACCAGTTGGAATCACGAACAATAAGTTTTACCCGAATATAATTGCTTGCTACGCTAAGGTTCAAATGACCTCGGGGGGCCCTAGTCTAGCATCAGTACATAGTAATGGATAATTAACCCATCAACTCGGCTGTTCAAATAACCCTGGTAGATCACTGTGAGGGCATCGTGGAAGAGAGGGAGGGGCCATGCCATGAGGTGCACATACCGGTATAAACTGCTTACCATAACTACACCACACTATTTCCCGAGTTCCGCGTTCGAAATGTATGGTTTCAGACAACTTGCGAATCGTTCTCAGTTTATGTTTACTGCCAAGTAATAAGGTGTGGCTGCTGCGCCGCTCGATGATACCTCAAGACATCTTAATGACGTCTAGTACCATGGCTGGGTAACACAACGGGCGGAGGCAGTCGGCCACCCCGTTTACTTTGATTTCTACATATAGTAAAAGAGGCGAGAGAGGTAAGCAAAGCAAGCCTTCTAGCCTAGTCAATTTAGATCCAAACTGCCGGCTAGAGCCTCCATCAAGAAAGAAAGGATAGTCGTACGAGTAGGGAAAGGTCGACTTATTGTTGGTGCTGAGTGACAAAGAAAAAGGGACTGAGAGACTACCTAGGCCGACGCGAATACACCTGTCCCGGGATTCAGGTAAGTAGTAAATGGCCTTCCCCGGGGTTTAAAGCACTTTCTTCTCGGGCGTCTGCCTCGCCTCGGCATTCCTACTGATACAAGGTAATCCCGGATCGGACAGGGCGTCTTCGGGCGCTAGCGGATATTAACCTACAAAGCATACGAACCCAAGCTTCTAAAATTATCTCGCAGCCTTTTTACCTGCTCAGTACGTAGTAGGTATTACATGTAAACGGATCAAAGTCGTCGAGTGTCTTGGATATCTTGTGAAGGACGAGAACGTCTCAATGTTCCCTAATTCGAGCGAACAGGTCTCGTATCGTTGGGATGCATGTCTCAGATAACAGGCCCGATTCTTTCGGTGACCGCGCAGTTCTCTGACAATCTCGATATCCTCATTGGCTATCACAGCACCACCCCCAACTGCAGGTCTCCAGCTCTCGTACAAGTTTACGACTATAATTTTTACGGACTGCTGCTGCCATTCATACTTGGGGTGGGATTTGATGGGCACCAGGACACAGCCGCCTGTAGCGCTACGGAAGACGAAACACGCGCCACGCGCTTGATAGGGCGAAAATCAACCGCGTGTATATTAAATATCCTTGGCGACGTTCTCTAATGGCGCACCTCGATGGAGACATCGGTAGGCAGATCTTAGGTATCTCTCTATGTCCAATACCTATGAATCGTATCGATATGTAGACAGTGAGTCTTCGTCCCCAATCAAGACAGGAAAGGCGACAGCATACATAATGGTAAATGTAAATATTATGTTCCACTCACACCCTTACTCGCACACTCGGATATTCACCTTAGACCTAATTAAAACCAATTCTTACCTTCGGGGATGTTCGTCGCTAGGTGTTCTAACACCGTTATAGTTACTCGAGTATCCCTCATCACTTGTGCTGCTCCGGATATCCGCCATGTGTATCTCGATGGCCGAGCCTTGCCATCCACCACTACTCTAGCGTATATTCATACAAGAATAGGAAGGATTGAGCGTAGGGAACAAGATTCGTTGGAGTGGGAGGTTATTGGTGTGAATCTAACGATCCCGTGTCGAGAGTCCTCTCTAATGTTATACTAATAGCACAAGGAGCATCAATTATTGTCAGGTCGTGTATGAATCTGGTCAATAGTACTGACTGGGAAACAAGACGTCGATCCAATTCAGCTCTGGAACGAAGAAGTAGATGTAGAGCCGATGATTTCTAGTCCACCTGTTCTGTGCCTACTGTATGGTCTCGTTCTTTGGAGAGCGTTGCCATTTGAGAGTCTTCTAGCTTTGACGGGCAATTTCCATCTAGGAACGGAGCGAACTTATCCACGAGGTAACACATGTCGTTGTAAGCCCTGGCTAAGATGAGTGTCTGCACGATTTTGAGGAGCGGGGGGTTCTTCATATGACACTCACACTTGCCGCACAGCTGTTCCCTGGCTGAGGTGATTCACAGAGTAAATTATATTGAAGTATACAGAGTAAAGCCGGTTTCTGTCTTCCCATTCATCTTCGGGCTCACTTGGTCCACCATAGTGGTGTAGATAGGACTCCGTATACCGCTTGTCGTGGATTCTATTATAATGGCAGCGCCAATCACCGATTTCCATCTCATTGTGGCCGTAGAAGGCAGCAGAATCAAAGATATATATGTTGCCGTCTTCCCGAGTTGTGCCCGTATTACCTTCCCAGAGGTCACCGTGAATCAGACTAGGCTTGATGCTACGGCCACCTGTCTCTAGAGCCCCGAGCAATCTAGGTACGACGTCGGATATAAGACGGTTCTCAACAATCTCAAGGTCCTCCTAATCACCATTATATTCGAAGTCTAGTTTTGTAACATGCTTGAGAAGCCTGATGAAGAAGGCTTTCCAGCTCTTCTCCCAGTTCACGTACTGTGGCACACGTCCCTAACAGGTGGTTATGTGAAATCCGAATTGCCCGGTAGGTGACTGGCTTTTCCGATGAAGACGAACAAGGCCAGCACAAAGTTTGCTCGGATCTGGCATTGTTTCCTGCACATCGGTGTACTCGGAGAGGAAGAAGTAGGCCTCTATGTCCGTACCGGCATACCTACCGAATGCAAGTGGTTTCGGTACTAAGTCTGGAACCCATTTGTACAGTTCAGACATCGCATTGAATTCGCCTTCCATTAACGTGTGTCCATGACTACCAGGGGCAGACTTGAGAAAAATCCGTTGCTCCGAGCCACCAGGCAGTTTCAAGTCTAGACGAGCCGTGACTGTCCATGCTGATTTGAGCAGTCTATTGGCCGAGCGGACCTGTGTCCCAGCAGGAAATTGTGCGAGAACATTGTCATTAACAGGGAAATCTCCCATATAATGAACAGAGCGTCCAGGTGAGGTAGGAGTATGAGTTTGCGAAACTGTTTTCATCGTGGCCGAATTACTTGCATATTTACTATATACTATAGCCAAAAGGGCTGCTCTGATACCGATATCATATTCGCCTTGGTACGCGACCTAATACGGCATCAATGCAGTTGGTGTACCTCTGCATGATCAGCATTCTTGTTATGGAGTAAGCCGGTTGCCTCTTGCCCTCGACGCCCCGCGCATCGTCACAATCGCAAACGCCTATCGTGTTGCAGCGAGGCAGAATTTGGCGGGGTTCATGTCCACTACGGTGAGGTAGGTAGTCATATTCAGGCAGCAAGTCTGCCGATCCAGAACCAGTCTGAAGATGGTCATCAGTGATTTGGACGCATCTTACCATCAACCTCCGTTGATCGTTCAATCAAACTTGGACCAACTAGTCTAGGGTGGATCTGACAGCGTCGTCTCGAGTCTCGAAATGGTGAATAATTCAACTTTTACATATTCTCACCTCACTGATCTAAATTGTGCTGACACCCCAAGTTTAAACGCTTTCGGCTTAGAAAATCTCGACAGAGAGATTCGATAAGTGAAATACCCGAAGATGTGTCCACCTCATCCACATCAGATATTACACGTGGTTGGAGATCTGAAGTGCCGTCCAGAACGGCACTTTCAGTTTCTCACGGTCGCAGCTCATCGCCTTCACTATCTGGACTTGGTCTGCACATGATCCATCAGCCGGATCATGCAACTGTCGATCTAATTTTTGTTCATGGCTTAGGGGGGCATAGCATCAAGACATGGTCAAAAAATCATGACGCTTCTCTATTCTGGCCCCAGCTATGGCTACCATCTGAGCCTGGTGTTGAGAACGCCCGTATATTTACATTTGGCTACGATGCAGCCTGGCGTGGCGCAGGAAAGTCTGTTTCTGACATTACCGACTTCGCGAAGGAGTTGTTATTTGAGATGCGATTTGGGAAAGATGCTGCTGGAGAAGAGTTAAATTTCGGGATAAACCCCATCATATTCGTGGTCCATAGCATGGGCGGTTTGGTTACGAAGAAGGCATGTCTACTGGGTCAGCAAGATGCAACTTATCAAGGAATCATCCAAGCGGTATCGGCTATCATATTCCTTTCAACACCTCATCGCGGTACGTATTTGGCCAAAATCCTCAATAGAGTTCTATCTGCGTCTTTCCAGTCATCTAAGAATTTTATCTCGGACCTCGACAAAGGCTCTTCCGCTATCGAGGAACTAAACGAGCAGTTTCGCCGTCTAGCACCGAACTTGTCAATCTGGTCTTTTTATGAAACATTGGCTACTTTGATTGGGCCACGACAGATAATGGTGTTAGAAAAGGATTCCTCAGTTCTAGGCTATCCAGGGGAAATCTCCCGATCTTTGCAAGCTGACCACCATGATGTCTGCAAATTCTCGAGCCCCACGGATCCGAACTATATCACAGTTAGAAATGCGATCAAAACTCTAATAGCGCAGCTTCGAGACAAAAAGCTAGGAGTAAAAGTCATACCACCCAACAACACGGTATTTGAAGATGAGATGATGGTTATCCAAGATCATTTCCACAACTGTCCCTCGACTGAGACTGATTATGACGCTAGTCGTCGTGCTTGGATCCCAGGTACCTGTGAGTGGTTCCTTGAGGAGGAAGCATACATCTCTTGGCTTTCACCATCATCACCCAAACCCGCCATACTGTGGTACACTGCACCTCCCGCAAATGGAAAAACCGTCTTGTCCGCATTCATTGTCAACCGTCTGCGAAGCAAAGACTTATCATGTCAATTTTACATGTTCAAATATTCTGACAATGACAAGAGTATGGTAGTGAACTGTGTTAAGTCCTTAGCCTATCAGCTGTCCACAACCCAACCTGAGTTCAGGAAACTGTTAGCTTGTTCCTCCAGGGAAGGCTTGGGCTTAGCTTCATCAGATCCTTTTCTGATTTGGAAGAATATAATCGAGAGTATCGTGCTCAAATCAAATATCACCACGACGATATACTGGGTCATTGATGCTTTGGACGAGTGCAACTCCCCGAAGACATTTCTCGAGTGCCTCAAAACATTTTCCGACCGACTACCTATCCGAATCCTAATATTAAGCAGGGACACCGAATCTATATCTATGGGTATGAACCGGCTCTCTAGGGGCATCCCTGTACTGAGGATAGAAAAATCGACAACAGGACACAACCAAAAAGACATTGAGCGTTTAGTTAAGATAGAACTTGATCACATGCGTGGAAGTAGTCAGTTTCGAGACCAACTCCTTCAAGAGATTATGGAACGCTCAGAAGGTAACTTTCTTTGGGTTCAGCATGTCCTCGAGGAGGTCGCGAGTTGCCATACCGAGGCAAAAATACGTGAAGTCCTCGATGACATACCAAGTGACATGACACTCATGTTTCGCCGGATGGAGAACAACCTCATTGACTCTGTCAAGGGATCCGATAAACCACTCATTACCGCACTACTTGAGTGGACTACTTGTGCCCAGCGGCCTCTAAGTTTGAGGGAAATGTCACAAGCACTTCAACCGGAGTTTGGCAACTTCCTCGATCTTAAGCGAACAATTAAGGACACCTGTGGCCAATTCGTGCAAGTAGACAGTCATGGTAAAGTGATCTTACTGCATCATACCACCCGCGAATACTTTACTCACTCGTCAGAGAGTGAACTGCGCATCGACCCTGAGAAATGCCACGAAAGATTATTTGCAAAGGCACTGTCCGTATTCAAAGAAGATCTACGATGGAGGCTACTACGGAACCAACATGACCTTGAATCAAGCGAGCCATTTGTGTTCTATGCCGCCGTCACCTGGCCCTTCCATTTAGCCCAGAGCGCCACGACATCATCAGAATGCTTGGAGGTTCTCGTAAAAATCTTCTCGGGCCCTGGCGTCTTGGTCTGGATCCATTCTCTAGCATTGCTTCGCCGTTTGGAGATACTCGTCACGGCGTCGCATGCTTTAATTATGCTTATCAAGAACATTGAAAGGTGTACCATGTCGGACCCTCTACCAAATCGCTCGTCGAACCTTAAGTTGTTAGGCAAATGGGCAATAGACCTCACCAAATTAGTAGGCAGATTCTCCAACCAAATCTTATCGAACCCCGGGGTACTGTATTCTATCGTTCCAGCTATCTGCCCGCAAAGGTCCATCGTGTATAAGAAGTTCCATAAGGCTGCAACAATTAAGGTTACTGGGGTCGCGAAGGAGAGCTGGAGCGACAATCTTTGCCGACTTTTTCTGCCAGATGAGGCAGAAGCCCAAGCAATAGCATGTACAGCAAAACACCTCGCTGTTCTTGACTTCACAGGGTCAGTCCATGTATGGGATGCGTCGAATTTCTTAAAAATATCCACTATCTACCACGGCGAACCAGTTATAGCTTTTGCAATAAGCAACATAGGCGATAGGCTGTGCACATTCGGTCTAACGAGCACGAAGCTGTGGTTGACACTGTCAGGAGAACTACTAGAGTCGACAGCGAATCCTAAATACATCAAAGCAAGAGACATCGTCTTTGCAGATAATGATTCCAGCGTCCTCTTAGGTGGTGATGATAACGTCATCAGGCATCTGGCTTGTGACAAAGTTTCCCAGGGTTGGCAGGTTCTGAACAGCGATCTGCTTAAGACGATAGTTCAAATCGATGGCGCTCTGACTGCCTCTCCAAATTGCCTAGCTTTCAACGGAGACAGAACTCTAGTTGGCATATCATTTAGGGGTGCGCCACTGTATGTCTGGAGGCTGGGTGACGGTGCTTGCATCAAGGTATACAAAAGAACAGACAGCATAAAAATGGACCAAGCATGTCTGGCTTCAAACTGGTTCACTGTGAACCAGTTTATTTGGAATCGCGTTACCGGTCACGTTCTCGGTATTTGCAAAGGCGGGTGGATTTTCAAGTGGCATCCTATAACAGATGAGAGGACTGAAATGCAGTTCTCTGCTGACGAGATTGCAGCAAGCCCCAACGGAAAGCTATTTGCCACTGGGAGTACCGATGGATCTATTCAGATATGGAGCTTCTCTCATTTTACTGTGATCTATCAGCTCGTGTCCGAAGACCTGGTAACAGCAATAGCATTTAGTTCAGATAGCCGTCGATTCCATAATGTTAGTTTCGGGACTGTCAACACCTGGGAGTCTGCTAGCATGATTCGCTTTCTAGAGACCGACTGGCAGACCGATGCCAGAAGTGCGAAAGACCAATTCTCTACGCATGTATCTCCGATCAATAAGGGCTCAACCAATGAGCTTACGCCTATTACTGCCTTTTCTCTTTCACCGGACAACAGATCGTATTGCGTTGGATATGAGCATGGCCAAGTTGACTTTTACCAGAGAGGCTCTACCAAAGGTAAAAGACTTTCCCAATTTCGCTTTTGCACGCCGATAGTGAATATCCAATGGAGCCCAGATTGCCATTCGGTTGCTATTCGTGACCTTTCATCCAACTTGCAGATATGGAGGCTCTGTCGAGTTTCTAAAGAGGACATATTACCGTCGGTTCTTCCCAAAGCTCGATTTAACTTGGGTGGATATTATCTCGAGACAATCTTGTTTAGTTTAGATGGGAAGAGAATCCTTATCGTATCTAGGAAAGGTGATGCTTTTGTATGGTCCACCGAAGATGGCAAAGTTACAGCAGAGTCCCGGAGCAGCAAACCTCAATATGAAGCAACTCGTGGAAAGTGGTTGTGTCACCCGAGATATTCAGATATTATTCTTCGGTGTACTGATGTTGGAGTTTATGCTCACAGATGGGACAATCTGGCAATCGAATGGACTACAGCCTTTTATCAGGAACCACAGAAGGTGGTGGGGAAATTATCAAGCCTCGACTCACGACCTTGGGCTCAGCTGACCATAGTCAAGAGAGCAATATTGACGGATGAGTCACAACATATCATTTTGTTTACCACCGATACCGCACGCTTCCAAGAATATCCCACTCGCTTACGGCTTGTTCCGGTAACAACCCTACGAGGGAGAGACGAGGTGGCATTGACGAACGCAACCTTCGATAGCTTATCCATTCCACTAGACATTGTTCAACATATACTCAACCCCCTCGGAATACTGCCAGGGCGCAGGCTAGTGTTCATCGATCGGGACCTCTGGGTGTGTTCATACCCCCTCGGAAAGCGCTTCTATTCCGCCACTGGCGCGCTTTATAATCGTTTCTACTTTATTCCACGCAACTGGGTATCGGCAAACAGTGTGGAACAATGCCAGCTAGCAGATGATGGCACGCTGTTCTGGCCAAGGGGTGATCGGGTGGTTCTTATTGAGTGTAACCTAGATGAGACGAAGCCCAATTCGGTATTTTGAGTTTATGCCTTTGTACTACAGCGAATATACTCGCACTCTAAACGGATGTTGAACTTTAGCAAAAGGTATTTGTCCATCCTTACCAAAGAATTAGATAAGATAGTAGCTAACCATTTTGACGATCCTTCAACAGGAAGAGCACAGCTCTACACCCTTTCAGTTAGCCATTATCGTGAGAATGACCCGAGAATGGGATCCTCTTACAAACGGCTGTGATAGCTCATAAAGCATCTCACAGTTTCCCTTGGCGCTGATCCTCAGACAATTTCAACACGTGCCCCAAGTTCTCAGGCTGAATCCTATCCCAAAGACTCCCTAACCCCTTCTCCAAGCCATTCTCATTCTCTCTCCGGAGCCACTCCCCAACAGACCTGATTCTCCCCGGGAAAACCCTATCCATCAAAGCACTGCAACACTGAAATCAGTCATCGTCGCTCATACGTCGAGCTTGAAAAAAAAAAAAAAAAACAGACTTACTAATCGCGCTGAACAATCCCCTTATTCCCTCCCGAGTTTTGATACACCCTGAACCATGCCCTGAAATTCTGCCGAATCGTCATCGTCGCAGGATCGTTCGGATCGGCATTATACCCCGCGGGCGAATCCGCCCTCGCCCCCCAGTTGTTCCCCAGGTGCTCCTCGAGATCGACGTCGATCCACCTCGCGGGCTTCCCCACGACCTTCTCGAAGGCGCGCGCGTACTCGTCGAAGGTGACGTGTGCGATCGAGGCCTGCAGCTCGAGGCCGTCGGCCTCGCCCCCGGCGTGGTCAAATAGCCACATGACGTAGACGCCGACGTCGTCGAGGGCGGTGAAGGGGACCGCGCCGTCCGCGAGGGGCGCGCGCCACGTCGCCACGCCGTCTTCCACGCTCGGCGGGAACGGCGTCGCCCGCCCGATCGTCATCTCGATGTACGGGCCCGTGGTGAACACGGCGCTGCGCATGCGCGAGCGCACGGCCGCCTCCTTGTCCTGCGCCAGGATCCAGTCGGCCATTCGTCCTTTGGCGTCGATGTGGCCGCAGTGGAACTCGGGGCGGAAGCCGGATTTCTTGTACGCGTAGTCGATGTTGCCGTGCACGTAGAACTCGACGCCTTCTTCGAGGGCGAGTTCCCAGGCCTGTAAAAAAGGGAAAGAAGGGGTTACGTTAGCTACTCAGTCGTGTTCTCTTCGTCGCCCCATTTATCTTGGGCTTCATTAAAATATGTACGGGGATATCAAGGGATATACGAACTATAGCGATTAGCTTGGAGCCGATTAGACCGAGCAGAGAAAGAACGTACCCCGAATCGTCCAGAATATCTCCGTCTTCTCCCCGCTGTTGAACCCATCGATATTGACGAAGGCGCCCCAGGCACCGCGGAAAGTGGCGCGGAGAGACTCCTCGGACGCGAAGGTACCAATCACGCTCTCAACGGGGCCATAGGACTGTAGTTCCTTGAAACGATCACTGTTCGTGTCGCGCGTGAGGACGCGGACGGCATAGTTGCCGGACTGCAGGAGCTCGCGGACGACGGGGATACCTTGGGCTCCTGTGGCACCGATAATGGCCACGAGGCGAGGGGAAGACATTTTATACTCAAAGAGGTATGGATTGTTTAGCGCTGCGGTATCGTTGTGCGTTGCTTGGTGCTTTGTCTATCCTTGATTGTAGTGAGGGGATTCCAGGATATATATGTACGTACAGATTCTAAACAACAACATAATCAATTGATAATCGTAACGAAGTCTATGAGTCTATTATAAATCCTCTACCTCGGTCTAACTCCAGGCCCTTGATGAGTAATTGTGAGAAAGAGAGTGATGAAAAAGACAACATTTGATGCGATCAGTAATCTAGAAACTTTCATCCGCGCTGAGGTTAGATGAAATATTAGCGCCGAGGATTACAAGTTCATCCGTTTTGTCAATTCAATGCCTTGCGCAAAAGTTCCGACGCGCGCATCGATTGCATAGCCTTCAGCTTCCAGTCTTTTGCACTCTGAGTACAGGGTGGCCAAAGGGGTTGTGAATGTCTCGATAAACTCGTCGTCCTCTAGACTCGGCTTGGGATCCTGATTCTCAGGTAACGTGGTGTCTATTTGAACTGAACAAATCGCCGTGTTCGTATTGGTCATTCCCGGATCTTATATTGTGTTAGTGAACGGTAAATCGTAAGTTCCAGTTGATGAGAGCTGACGAGCATGAATGAGAAAAGTGAGGGGAGCAAAAAACAATCGGATGATATACATGATTAGAAAATCCAGGGGGGAACAAACTCGCTAAGCGTCATTTGATAATGTCCATCATGGCCTTGCTGCCTGCTTGGCTTCAAAGAATGATCGTAGGCGCAAGATAAGAGAACTGACAAAGCCTCTATTACTCACCATTAAACATGATAGGTGACATCTCTGAGACGGTGCCTACAAACCCCGTCTCCTCTTTGAGCTCGCGCACAGCAGCTTCCTGCACACTCTCGCCCTCATCAACCAAACCGGCAGGCAACTCGATGGTGATCTTGTTCAAGGGAGGCCTGAATTGCTTTTGCAGCAAGATCTCGGGCCCTGTAGGCTTTTCAAGAATGGCGAGAATGCCAACGCCGTCGACGCCGCTGCCTTTGGCGCGCGTTGTCCGCTCGGCGGATTCCCAAGTGCGCGTTTCATTCTTAGAATCGTTATATGTTAACCTATTTCCGAGCTGTTAGTGACGTCGACTTCATCGATGTGGTCATTCGATATGAGATGTGGCATCTTACTTGACTAGTTTAATCCATTGTCCTTCAGCTGAAGCCTATGATGCATGGAATATCGTTAACCAGGTAGCCCGGAAACCATGAAATATTGTGTACGAAAAGAAGCAAACACTACCAGCCAGGATCTATTAAAACAGAGTTTTTATGCTGGTATACCCATGATGTTGAGTGGATGTATTGAGTGGTGTGAGATGGCGATGTAAGGGAATGAATGGCCTCGTGCTGGCGGTGACTTACGAGGGGCTCTGAACTTGTTACTTTGCCGTTGGTGAGGGACATCTTGGATGTACAGTATCGCGAAGTGTTTGCATGGGAAGACGAAGACGGTTGATAGTATAGAGGTAGATAGAAATTAACGACAAGAAGACAATCAGAAGACGAGCCGTCTTGTTTTATTCGCGGGCAGGTTGCTGTTATTTGCTGCTGATGTTTGCTGTCATTCATTTAGGTACTTAGTAGCTAATGTTAAGGCTACCTGTAGTAGTGGCATTCACTAAAACCGTGTCTCGCAGCAGCGAATGATTTGGCAGCTCAGCATAGTGCCCAGCATAGTGGAGCTCAGTATCGACGCGATACTGCAGCCCCTGAGCGCTCGACACGTCTGCGTCTAGACTCTCACCGCATGTGTATACCGCCCTGTGTCTGCGGCATGTTGGGCTAGAATCAGCTCGGTGGTCGCCTCTTAGTGTAGCCGGTCCCAGTCTACTTGATGGAGTCGCAATTTTAAAATGCAGGCATGAAACAGATAAAAGAAGGTAATGGTGGGAGGGTGCCTTGTTGTTCACTACTTGACTTGACCTTATACCTATGGATAAGTGTCCCAGCTTGGCTCTTCGTAGTTAGCAAACACTTCATTTTCGCCTCCACATCAAATCCCTTTCTTGATCCTCTAGGTTATACCGGTTATCTATCGTGAAAGGCTTAGTTGCTTGGGCTGAACCTCATCTATCAGACCAGTGTAGCCGGATGATATCGCCCCTATCCCTATGCCTCCGATGGAAGCGAGCACGACTTTCAGCAACGGTCGGTTTTGAGGAGCTCAAATGCCAGGACCCCAACCTAGCTTTCCAGACTTTTTGTTTCCTCTACCGTGAGGAATTCGGCCTCGCGGGTTTTGATCGAAAACCACAAACTCCTCGGGGAGCGATGTATCTGCTACGCGGAACCCTTCACTGTCCTTAAAAATGGATTGGTATAAGCCAGCAATCGAATCTGCCCAGGCGTCGAGGGCCTTGGTACGACCGTTGTCACTACCAGACTCGATCTCTAGAGTACCAGACTGCTGGTCAACTTTCCCACGGATTTTGCCATCGATAATGAGGTATCCTAAGATATCTTGAATCTCCCCTTCAGAGATTTTGAGTTTCTGCGCGATCCAGCTCAATTTCATTCGGGTATAGGGTGCAATCAGTTTGACAACAGCCTTAGTCCTCATATTACGGGTCACCTCGTCAATGTTTTCCGCAATGAAAGGATCACCTAAGATATCCTGGTTTTTCTGGAGAACGTTGACGTATTGATGCATATCATCTCTTTGATACGCATCCACTAGCTCCGTCATCGCTGCGATACGCGGATCGTTTCGGTATGGCTTGGTCTCTTGAGAGTCAAAAGGGTTAATGTCGGACTTCATTAGCATAGTGGTAAGGAGAAGGTACTTGAGGACCTGGATTCGCTGAAGAGAGCCAGCCTCGTCGTAATTCCTGAATGACTCGAAAAAGTCACTCTGTGCATCTTTCCAGTTCTCCTCGCTCATATGCATTTTGCCGCCGCATTCGCGAATGATACCCATGATTTTAGGGTGTGGTACAGCCGACTTGACCCGGAGTGCCTTTTGGTAGAGCACCTTCAGTTGCTTGTTATTCCGTGTTTCCGCATACATCTGTATCTCCAGAGCGTATATCTCCAGGGAATAAGTGCCTTTGTTTGGGTCGTCGGTGCCGTCATCTCGTTGGCAGGCTTTCTGGAGTTCACGGAGTTTCTTTGTTACGGCGAGATACTCTTTGCGGTCCAGCAACAGTTTTGCAAGCTTGATGTTGGTCTTGAGCCATAATCTTTCGTTATTCGTGCTCTGGAAACACCCTAGGGTCAGGGAGTAGAACTGTTCCATGCATCGTTGCGCTGCCTCGCTCTCTGACTCCTTCTCTATGAAGTCAAGCATATTGTTGATAGATTTTTCGGAATAATTGCGAGTCACCGCGGACTTAACGTACGTGAGAAGCTCAGTGTAGTGCTCCACGGCCTGATCGCCATGGTTAGCGAAGATGCAGCCAGTGTAGGCGAGCACTACGGGTTCACCTTGTCATATTTTCCTAGTCTATATTCGAGCTTGATTGCTTGTTTGAGGCCCTTAAATCCCCATTCACCCTTCTCTGACTCTAAAGCTGGAATTTCTAGAAATTCCTCGATGGCTTTGTCGGGGTCGCTATCCTTCATCTGCTTGGCATTGTAATACTTGTTCTCGATGTCGACATCGGCGGAATCTTCTTCGCCGTCGTCCTCGTACTCAAAGTCGTACCTGGCAACAGAAAGGAGTCAGAATACTCTTGGTATTTAATGTTTGCGACGGCATACTGCTCCTCGTCAGATTCTTGCATGAAATCGTCGTCCGACATCTTGACGTAAATGAGCCCTCAGGCTCCAACCGCGTGTACTCGGAGCTTCGAAGAGGGCGAGATCGGCAGTGGACGGTCAGTGCGGCGTGAGGCGGGGGCAATGCTAGACAATGGGTGTGTATGATAGAAAAGCTATCTAATATTGATGGCGAGATGTTTTTGTACTTGAATAGCCAAGCTTGATGAAGTTTGCGTGTATGTATATGTGTGTGTGCATGAACTTGGAAGGTAGAGAGAGAGTTGCAGTTGTGCATGTGCATGTAATGGCGGCGGGCGGGATGTTGCTAGGAACAGACTACGAAGTACCTAGGAAGCAGCTAGCTACAGGGAGCGATATCCCGCGATATCCATCTAATCAGCTAATCGTGAGCCAAAGACAAAAGAGGCTAGTGCGGGGCATCTTGGCATCAAGAGATAGTGGACGTGTATGTACATATGTACTTATGGAAGTATCAGATACCTCTGCTGGGCGGGTCCGGGCTAACATTCAGTGAGGCTGGGCAGAGCTGGGCGCAGTTTGGGTGGCAAGCACCTTAAACTTTCCTACATCTAGTTACTTGATCTTCAACACAACAACTCTGCATTCACGCACCCGCCATCCATTGTCCTCAAACTATTATTAATTCGGCCTTCTTTCTCCAACAAGCCCAGCACTGCACTGATTACATTACACAACGGCGCAAACGCGTCGCATCTACTCTCGCCCTAGCCTCCTCGTCGAGAACACACATAACAGATCACGATGGGTGGAGATTTGCAGCTGAAAAAGTCGTACCATCCGGCTCTCCTGAAGAATCAGGCCAGGGTTTACGATGCCGAAAAGGCTGCGCTCGCCGAGAGGAAGAAGACTGAGGCACGCATCCAAGAGATCAAGGAGGAACGAGCTCAGAAGGAGATACAGGAGAAACTCGAGGCAGCAGGCGGCCGGAAACGCATCGACCGAGTGGATTGGATGTATCAAGGTCCTAGCGATGGCCAGGGTGGAACGACTGAAGAGCTAGAGGGGTTTCTTCTGGGCAAGCGGAGGATTGATACCATACTCACACGTGGGCCGGAAACCGACAATCTCAAGAAGCAGTCGTCTTATGATAGCCTTGCCGCGCCCCAGAACTCGGCCGTGAATGCGAGAGATGTCGCAGCCAAGATTCGGGAAGACCCCTTGCTAGCCATTAAAAAACGTGAACAAGAAGCATACGAGGCAATGATGAATGATCCTATCAAGAGAAGGCAATTACTGGCTTCCATGGGCCGGACCGATGATAAGCAGTCATCCCGTGGACGGGATGAGAAACATTCAAGACGTCACAAACACCGACACAGATCGCATTCTAGAGAGCATCGTCATAGAAGACATCGGCGCTCGGACTCAAGAGACCGTGACGAGTCCAGAGATCGAGGGCACCGCTCCCACAGGCGTGACTCCGGCGATAGATCAGACTCGAGGGAGAGACGAGAGTCACACAGAGGACGCGATGAAAGGAAGCGATCGATATCGCGGGAGAGATATAGAGAGAAGAGAGACAACGACAGGTCTTACAGGGATCGATCGCGGAGCCCACGTCGTAGTGACCGTAGAGAAGATGATTCCAGGCGCCGTCGTGACTATTCTCTCGAGTCACCTAGAGGCCGTCAGCAGAATTATCGTGACGATAGAGAACGGCGCAATGATCGCGATCATCAGCGAGACTCCGTTTATAGGAGTGGTCCAGGAAACGGTCGTGCAGGCGGCGAAAGGGGTTCAGCGCCTTCGACAGATGCTACCGCGGCCGAGGAGCGTGCCCGGAAATTGGCGGCAATGCAAGAAGCAGCGTCAGATTTAGATAAGGATCGGGAGAAACGACTGGCAGTCCTTGAAGAACGGGAACGGCAGGCTAGGGACGCCGATGATGAGGCGAGGGCTCGTGCTGGCAAATACGGAGACCAGGAGTTCGTCAATGGGTTACGGAGAAAGCTGATTAGTTAGATATCTCAACCTTTAGAAAATCCACGAGGAATACGATTTGTTGGTCAAGAGACTTACGCTGTTCAGCATTGCACTTGATAGACCTACCGAGGGCGTGGCATTCACGGCTACTATAGACTGATCCACGCTACGACGAACATTTTAGCTAGCACAGTTTCATGACGAGGCGTATGAACTCGAGACCTCTCCTGTTTTAATCCCCATTGTAGGCCACTGAAAAGTTCATTGCATCTCTGACCCTGCATATCGCCCTCTATGCGTTGTCATCGTCTCATATGGTGTTGTTATACGTGTAAGTGACACCGTATTGGGTCTACTTGGGAATCCAAGCACGGGAGATGCAACTGTGACATACCTAATATTGGCATGCATATGCACCTCGAATGCTGGGGCCTTAGGAACAATACACTGTTTGTTTGACCTTATTTTCCGACAGACACCCCAAACAACGGGGTACAGTTCACGAGTATACCTTCGCGAGACACCACTCCGAGGGGTGGTGTATACCAGTCTCACGACTCGGATTTGTGTGTGAAGCTCCCCAGCCCGCGGTTCAACAACAAACATGATGATCAATAGTGGAAGATGTCACCTTCTCAAGGTTGGCGCACCAATGTATAATTACAATTTCATTCGTTGGCATCTGCGTATGAGCATTCAGCTGGTGGCTTGGACAACTAAAGCGTGCATAAAGAGGAATGCTGCCTTTTTTATGACACCTGGCGTGGCGTTGTATGATCTTCAGGCTGCATTGTACATCGTGTCATCATCCCACCAACTGTCCATCTTGAACAACGCTGCGATTATAAGTAGTCAGCCTCCAGAACGAGCATACTATATAATGCAGAAAACATTATACACCGCCTGTTTGCAGTTCAACGTCGACCCTTGTTTTAAATTGATGAAAAGCCAGGAGATTATTGTGATTATAGTGTGATTCAGGGGCAGCCCACGGACATTTAACTACATACTTACCTAGGTGAATGTAACCTGGAGTACATTATACTGGGCCCCGAAGTAGGCATCAAAGTGGGATCCGGGGAAGATCTGATCATAGCCGTAACCGCCGCACCTGTGCCGGACCTGTTCCTCGTCCGCGCACTGACCTACAGAAATTTTGGACTCCAGCACCCAAGGATGGCGAAATACCAGTTAAATGGTACTCGGAAACGTCATCCAGTGTTGACTCTGCACTAAGGGCCGACCCGCCTGGCAACAAGAAGCGAGTCTGAAGCGAGGGGAGACGAGGCGTGACGGGAGGTGGTGATGTAAATGTTACTACAGATACCTTACTAACGACTTACTTACAGATGGCCTAACTGCCTACCTAGGTACTTAGAGCATCTTTTGACGACAAGTACCGAGAGAGTCTCCCTCCATGGAAGATACACTTGGATATACCTGAACATATACTTAGCGATACCCAGAAAAGGCACAGCAGATGCACATGGTCCACTGGTCCGATCGCTAGTTCGTCTACCTACCTACCTGGTAGCACTGGACCGGCAGTGCTGGCCGGGTCTGGCCGGGCTTAGCGGGTCATCAGGCTAACGCAAGGTTGTCGCAAGCCCCGTACAGACCCTGTACAGACCCCGTACCTTACTCTAAGTAGGTGGTACCGATGTGCTGTAGATTAGGTATCGTAAAGTTCGCATTTACATTCAGGGTACATCGGCCACGACGCTAACCCACCTGCACTATTAGCGCAGCCTTCATTTCCAACCTTGGAACTCTCCCCCAGTTCACCTTCTCCTACGCACTGCCTGCACTGCCAATTGCCTCGACAGACTGAGCCCTCACCTCAACATCGACAAGTCAATCAATCACCAAACATCTCGTCGAGAACGTCCTGCTGAACAACCATCCAACACCAGACACACCACCACGCGCCGTAGTCACCCTCGCTCTTTGCCGATTCACTTCATTCCGCCAACCCTAGCCAACAACTTTACCTTGCCCCCTTTTCCAACCTTGTCGAAACCACACGCCGCGCACGCTCACTGCCTCGCAAAATGCCGCTCTGTGGTCTAGGAGGGTCCAAGACAGTACAGCGCAAGCTGGTGCTTCTGTAGGTTTACGACATGTCCTGCGCTGCGCGACACGATCTCCCCCGACTGACAAACACGTTATTCTAGTGGCGATGGTGCATGCGGAAAGACATCTCTGTTGAACGTCTTCACAAGAGGATACTTCCCGACAGTCTATGAGCCTACGGTCTTTGAAAACTACGTTCACGGTCAGTTTGTCGCCTCTCTCTCACCTCCTCCGCTTCGATCCCATTACTCCTTTACACCAGCAGCACGACCCCACAGTGTTCTGTCGTGCGCGCAATGCCCAGAGGATAGACAACTAACCAAATTCTAGATATCTTTGTTGATAGCGTGCATATCGAGCTCTCATTATGGGATACGGCTGGTCAGGAAGAATTTGACCGATTACGAAGTCTTTCATACGACAACACCGACGTCGTTGTACTGTGCTTCAGCGTTGACAGCAAAGACTCGCTAGAGAACGTCGAGAGCAAATGGATTGGCGAGATCCAGGAGAACTGTCCCGGCGTAAAGCTCGTACTCGTCGCCCTCAAGTGCGATCTTCGCGAAAATGGTGAAGAGGAAGACGAAGGTGGTGCTAGCGCTGCTGGTGCTGACGGTGCACAGCGCGAGAAGAAACCTATGATTGAATACAACCAAGGCCTCGACGTTGCGCGAAGGATCAAGGCCATGAGATACCTCGAGTGCTCAGCCATGCGGAATCGAGGCGTCAACGAAGCCTTCACAGAGGCTGCTCGTGTTGCGCTAAGTGTCAAACCAAGCGGCGAACAAGAGTCCAAGTGCGCCGTCATGTAAGACGACTGCACACAAACTAGCTTCACACAAGTGCTAGCGAAAGCGCACGCCATAATCGCCCGCTTTACGGCTCGGCTTTCTTTTGCCCATCCTTTATTACGCTACCCAGCCTTGCCTTCGCTGCTCATAGACGAAGGCACAAGCTTCGACGTTTGAAATGACCTGCACCTGCTTTTCTTCAACCACTTACCACCTTTAAAACACCTTTCTTCTTGTACATATTGGTCTGCCTTTTTGGTGTTGCGCACATACACCCGCTGTTATCGCCGTTATTGTTTTACTATTTTAATCAGAACTGGGATCGGCCCCCGGGATTGGCACAGGAAGATAACAAAGAGTCTTCATTGATGTTATAGCTAGATTTCTGTCAGATTTCTCATTCGAAAGGCAAAGACTTACTGGCTCGGCTTCGGCGTACGAAGAGCGAGGATGTACTCTTCTATCGCCTCGCATACCCCTCCACTGACTTTCCTTTTGTTATATACCGGGCTCCGCTGTTCACATACTCGCGGATGTCGTTTAGCAAGCAAGCAAGCTGGCAAGCAGAGCAAGCAAAGTCATGGAGCAAAAAGAGAGATATACTAAATGTCAAATTCTATGTTACGTAATAACTAAGTCACGCGCTTCGTCCTTGACAATTTATCATGACATGGCTATCCTAGTCGTAAGGTAAAGTGAGCACAAGAAGTGTTATATTTAGATCAAGGATATCGTCACACAGAATCAGTACCAAATTCGTTCGCCTTTTTTTTTCGGCATTTATATTTATCCCATGTCAACTATCGCACCAACGCACCTTAGCAGTGAACAGGTAAGGGGGGGTTTAGTGGTGCATCACATGTTCCAAGAATGTTCGGCACATGACGATCTTCGCTGAAGGTCCCGGTGGCCTGGTTGCATGACGCCCGGATACTACCCCAAACCCATGCTATGTAGCAGCAGGGCACCAAACCAGCCTTACCTTTCGCTTAATGTACGTAGGGCTCAGCTCTGAGAAAAGATCCCTGGGCTTTTTTATTTGACGACGGTGGCACCTGAGATGGATTTTTTTTTTTTTTTTTTTTTTAAATTACTGGGGCTGGAATTGGTGTTTTTTTTTTTTAGTGGATGAATTTTTGTCCGTCGGATCGTTGCATTCTTGGGTTGGGATGACCGCATACGTAGGGGACTTTGTTTGTTTTTCTTGCCTTGCGGATGGATGGATGGATGGATAGACGGGGAACCGCCTTGCGGGTGAGATCACGCGTTTAGATCATATCATGGGTTTCGTGGCGCGTCAAATCGGTTCCCATCTTGCGAGGCTGCCCACTGACTCGCTCGCTCACTTATTCACGCACATGGCGACAGCGATACACGGACTTGTGTAGAGAGGGGAGGGGGTAAGACGATCCCTGTTGTTTCGATTTGATTTTGTTCCACGGTCTCGTTTCCTTGATTTACTTGCGATTGGCTGACTAGGTCGAATCAAGTTGTGAGAGTGAGAGGTGCCTGGTATGAAACGCGGTTCTTCGGATCCCTATCGCGACAATGGTCTGGGGTAGTCCGCGAGGGTTGAACAGCCTCGCAAGATTCGGTGCTTATGTTGTAAGACATGAACCAAGATTGCAAAATGCATGATTCCATGAGTTTCATGCGCATAGTATAGTAGTCAGGTGATCATATTTAATTCTTGATTATTGATTTCGGCAGGTATCAGCTGCTTCGAGATACACAAACTACAGCCCCTCGTATTGTCCTTTATTTTTTTTAACGACTGAGGCAAAGACAAATGCGATTGGTTGGTGATCTCGAGGGAAGAGGAACTAGTAGGTATAAAGAAGGGGGAAAGGTAATTATCCCGTCTCATTAACCCCACGTTCATTATACAGGTCTGAGACTTTGTCTATAACATTGCGCCCTGTTTTATTATCAAACGCCCTAAGTATATCTGCTTTGGTGCTGTGACTTGGATTGGAGGCATAGCCAGTTGGATAAAAATGTGTGGACAAATTCAATGATTAAAATAGGTCCGGAGAATGGAATTTTAAATGCAATGGGGGTTGGTTGTAATATGGCTGACAGGCAGGCGAGTATATGCAAAGAACATAAATGCGAGAAAATAATATGGTGTAACAGGACTTGTGACACTTCCTCCTCCGCAACTCCAGATCCTTCAGGAGCGAGGGCATGGGATTCCACATTGTTCCCAACAGATTAATGCATGCAAGTGGCAGTGAGCAGTGAGAGTGGACGGGTTGGTCTAGTGACGGGGGTATAAGAAATATAAAGAAATTCATGCGCCGCCCAAGAACTACGCCAAGGAAACGTGGTTGATTAGATGTTTGGTCAATACGGAGGTTAACAAGGCAGAGATAAAAATAGATGGAGGCGGCAGGCAACAACGCTCACAGCCCGCTGTCAATCTGGTCAGGCGCGACGTTCTTCGTGAAGGCTTCCCAGTCGTTGCATGTCGTTGCGGCTGAGCTCGGGATGTTGTAGTTGCGGATCTTGTCGGGCTGGAACACCATCTGCGAGAAGAAGCCCGCCGACGCGTGCCATGCAATGTGGCAGTGGAGAGGCCAGATGCCTGGATTGGAAGAGTCAATCTGAATCACGGTGTGCCCGAATGGTTGCACCATTTGCACATCACGCCGCATGGGGTTCGTGGGTTGTATTGGTGCTGCTCCGCTGTAGTTTCCAGGACCTGCGGCGAGGATGTACATGTTTACGCCGTGGGCGTGTATTGGGTGTGGTCTGTAAGGACGTGTTAGATGGTATATTGCGCCGTGGCGGCTTATAGGGGTTGGCATATGAATTAGAAGACTTACGCTGGAGTAGGGTTGTTGATGATGAATCTGATTGACGAGTTGGTGCCGTAATTAATGACGTTCATGTCTGGCTCAAACTGAAAGTCGTTCTTCTTGACCTGTAGGAGCGTCGGGTCGTTGTAATCCACCCTAGCACTCACACCCTGAATCCCCAGTTCGTTAAATCATTATCGAAGTGTGAAATGAATGAGTTGAACACTTACCCCAAACGTCCATAATAGGCTTCCCGTGGCATTTCTAAATGTGCCAATGTCCATGTTTTGAGTCCATGATGGTTCGGGCAGGGTTATGGGATAATAAGGCTGGGTGATGGTCAGGTCATCATTGGCGCATGTTCCAGGATCAGGAACGTTCCACGGGGTGCTGGTAGGGGCAGCCTTTGTGTCGGCTTTTTCGTAGTAAATGGCTGCGAGGGCGAAAGGCTGATTGGCAGTAGAGCACGAGGTGAGGTTTGACCGCAACCAATAGGCTGAGTTCGCAGTACCATTGGCCCTGACCACGACATCGACGCGCTGTCCGACGCCGACTGTGACGACAGTGGTATCGTAAGGCTTAACCTCGACGAAATCGTTGGCCATGACGGTCATCACATGGTTGTCGATCGATATGCGCTCGACCCCCTCGGAGCCTGTGTTGATGAAACGAAGACGATGGCTCTTGCCAGATTGAAACTTGAACTTAGAAAGACCAGCGTTATTGGTACACTTTGCCGTGTCTCCAGCAACGACCTTCGTGCAATCGAAGTTCATGCGTCCGTTGATCAGGTTGTTGTCGGAGTTTATACGACCTTGGAAACCAGGCGCCATCACTTTCTTAACAGTTGTGTAGTAGTCTTCGTGCCACCAGTCTATATAAATGTTAATTGAATTGGGGCAGCGAGTTGAAGCGTGGCCGTTGACTTACCATTGACCATGATCGGTCCCAGATCAATATCGTACTTGACATTCCTTGGCCCATAGACGACTATAGGGCCGAAAAGACCACCAGAGTATTGGGCTGAATAATGGGAGTGATACCATGAAGAGCCGTAGACCTCAGCCCGGAATTTGTATTTGAGACTCTTGCCGGGCGCTATGGGACATTGAGATACTCCTGGCGTTCCATCCTGCCATGGAGCCCCGGTTTGAATAAAACCATGCCAGTGTATACCTGTGCCCTCGGGAGGCCCATCTAGAATGTTGTTGTGGACCGTGACCTCGATATAGTCACCCCAGTTGGCTTCTATCAGAGGACCCGGGAATTGTCCATTAACGAGGATTACACTCTTTTCATATCCGTCTGGTGCTATCATGCCACGACTAATATTGAAGTCGTACTTTCGAGTGACATGAGTCAATGGTGCTTGGGTATAAGGATTACTGCCGCCTGATGTTCTGTCGCCCCATGGGATCGTGATAGAACTCTTTGAGCTGTTGCTTATCCACTTTGGGAGCTTAGGTGCGTTGAGGGTACCCCATGATGATTTTCTATTCATGATTAGTTTATCAATGAAAAATGCTTGTACTCCGGAGCGTGACCTGAGTAAAGACAAAGACTTACCCGTCCTGTGCCGAGGGGGTTAATGCGGCAACGAGACAAGTCAACTTTGTCAAGAATTCCATATGAACTGAGTAAACGAGGGGACGGCCGCGAACGAGCACAATAATTAAGGATATAACAAAAGAAAGAGTAAGGGGGAGATAATATGGCGGCGGTAATGAACCGACGAGTACACACCTAAAGAAAATCTAGCGAGTAAGAGAGGAAATGTGCATCCCAAAATCATGAGTAGGTGGCAGATACAGAGCGTCTTCTTATAAGGTCTATCAGTAATCGCGGCTGAAGAAATTTCTAGGATGCGGTGTACAGTATGCCTAGTTGTCAAGGGCTCGACCTTGCTATACCAAGACATTTGGCCGCTTGAGACTTAAGGGCACTATTTAGATATCTGGCGATCTTACATGCGGTGATGTGTTCGGTGGCGGAGAGGGAGCCACCAACATCTCCTCAATTATCTACCGTAACACTGGCATATGCATCCTAAGCGCTAGCGAACTGCATGGCACCCCTTCGGCCATTGACTAGACATGACGATATCACAAAGTCCCTTGTTGGTATACGAGATCATGATTTCCGGGCTAGGTTCGTCGAACCCCTTGCCGCAGAGCTGAGAAATGGGCACATGGGTGACATGGATGCGGGCTAGACATGAACAGGTTAGACAGGATCTTTGACGATCCTGTTGATTAGGGCTTGGAAAATAAAGATAGGCTTGCTGTGACACATGCTGCGACACTCACCAACATGCAGATCGAGGTAGGCCTCGTGGCCATCGTGACATATGAACGCACCCATATCGGATGTGGAAAAGCTAGGCGTCAGACGACAAGTCTCGGCGGTCAAGGCAACTTTCTCAGATTCAACATCTTCGAATTCTATCATTCAATCGAGCCCTTCAACGTTGCTGTACTGCTCACATTATCTCTCATGATACCGAACTTACCAAGTGGAGAAGAGCTACCCTGTGGTTTCACATAGCACTTATCCCTATACCTCAGTGGCTTATGATCACGATAACTCAGGTACCTATAGCTCATCGACTTGCAACAACCTCTTATTTAGACCGCGCTATGTGGGGGTTCGGCTGATGTATACAGTAGTGTCTTTTCATGGCCGAAGAAGGTGGGCTAAATATGACAATGATATATCACGGGCGGTTGTTGGGGGGTGTTCTCAGCCGCCACCGTCAGCCACCAGGCGTCCTCAAGCAACAAGATAGAGCGCGCAGGACATATGATCAGACTTGCGGTAGGTAGACCTATTGAGAAACGACACAACCTAGGTACGTAGATAAGTGTATTGTTTCCGATTAGCTCCTCCGGTCGTTGCGCCCTCTATGACTACTTCCCAATCAAGCAAGACAGGTTTCTGATCGTTAAGACAAGCATGCAGGAGAACCCCTAGCTCACATATGCCTAACATACGCAAGTAGTCAATGACACGAACATGACCCTAGAGCTGGACAAGGGCGGCTATTCTGGTCCCAAGCGCTCGGTATGTGACTATTTTAAGGTCATAGCTTTTTGAGAAGCGTATCTTGTTATTGAGCCTCTCAGCTGTCAATCAGTGTGGCTTTTTTTTGCGCACTCATGCGGTCAATTCTCTCTCGTAAGCAACACGTCAATGCCAAGGCAGATTGCCGGAGATGTTGGGAGCGATGCCGCGATGGTACGGTACTGCGCCGGGAGAGCAGTGAAACCTGCGCCTGAGGGCAAGTGTCGGCTAGGGATCTGCGTCATGGAATGTTGGGTTTTGCTTTTTGTCAGCCTTTTTCTGGAGGATAATCCCACCCTGCCCCGAATTGTGGCGTAGTCTAAAGTCTGGCCGGAAATTGGACGCATCAGGTGAGAGAAATTGATAGGCTGAGAATAAAAGGCATCGGGAGCGCCCTGTAGCCTCGGTGAAAGGGTTGTTGGTAACCGTACCTACTTGCATCTTCAGCCGGGCGCGAAAGCCGAACACCATCTGCCTACTTACTTATAAGTACCTGTTTACATGACGTGAGCAACGCCATTCTTTTTTAGAGCGCTTACTTCTTGGTTCTGCCTAGAATAGGAGTTGAGAAATGAACGTAGAGCTCAAGAAGGATGTAGACAGAAGGTCGAGGAGTTTTCCTTCAGTCTAAACCGAAGGGCGGCGAGTTAATTTGTTGCGCTGTCTTAGATTCTCACTGTTGTAAGCGGGATAGCTCTATAAACATTGTGATGTAATATTTTCTTCTTTTTTTACTTAAATATCCGCATATCCTCCGGAGTGGATTTAGCTATCATAGTGCTATGAATAAGCCCACTATAAGCATGAGACAGCTTACTCAAAATTGTGCCTATCATCGTGATATTAGGGGTTGGTGATAAACATGCCGAGCGGCACCACATAAGCTTGCCTCCATATGTACAGTACGGCATATATAAAATAGTGCAATTTTTTCATCCAGGCCGAACAAAAGGCTTTTGATCTTGAACCCCACAAGATTGAGACCGGTACCAAGTTGGAATAGATGGTTGTATCTGTTTTACAAATTATACAGGGGGTCGATAGACCGTCGATTCCATGCTTAGTGAGCTTAATTGGAGAGGCGCATCTCTAGCTAAGGGTGGAATCGGTCTGACTACATGTAGACGAGGGTAATAGGTGGGCTTATTTCTCGCGGGGTCGGTAGGCTTGCTGGGCCGCCATTATGAAGGGTCGTCGTTGCGCACGAGCAAAGGCTTCGACTGCGATGGGCGACGCATCGGTTCTTATAACACTACCTATCCCCATGAAGAATCTTTACATTGATACATGATTAGCTCATAGTTCTATAGCAGGCGGAGGGCCTCGTGTTGCTTGTCACACTCACCCAAATGTAGCTCCAGAGCCCGCCATATACTGCCCAAGTGTACGAAAAACGCCGTTGGCACCAGCGCCATATCGAAAGATGTTGACGGTTCCTACACGAAGGAATCAGTGTCAGGAAGGGTGAGGAACTGAAGGGAGCGGTAGACAAACCGAATATGAAGCCGATAATTACGCCGACAGCTTCGTAAGTGTTAGCGGTATTCGCGATGGACGAGTTATCCAAACTCGGATTGCTCCCAAACTTACTGCCTCCCATCATAGCACCCATTCTTACTAGCAATGCCGTCAGTCTAATCCGGACTATCGAGGATCTCCAGCGAGAGACTGAGTTATGGTAGCATACACTTATCGGTCCATGAAGGGCCTTGCGGTCCGCGGTTCGCTGGCATCGGTGGCATTTTGAGGGTTGGTTATCTGCCCGAAGCAGGTTGAGGACGGGGCGACGAGTCTCGACTGGCGATCGCTAGGCAGCTAAAGACTGAGGGCCCGGCGATAGGTTGCAAGTTGAGTGGTCACACTGGGTGGCGCCAGGGTTTTGTCTTCGCTGGGTAAATGGTTCGAGGGATTGGGTTAGGGTGATGTGATGTGATGCGGTTTTGATTGGAGCCTCCCCGGATCTTGGCGCGGCTCTCACTGCCTCGGGTTAGTGACGATGACAGCCCGCAAGTAGGTATTACAATGGGCGAAATCAATGAGCCTGAGCCCTGCAGCACATGGTGGCTAAATAGAGCTCTATTGAACTGTGGCTTAGGTCACTCTTAACCCAGTATTTATAGGTGCTGTCAAGCGGGTAGGTGCCATTGTACAGCATTGGATGCAAAACTAATGGCTGTGCAACGCCACATTTCAGTGTACCAGGTAGGTATTCCTAAACCAGAACAGACCATCCATATCATAAAAAGAAAACTTGCCATGGGCTACTTGACAATGTGTTTCGTTTTACATGTAACCATTAAGTAATTAAGTAAGCTTCTCTGAAACAACAGGTTAAGCCAAGTGATGATGGGGTCAAGATTGAGTCACGCATAACTGCATAACTTCACAACTCTCCCCAGTCGATTAGGTATCTATCAGCATTAAGTAAGTAAAGGAATTGGCTCCATAAATCTTGCCCAATAGGATGTGAGTCTGCTGGTCTAAGGGATGGCTCGTGGCCTCTACGCTAGTCCAGTCTCGGTAAGGGCGCTTAGCAACGTCGTCGGATTGATTTCTGAACAACCTCCTCTCTAACGAGGTCGACTGCACGCACTTGCCACAGCCCGCTACGATCGCGACGCGACGGGGACACCACGACGTCCATAGCCGTATCTTGCATCATATACCTTTGCAATACTCGTCGATTGGTATGTTATACTCCGATGCCCGGACGGCCGCAGCCGCGCATTCGATGCTGCAATTCGCAGCGCAACTGCTCGCCATCTCCCATACCACGACTGCTCTTGTCCTCTCATACATCTGTCTGCGGCCCTTCTCGCTAACCATCTCGTCCATCAAGTGTAACTGCGCGATATATTCCGGGAGTGACGTTTGACCGCCCGCGCCGGCGTCCTGCGCGTCCCGCATGCCATAACTCGATTGGAAACTACCGCTCGTTCAACGGGTCCAGAGGAGCGACACGACCGCGACCCTTGCCCGAACTGCCCATCTACTAGGCACCTGCAAAACCACTTGTAGCTTCTTTGCCGAATCCTACTCGCCACATTCAGCTCTTCCGTCTTAGTCGCACCGGCTACCGCGCCAACCTCCCTCATGACGGCCGTCGCGAGCCCGCCCACCTTCACCCAACACAACAGGCCGGCCTGGGGCGTGAACGGGATGAACGGGGGTCACGCTGGTCAGATTATGAATCCAGATGAGGTCAACCGCGTGCTCATGCCAAGAAAGAGCCTGCAGCGAAATAACTCGTCATCTTCCATATCATCGACTTCGTCCGCAAGCTCCACCTCTACCGTTGCCACCTCGACCACGCCATCCAACGGTTCTGCTCCAGGATCCGCGGCTGGAGATGTGGGCGCATGGCCTAATGCTGCTACTGCTGCACAACGCAAACGACCCCAGTCCAAGAGTCCCTGGCCGAATCCTAAGCCTGATTCTCAGACCGATTTCGCTCGCATGGCGGCTGCAAGACCCCAGTTGATGAATGGGCTTAACGGGTCTGGACCCTTACACGCAGCACCTCCTATCGTACCCTCCCAAGGTCAAATACCCGCCCAACAGACCATGTCCCGGCCCATGGTCGAATCCTTACCTGTCGGCGGCAACCCCCCTGTTCTTTACCTCTTGTCACTCAACGGCACTTTTGAGCGCAAGACTATATCAGTACCGTTCGCTCCTGATACTCTTCGGATTGGTCGCCAAACGAATGCGAAGACCGTGCCTACCCCAGTGAATGGTTTTTTTGACAGCAAAGTGCTCTCCCGCCAACACGCTGAGATATGGGCGGATCGCCAAGGGAAAATATGGATTCGAGATGTCAAGTCGTCCAACGGAACATTTGTGAACGGCACGCGATTATCCCAAGAAAATCGGGAATCCGATCCGCACGAGTTGCAAACAGGGGATCATTTAGAACTTGGTATTGATATTGTGAGTGAGGACCAGAAGACTATTGTTCATCACAAGGTTGCCGCCAAGGTCGAACATGCAGGATACTACAGCGCCGCGAATAATCTGCTGGATGTCAACTTTGGAGATCTAGACCCTACGAATGGTCCAATGATGATGATGGGTCCTCAAAACGCGGTGCCATTACGTCAGCGAACTGGGAGTCAGTCATCCATAGCCAATAATGGACGCATGGTCCAAGGAGGGCCGATGATGGGCCCCCAGACGAATGGGATGCCCCATCAACGTGGCTTTTTCTTTTCACCTATAAGTACGGAACAGATTGTTAAGAAGCTCCAGGTAGGTGCTTTCCCGTGCCCTTGAAGTTCTCAGCGGTCCATTAACGTAACCTATAGAATGAGATGCGAAACGCTCGTCTTCAGTCTCAAGATCTAGGAAGGACTGATCATTTCGTCCATGCTTTACTTAGCAAAGAAGATGTCAAGGATATCGATAAGGCAGATGTCCCCGAGCCTTCCAAACCTGTCGTCAATGGCGGAGCTGTGTCATTTAGGTCAGACAACAAGACTAGGTTCTCTGATCCTCCTGCCCCCCCGCCACAACAACCGCTACCTGAGAAACCTGACCTGCCCGCATTAAAACGAGGCATCACTGAACGCGCTAAACCTCATCCTCCAAACATGTCACCAGTTCGCCATGAAGGTAATGGGAGCCAAATCTTACAGCTGACAGAGGCTTTGAGCAACGCGAAGAAGGAGATTGAATCACAAACCACACGGGTGCGAGACTTAGAGGAAATGCTTCATCGGGAACGACAGGCTCGCGAGCTTGCAGAAGATTTGGCTAGACGGCTAGAAAAACACCTTGAAGAGGCATCATCCGGTGTTGCTAAGGCGCCATCCGGTGATTTAGAAGCAGGAAAAACATCACTCGATTCGGCCTTTGAACCCCTTAGTGAAGAAATCGACTCGGCAGAGGTCAATGACACCCCTATGTTGGACGCTGATAAAGCCGCGCCACCAGATGCCGGCGTGATCGAGGCGTCTGCCACTCAGCTCCACGCTCAAATAGAGTCATTGGTACTAGAAATCAAGGATCTCCGACAAGAGCTTGATATCTTTAGGCGGCGAGCAGAGACGGCGGAATCTGAGAGAGATACACAGCGCAAGACTCTCGCAGAAATGGCATTACAGATTCGACAAGATGCTGAGGCAAGAGAACTTCTTGAAAAGGAAACCATGCTCAAAGGCACACAAAGCAAAGATGCGGTCGAGGAAAGCGAAGCAATCGTTGGCTCAGAGGCAGTGAATACATCATCACCAAGCTCTAGGCCAAGTCGGCGAGTGTCCGTGGATTCTCCTGATGAACCCGCCCTATCACAGACTACCACGATAACTCCGATTGCATCACAAGCACCCTCCGGAACCCTTGCGCCTAATCAACTTTTCATTAACAGCATCCCATATACGTCAATGATAGGAGTGGTTCTAATTGGTGTGGGTTTGATGGCTTATATAAATGGGTGGCAGCCTCAGCCACGACTGGAGAGGTGACCTATGTTCCCCTCTCATAAACGCCGTGGTTGTTGGACCGCTTGCCATATTATTTATTTCTGGGCCTTTTTTGCATATGCACATACATAAGCGACTTCTTTTCCCTTTGTATCTATCCTATAGGGCCTCACGCCTTGGTTGGTAACACGATGAGCGAGTTTCAACCATTGTAACATGACAATTTGAAGGAGCTGCTATAGTTCGAGCAAAATATAGTCTCGAACGTCGGCTTTTTGTATGATGGAATAGGACCTCAGGTCTGGGCTTTTTCAGGCGCAGCATCGCACACGGTCCTTCGTTTTCATGTTCATGTCATTGCCCCGGAGCGTGTATATTTTCTAAGTTTGACTGTCATGAGAAGATGGGAATGATATTCAAAAAGTCAGTGACTATTGATCACTAACGCCTGTGTTTTTAAAGACCCTTTCGTGCAAATCCCCAGTGAAAGAATTGTGCCCCTTCTAGACTTCTGTTTTGAGGATACAGGTCACGGCAATATGAGCAGACGCTCTTACTACATGGTTTGGACTTGATCATTTCTCAAAGCTTAGTTTACATAACAGCTTTGGAAGGGATCGTGATACTTCAATCGACATGATGGTAAGAACGACGTCCGTCAATTGATGGTCACTAATGACGTGCCAGCAGTACTTGCTGACTGTACGTCTAGTCTTCGAAGCCCGTAACTACCTCCGATTCTAGGTCTCGATGCCGTCTCTAAAACAATGGAAGGACTTTGGCGATTGTAATAGCCGTGATTGACCCATTCGCCACCTCCTGCACCTACTTAGAGTGCTCTGTGTAAGTCCACCCTTTTCCAACTTTCAGTGTTGCCTGTCGGTTCGTCCATTTCCTCTTCTCATCAACTGTAATTAACAATTTATTCCCGCGCTCTGAGTACTATCTATAGCACTTTTTGGTCATCAAATACGCCCAGCGTGAGTATATATGATCCTCCGTTAAACCGAATGTTTACTCAACTGATTTGCCATCATAATAGCTATTGCTCGACAAGTTGCTTTGGTTGACACGCTTGCATCCAATCAGCACAGACCAGTCTTCCGTCTGAACGTTTACATATCGGACCTTCACTTCGTTTCTTAGCATTACTTTTCTCTCGTATCGGACTATTGACCCCTCTTTATCTTACTGAGTCATCGTATTGCTCACTAACTTCGAACACCATGTCTTCGGATAATCAGGCCCCAAACTACCAAGCCCCGGGTGAGGCAGAAATGTGGGCAATGATCAGGCGAGGAGATGAGCCTTTTGATGTATACAGGCATGTTATGGTGCATAGTCTTTTCCATCGTCTGGTATCATGGTGGTTGGGCGTTTCTTTACGACGTTTCGATGACTTTATCGCTTCAAAATCTTCAGGAGTCTGTTTCATAAAACTGCGCCCACTGTCTGACCCGACTTCCGATATGGCTACACAATTAGCTGCGTACACCCTATTAAGTCTTCCATGGAATTTGAAAGTCTCAAAACATAACTCTATTCAGGTGATCCGCGAGCGTCCACATGATGACGATAGATCATGGGACGCTTGGACCAGTCTAGTCAGAGAATCCATCGCGGTGTTATCACGTCTTACCCACGGAAAAATAAAAGTCAAGTTCGACGCTACTGCTGATGAATGTATTCGAGCCATCGAAGGCGCCAGTAATGGTGTGGTTCGCGCTGGCGTTCGCACCAACCCTTTCCGTCATTTCCTTCATGCTTCTCGGCCTATCTTGTTCGTCTCAGGAATTGACCACGATTGGAATCAAAGAGATGACGAGCAACGTCAAAAGGTTCAGTCGTTTGTCAATGCCTTGGTCAGCCTATTTAAAGATAGAGGAAAGCTCATTTTTATCGTCCGTCCAAGCTATCACCCCTTCGATCCCGAGATGCGCCACTCACCTTCCTTCGTCCTTTAAGCCTAAACAATACATCGTTTCGTTATGGGACTGATTGAAAGGACTTAAGTTATTACCTCGACGAGCGTTTCTTCTTGACGATTATTTTATTCTGTTTGGACCTGGCACTGTCGAGAGCCATGAATACTACGGCAAAAAGCGTGTTTACAGATTATTGCTATGCAGCGTATTCAATTATTCTATGAGTCGTGTAATATTGAATTTCTTATGCTATCATCGATCTCATTCTTGCGCGGGAATTAACACATGAGTGATCTCGAGTTGGTTGATGTGGCGATAATGTTCCTCTACTTGGGTATTGGTTGTACACGAGCAAAGGGTTGGTCTAGATACCAGGGATGTAACAGTGCGTATCACAACTGACTATAATTATCATCCACGTAATACAACCAACGGGAGAGTGTTTGCTAACAACCTGGATGTTTTGTGGTCTTCGAATTTCCCCATGACCTTAAGTACCACCTCGTCTATCATCTGACAGCGGCTATACACAAGCAGTTCAAAATAAGAATGCAAGTCTAAATTCCTTGGTCTTTCAGCTTACCGTTTCCAATTCAAGACATTCAACTCAGCCTCACCAAATTAATATCAATCGCCATGCCACCAAATTCGCTCCTGGAGGCTGTTCAAGAATGTCCAAATATATACGAATTAGCCTTGCGGCTGGAGGGGGACCCATATGCAGCGCTATGGGGTGTCATTCCACCTAGTATCGACTTCCTGGACCGGCCTTCTGAAGAAACAACTCTTATTGTGATGCCGTCAGCGGCTTCAAGACTAGAAGAGGCATACCGCGAGGCTGTGAGACATGCCTATCCCTACACCAAGGTATTCGGCCCGTATAATACAGGGGCACAGCCTGTAATCATCGCCGTCCCCGATCTCTCCGCCAATAGCCCAGCCGAGGTTTTGGCATCCTTGGTAGACCAACTGGCGGTTCTCTTCAACCTAGAGAACATGAATCTCGACTGGCGCGGCAAACTTGAGGTCATGAGCCGCATCGGTGGCCAAAGACTATTCTCCATATTGAGCCATGCCCCACTGGCGTACATTGTCGACATAGATCGAGCCATCGGCCATCCTGACACGATGGTCCTCATCGAAGCCCTCAAGGCTCAGGTTGTGCTCAAGCATGGAGGACAGATGGTCTTTTACACCAGTACGAACATCTCTGCACAGCTTGGCCTTTACCCTCGTTGGGGTGCCAATTTCGACCACGGCGACAACACCACTTGAATATCCTGAGAAGAAATGTCTACGGTCTGGTGTTCATCGAACTCTACCCTAATCTCGTTATGACTTTTCCACATCAATCGCCAGCCTCTACTTGGATGTTTACCAAGAAGCGAGAGCTTAGCATAGTCTTAATTCCAATAATATCATGACCAAACTTAATAATACACGATTTGGTGAGAAAGTACCTTATTCAAAACGTGACTATTCAGAGGCTTGGACATAGACCAACTGCGGTAAGCTCCGGTGCTTGTTCATTAGACACTGAAAGAGGATAACTGGACCTCATGATTCCATGTAGAAAGGGATAATTAGTTTCCCAGTTGAGGCCTTACAAGTGTAACTCGCTGCAACGCCTTAACCGGTTCCCCCTGCGTTGTGAAACATATTACACATGTCAACTTCCTACGTCTATTGGGCACGCCACCTAAACGGAAGTCCGATCACACACAGGTTTAGAAAGCGGCTATTGCGTGTCCTTATTTCTAAAAGTACGTGCCCTTGTCTGGCTATTTGCCTTCCTCACGCCACTGAATTAGTTACACAAGCCGTTTCGTATCACTCAAAGTCAAGATTATCCCCATGCTCGCAAGACAGTGCTACTGGGTCATTATGTGTTCATATTTCGCGTATTTACCCAATGAACGTACAATAACAGGACTACGACAACACCAAACAATAACTAATAGTCAGCATGGTAGGCAGCGTCGTCTCTTTGCTCAGTTACGATGGGGTCCTGCCGGCGATATTGTATCTAAAGCTGGACGGGGGTTCTGCCTCGCGTGATCACGACAAGTAATGCTTTTAATAAGACGAAAAACCTGTAGACTGGTCTCAGAAACATGGCGAGATACCATTAGAAAAGATCCCCTTTGCCCCGTTTGTGTAGACTCTAGGCTAGTATGCTGCTTCTTGCTGAACTCTACGTATCCAACCCCTGTATTCACGTCGCCATTCTAAAACCACACCACGGCACGCATTATCATCTAGTCTAACATAGACAGTCTTCAACTCGTTTAACTCGTCTCGGCGAAAGGTCATTAATCATCACGCTCTTCTTCTCAAGCCATGGGCATCCGGTCATTACACGTTACAGCCGAACCCTCCCCGCCTTGAGTGCATCAAGATCGTTCTCGGCGAACGGGACATACGTCTGACTTCCCGGGGGCAACCAATACATCTGGTCGTCGCTCGACGACTGCTTAATAGCGGCGACGTCGATGCCCTCGGTGCGCAGTTTCTGCTTCTGCATCTTGTGCGTGCCGGTATAATCCAGACTCTTCGTGACTCGAAGGAACAGCGGCACCGCGTACCGCGGGAGACTGGCGAGACAGTGCTCGGCTAGCGAGGTGAGGTCGAGCTCTTTCCCGTTGAGGATGTCGTCCGTCGGCACGATAGCGGCGCAGCCGGCACGACCATCCGCGTTCGGCACCAGCACGCCGTATACGTTGGTCTCGGCTACTTGGGGGAACTTGCCCATGACGTCGCTGACTTCGTTCGTGGATACGTTCTCCGAGTGCCATCGGAAGGTATCCCCCAGCCGATCGACGAAGAATAGGCGTCCTTGGCTGTCTAGTCTTAGTAGATCGCCGGATCGGAACCAGAGGTCGCCTTTCTTGAATACGTCTGTTATCCGCCTCTTCACTGTGGCCGATTTGTTGCCGAAGTATTGGGGCGTGCCCACGTCAGGGGCATTCGGGTCCACTGTGATAGTGCGGAGTTAGCATTTGGCTTGAAACTCTATCTCCAAAGACCTACTTTTGTTAATCAGCTCGCCGGTTTCGTCTGCTTTCGCCTCAACGGCCCAGCCGTCTTTCCCTCGGATCACTTCTAGCGTGTCAGGGTCGACTTTAATGCGCTTCTCGTCGCGGTTGAGTAAATGCCACAATGGACCGCGCACAGAAACAGCGTTCCGCGAAAAATCACCTCTATTGGTGTTGGTTGTGATGGATATGCCGTCGCTTGCGCCGTAGAGCTCGTTGATGCACTCGATGCCGAAGCGTTCCCGAAAGCGCTCCCACACATCAGGCCGCATGCCATTGCCCCACGCCATCCTCACGTTATGGCCCCGGTCGAGCGGGCTGGGCGGTGCGTTGACAAGGTAGCGGCAGAGCTCGCCGACATACTGGATATGCGTGGCCTTCGACTCGCGGACTTCGGGCCAGAATTTAGAATGACTGAATTTCCTACCCAAAACCACGGTAGCGCCGGAAAAGAAGCATGGCATGGTACATAACCCTAGCCCTGAGGCATGGTATAGCGGCAAGCACGTGTACATGCGGTCACCCGGTTTCAGACCTAAGTACCCACCTACGCCCTTGCCTAAAGTCAAAGGTCGAAGTCGTGAAAGGATGACACCTTTGGGTAGACCGGTCGTGCCCGAAGTATAAAGAAGGTTCGCTATCTCTGTAGGCTGTAGATTCATGCGACGTTCCCTGGGCAGTGGTTCGGTGTCTTTAAGCGTCTCTATGAATGCCGGGCTGTAGTAGACCGTCTGAACCCCCGAATCCTTCAGCTCGGACTCCACAGGGGACACCAGGTTCCGAACATGCTCATCCGCAATAAGGTAGCGCGTTGTAGAGAGCTTGACGCTGTGCGCTAGCGCGTTGCCCGTGAGGTTGCAGTTTAGCAGGGCGGACGCGGCCCCGATGGCCTCCAATGCGAACACGATCAAGAGGTACTCGGGTGTGTTGCCTCCGTCGAGAGCTACTACCTCATTTTTCTTGATCCCCAGATCCTTGAGAAGCCAGTTGGCGACTGGCTGGATCGCATTGCGGAACTCGGTGTAGGTCCATTGCCGGCCCTCAAAGATCAGACACGGATAGTCGCCGGCGGGCGTCCCCACCCGGTCCTCGAATGCGTTATCATACAGGAGCAGCTTGTTCTCGCGCGCCTTCTGAGTGATATAGCGCATGCCGAGGTATGCGGCGAGCGCCTTGTTTCCCTGGCGAAGATCATTCCGGACCAAAAACCGTGCATCGAGATACATGCCGGCTGCGAGCGCACCCACGGCGGCACCCGCCACAGTCGCGACTGTTTAGACATAGTCAGTCTCACTTGGTATTCTTGTTGATGAGGAGGAGAGAGAGAGAGAGGTGAACTTACGTGACATGATGAATAGAGAAGCCTACAAGTGAGTGGAATATGATGTAAGAGTACTACTAGTAGACACGGTAGAGCAGCAAGCAGAGCTTGGCACGTAGCTCGTCTCTATTCACGTGGATTGCAGGTCGATCTCGCCATAGGAGAGCGAATCGTGCGATGAGATGGACGAACTGAGCTAGCTAAGACGAGTTGGAGAAGTCGTTGGCAGTGACCCTGCCGAAGTTACCGAGGCTCCAACAAGGGGTTGTGGCATGCTTACCCCACAATGGGCCACGGCTTCGAATGATGCCAATATCTACATGTACATGTAAGCTTGGGCGTCCACATACTACAGCATGACCAGCTTGGTGACGCGAGAGGTTGAACCCTTTTGCGCATGTAACGAGTAAGTGTTCTGCATGCGTAGTGGATTGTAGTGTCTTTGACGATCCACAAAACTAAGACATACTTCCTACTTCGCAGGTATTAGCTTTTGACCAAGGTGTGCATGTTACACGATCTGCTCACCTCGCAGTTGATGCAGCGGTAAGGCCAGAGTAGTTAGGTACGTTTCATTCGTCAACATGTCTCACCAGGTCTCACCAGGTCTAGACCTTGGTCTTCGTTGGATCGATATGATTGGTATTATCATGACGTACACCTATGTAGTGTAGTGTACTTGAGCGCGCAGGTCTGTCTCAGATCTGCATGTTCCCTCAAGTTTAGGAAACTGATTGGCCTTAACGTAGGCATGTAGATAATCATTCTGATTATTCATCTGACTTGTCGCTCTCGATACATACGATACGACTCCCTTATCTTTCAACGCTATAGCACTAGTAAGCGGGATGGCCCGTGGCAGCGATGGCGTGGAATCACTTACTTAGTACTATGTACAACCATGCTCCCGCCCCGGACTCTGGGGGTGGGTCCGTACAGCTGAGTAGGATGATAATACCTACCTAGGTAATTAGACATTCTTTACTCGGTAGGAATAGATATATTATATATTGAGATCCGTCCACATGATGAGCGAGCCTTGCCGCTGCCTTCCACGCAAGAGGAAGGCTGCCTGCTAGGTTCTAGCTGTAGAAGCTAGCTCGGCAGCGATGGGATTGTTCTTCATGGAGATCGTGAGGTCTCTACCTAAGTATGTAGGTGCTGTTAGGCGCTTCTGTCTGAACAGGCGGTGTACTGACCAGGTGGTTCATCGTCTCAACTCTCAAATTCAAGTAGGTGCCAATCTCCATCATTTCACCAGCCGACCGACAGCTGTCGTGTCTGCTTTTCATGTGAACAAACACTGCTTCCACCGAATCCTGCGTTCTGCTCGAGTACAACTTTTATACCTGCCAGCATACGATTCGCCTACCAGTAATGCTTTCATTACTTATCCTCTACAATCTTCAAACATTTCAACTGCTGCTAGTTTTGCCCCTCTATGCAGTGGTCAGGGGCTCTAGCCGTAAAGACCATTTTATCGGCCTATCTAGCGACTCGCCGTCCAATGCCTAGATATCACGAACTAGCTAGGAATCCTACAACCGCCGCGGCAGGCAATAGCCCGGTGATGCGGTTGATAGGTATTGGTTGCCCAGTCTCCAACTAGATTCAGCCGCAACATCCTTGTTTCGAAATGAAATGCCAGCGGCTACCCCCCACCTCGGCCCTCGAGTTCCTACTTCGCGTCCCTTGACCTTGACTGCACTACCTACCTTGGTATAGGGACCACGTCTTGCCAGTAGCCTCAGATGCAGTCGCTATTATTAGCTAAGGCTGCATACTATCCTATAACATCTCACCAGATTACCTAAGTGATACTGTTGTACAGACAGCAATGGCTGCGTTGCAAGCGCCGTACCAAATTATACAGGGGCCAGCTGAAAAGACCAGTATCATTATCGGATCTTGGCAATGAGATAGGCAGCTTTTTCTGCTGGGATTCGTTCAGCTACGTTCGCGTTGCTCGCAACTGACTCTGATCCATGAGCGGTGGCGCTTCTAATTTCACAGGGGAAGGATGTCTTGTCTGGCCAAGGTTAGATGGGATGGTAGGTATATACCTTCGCCTCTTCCTTCTTGCCTCAAGCGAACTCGTATCTTGATCTTAGACGAGAATGTGTTCTATATTGAATCTCAAGAACACTTTTCACATCATAATAGACTGTTCACTTAGTCAGCTGTGAAGGACATAGCGTTGCTATGGCTTCTCCTCGATACCTTCTTCACCGTTATAACGGCACCCAATTCTCTATCGTCGAGACCAATGGACACTCTTACGACTACGACATCGTCTCCTATTGCTGGGGAGATCCTGTAGACAAGTATCAGTACAACCATTTTAGAGAGAAGGGCGAAGACGATGGCCTTGACTCCGAAAAAGACCAAATTGAAGGACTGAAATGGAACATCACCATCAACCGGGAAAAGGTAAAGGCGTTTAAGAAGTTGATGTGCTTCAAAGATGTGGATTTTATGTGGGTAGACTCCCTTTGCATCAACAAGGCCGACAAGCAGCAAGAGGCCGAGGAACTCGCCAAGATGTTCCAGTACTATAAGGTACGTGTGACGTTTGTCTATGTCTGTTCCTTAAATATTATGTCGCATGATCATATAGATATCATATTGACGCTGAACATGCGACTAAAACTAACGTTTTGTTTCATGTACACAGCAAGCACGAAATTGCTATCTGATGATGGACATGCCTGAGCTCTTCGACCCGCAACAGATTTCAGACGACCTTAAACTTCTCGACCACATCACGTCTAACATCGGCGGGGCGTCGCTGCTGGTTGAGACAATGAGGTTATCGCCGAATCTAGAAGAGCGCCTCCAAGGTTGGGCGAAGAAGCCTTGGATATCCGACGTATTGTCAGAAGCGGCTGCGGAAACTTCGGGGATGGACATCAGTGTGATGAACTGTTACAACACGTGCATTAGTCAAGTCAAGTCAATCTTCGAGAACAAGTACTTCACTCGAGTTTGGACTTTCCAAGAAATGATTCGTAAGTAATCCCTTTACCCAAGCCTCTTCTATGCCCTTCACAGGATGACCGGGCGACCTGAGATACGCACGTATCCAAAGACTCTTGCAGATTCTCGATTGCTAATCTGAGGACTTCAGTGGGGAAGAATCTCCATATCATAGGAGTGACTGAAAACAACCTGTCCAGCGTAGGGTCTCTCTTCAAATGGATGGAGCTGGCCAGGGACTGTGACGATAAAGCGCATAAGCTTTATGACTGGATAAACGACGCAAGAATCGTCAAGACCGCCTCCATTGGCTTGGTTTTGCGGTTGATACTAGACGACATAGATCACCTGGGCGCACTAAAGAAAATGGTAATGAGCATTGATGCTGCTAGAATCGACATTATTAACGGCGGCCCACAATGGTGGGTAGAAAACCAGAAAGGAATCAGCAACATATTCTCGGCAATTGCTCTTACGCCGAGGTCCTGCAGAGACATGGAGGATCTGTTCAGAGGACTACTCGGTATCTTCAGCGGGCTCTTTACACCCGCTGAAATTGACGCAGAATTTACGGGAAATGACATGAACAAGATGTCGTTCACTTTCTTCAAGCGACTCTCTAGCAGGACCGGCGTCGCGTGGACCAAGCTCTCCGTCAGTTCGAGACAGAGAGGTCAGTGGGACTGGATCCCCGTAGTCGAGCAGAAACGCGACCCAATTGAACAATATGAGAACGCCAAGCTAGAAGCAGAGAGTGACACAGAGAAAGAAGTAGAAGGAGCAGGGGTGGTAGAGCTGAAGAAGGAGCCAGAACCAAACCACCTCAAGACCGATATCTTCACAGGTGTAGTTAGGTTAGGGTACCTTAGACAATCAGGCGTGGCAAAGGCACGCGGACTGACAGGACTCCTTGGGAAGCCACGGAAGCTCATGAGTGTCCACCTGAAAGAGGAGAATCCTCAATTCCACTTCATCTTTAAGGGCTGCAATTGTGGAAAATCCACCGGCCTCTTCAGGCGGGAGAAGATCCCTACTCATGACCAACCAGTTGCTATAACTGGCGATGAGACGGGAAGGACACTCGCAGAGTGCGCTACAATCCTCGGCTGTATTATGGATCCTGCTGGCGATGCGCTTGAATACAAGAGAAGGTTGCTCCATCGCTTAGCCCCAGACTGGACTATGACGGATATCAATGCGAAGCCCTTCCAGTGGCCCGACCGATGTGTCTCGGGTACCTATTGGGCATCCATCCAATCGCCCTTCGATCTACCTACTCATAGCATGTCGATGAACTATAGGTTCGGCGCCATAACCAGTTGTGGCTCACGGCTCGCCAAGGGCAGCACCGCGAACATCTCGTGCGAAGTTCGCGTCAACTGCGGGTGTACCATCACCGCACCCTTCAGTCTTATTTTCGAGGCCCTGACCGCCGTGAGTGGCAGCAATCTCGGCGGTGCGAATGCCAGGGTCGACGAGGAAGACCGGATCTTCCTAAGCGACGGGCTGGGACTGGTGCAGGTTGGGGATCTGGGCAAGACGTACAACCTGATGGCTTTCGGGGGCGACTTGAAGTTCCACACCAGCTGGGCGAGCTCCTGCCGCTCGAGCAGAAAGACTGTGCCGCAGAAGCTCGTGCAGACGGCACCGCCTACGGGCAGGGCATTGATCAAGTCGGATTTCACCCATGGCATGATGAACGTGCTGAGGAATTACGGGTATGTGGAGACGCGCAGTGGCAACTTGTTGATATATCGCGACCACCCCCTTGCTAGGTACAAGATTACCGGAGTCTGCATCGACGCAAAGATTCAGAGGAAGAATGAAGTCATGGATCAGAGTGGTGTGCCGCTTACGAAGGGTGTAAGGATTAAGTAACTTGTCAAGTGAGCGATTGTTGTGAGGGGGAGGCTTGTGAGATTACTACGGGTGTCACTGATTAATATGTGGTAGGATGTATGATTAGGTGTCGATTTGGGTAACCAGGAATTTCATATACTTAGTGGGCAATATTCAGTCTGGAATTTTGTGCTTTTTGTAGCTTAGTAATTAATAAAGCTACCACGTTCCTTGATATCTTTGCATCGTGACCTATCGACGTTGTTGCTCCTCGGCACCTACGGAATATTACGCCGGGTGTTAAGTATCGCCCGTGCATACTTATCTATGTGACTAATGTCCATATCACCGGAACCAGGTCATGATCTCAATGCTCAATAATGCATGCTTCGATGTTGTTCTCTACTGCTCTGTCAATAAAAGCAATCATTATCGTTACTCACACTTCAACGAACACAAGCCAAACATTAAGCCGAAGAAATAAATCACCCCAACCACAAAATTAATCATGTCAGGGCCTACAAGTGTAGCCCTCCGATACTCGGCAAGCCACCAGGTATGGAGGTGACCTGCGACAACAGCCCTTGCATGCGCCTCTGCGCAGGGAAATACTCAAAGGCCGGATGCGTCGCGGCTAGAATAGCGACCAAGACAGCGAGGAGCGCAATGACCACATAAGCAACGTGCAGGTCTCCATTATTCGACAAGCCGCCGTTCTTGACAGCCATCCTGCCGACCATCTTCTGAATGGGAGCAACAGAGTACTCCTTCCCCGCCTTCAGCGCGCGACGCATGCCCGGCAGACCGTCCATGCTGTAGGCGTTCTTGAGGGCCCAGTAGCGGTCCATGCTATCCTCTTCCTTGCCGTTCTCGTACCGATCGACCTTCTTCTTGAAGTGCTCCTCCAGCACGCGGCGGTAGTCGACGAAGGAGAAAAAAGGGACCTGGTATCCGCAGGACGTGCCGACCTGGTGGATGTCGACGACGATGACGGACCGCGTGCCGGGCATCGTCTTGATGTTCTCGCGCGCCACGATCTCGTCGAACGCCGGCGTGCCGTATTCTAGGACTCTGCCTTTGCCCCAGAGCCTCAGGATGCGGGGTGGGCCCTCGAATGCGTTGAAGACTGCGTCTTCGGTCAATGGATCGAAAAAGTGCCGAGCCGTGCATCTATGGTAGCTACACGATCTCCGGAGCGGGTACTACGAGAGAGCCACTTACGGATGGTAATGCGGCCGTTTCCGGGCTCTGATAGGTGAGAGATGGTCTCGTTCCCCGACCCAGTCCTTGTAGAGTGTGAGTCGGTCTCTCGCTGTGGAAAGATACGTGGAAATAATCCTCACATATCCATGTACCAGAATGTCCTCCTATCTGGAACGCCGAAGCAGTCTCCGCCTTTCGGCGACACGTTGACATGGCCGCTAGATGGCAGGTTAGTCGCTGCTTTGAATGAAGCCGAGCTGTTGGCCCCGACACAGTCTTGCCCAGGCAGAGGGTTCAAACAGATGTCTCTCAATTGCATGCATGAATGTATATAATTATGCCGATAAAATGAACGAACAGACTCACTGTCTTGAAAGCGGCGCTGTCGAGACCCAGAATACTTTCTGTTTTACAATCCATTCCATCACATTCTCGGGGATTTCTTCGTAGAATGCGCCCATGGTGAACAACACCCCGCTAGCCTCGGCGGACGACGGCGGTTCGATCTGCTGGTATGTGTAGGTGGCTTCAGAAGGCGCTTGACTTACTCGAGGGTGAAATTGATGCTCAAAGAAACCCCCCCGAAATGGAGATAAATCAATTCAGGGTCTTCAAGGATTCACATTCCAGTCTATTCTCGGCTTCCGCGCTACTTGAGAAATAAATAGTGCTGGGCAGGTGGAGATGCATGACTGTCTTCAAAAGGTATGGGGTGACTACTTATATCGTGCACCTAACTTAGCTAAGTTCGGATTTGCCCAAGGCCGTGAAGAACACTGTGTGTCATGTTAGTCAAGCAGAACAAAGACCAATCTGAATGTTGATAGCAAGTCTCTTGCTAACATATGATTCAAGACCATTCGCGGCGCTATTCGCCTATTCTTAGACGCTTACAATTCCTTGAATGCTAGCCAGGCAGTATTATTCGGTAGTAATGAACCATCCGTCTGCCCAGATAGATAGTCAATCCAGTCGCTGAGGTCGGCAAATGTCCCTTGAAAAGCGGAAAGCTACAGCTGCCGTGTTCAATACAATCACAAAAAGAAGCAAAGCACTTCAATGTCAGTCTGAGTCATGACGTCATTGTTCAAGCATTTTCGACATCAAGACGAAAGCCACAGCCTCCGCTGGCTGCCGATAAAGGAAGCAAGCAATCATGCCGGGAAACTATCGCGATTCTATTGGTACAAAAGCTGGTAGAAAGGATATCGCAGGCGAGTAGATTCAGTGACTATCAAGAACCAGTGATCAAGCCGTCATGCATAAATACGATCGTATATTATAATCCAGACAGACAGACATTGTTGACGCGGCGTCCTTAAACTACAACGGCAGAACCGTTTCACTTAACTACTCTCGCCTTAAATACTCGCAGCAGATGATATGATACTTGAACAGCGCATTTCAGGATGTCACGATGGTGTGCAAGAGGAAGTTCATGTAACGAATGTGTTTCCAAATTGCGATGAGATGCTGGCCTGCGTGACATGGTTACTCGCGTCATCGTGGATACCCGGTCTACCACAATTCAGAGTCCTATAGGTCTGTAACACACGCCTACATACCTTGGGATTCTCTCCCTCCATCTAGGCATGTACGGAAAAAGAAATGAAATATGTAGCAGAGTCCGTAGTATGGAGAAATTATGAAATGGGGGCAGCAATGTCTCTAGACTCTCAGCTTGCAAAGCACGGTGCATGCACTGTATGCGGGGTAGTTCGGGGTCAGTCTGCGGGGACCGATCTTAGGCGCCCGTTGAGTGGTCAATTCCGATTTCGGCGGCTTCCGGTTTTCACGACGAGTCTACACAGTTCACAGTTGGACTCAATCCGCTTAAGGTTACTTTAAAGTTACTTTAAGTTACTTCAACTAGCAGGCGAGGAAACCAAGCTCTTAACCCATTCGGAGAGTTCTTAGTTAACTAAGAGCAAGTTCCAAGCCCTCCAGTCCACCGTAGAGAGACTTTGTCACAAACCCTGTTCCCAAACAACCACAGGTAGAATCGGCGTCTCAGTCAGCCCTACCATCGCCGGCGCCGCTTCTTTTCCATATCCGTTTGTCTGATAACTGGCAGTTACCATTTCTTGTCTAATGGTGGTTGGTACGGCCACACGTGTTGTTTTACGCCCGCTGTTCGCGTCGCGAACCCTGCAACGGGCATTTTCGGTGAAGGCCATCTATTCGTCGTTCCCCGCGACTCTGCTCCACTACAGCCCGCGTAATAAAATTGACTTATACGATGAACAAGAGGCGAACAATCAGCCAGACGATACCTTCGACAATAAGGTTGTATTGAAGGACGGTCTAGTCTACCCAAGCGCTTCCCTAGATTCTCGTGAGTTAATGACTGTCATATTTGGTAATCTTAGTCCATGCTAACGAAAATGCAGCTGTATCCAATGGCGCTGTTATGTATCCAAACACCTTCATGATGCAGGAGTTTCTTCGTCAGGACTACGATGACTATCTCGATCGCAAAGCCGCGAGTCAGGGAGTTGAAACACCATACATTTATTCTATTCCCAGAGGCAAGTCTGCTGCCCAGTTAACCATTTCACCCAAATCAACGTGCTTATGTTTTATTGTCAGGGACGCCAGTACCTAGTCATCTTGTCCTGATCAATGACTACGTCTCACGGTTCTCTCTTCAGCCGACTCGTGGCATGACACTGCAAGGTGCTTTACCTCACCTCCGCACTCCCCCAATCAATACTGATGATCTGCACAGCTCTAAACACAGCGCTTAATGAGTTTTTCAGAAAGCACGCCCAGATAGAAACGGCAGACACGTGGTTCAAAAACCACCCATATCACCTGGCTAAGGATGATGCCGAAGACGCTGAATGGATGGCTGAGTAACCTCGGGCATTAATTTACCAGGTTTTCTCGTGCAAGGTTATTCAGTAATCACTGACGTGTGATATATTATCAGCTTCTATAGGCGGGACAAGGTTACATGTCCCCTGGCAAGTTTCGGGCTCTGTCACGCATCTATGGCTCCAGACATCGAGCGACGTCCATCATGTAGTTGAGGGAGCACCTAAAGGCAAACTAGTCGTCTAACCCCCAAGCTTTCTAAAAGGGGTCATAGGGGTCTTGGTGGCCATTGTATTCTATTGTATTGTTGTGTCATTGACAGGGGTCTCAGAGTGAGTATTACCTTACCGCAATCAGGTAGGTAAGCAAAAGGGAGTAAATTGCTCAGTAGAGCAATTTTTTAATCCCCGAATCTTGTGGATATCCAGGAATAACTTCAATATATATAGACCATTCCAATATAGGCATCTCTGGGGTAAGTTGCGGCTATATCCCGTAACATGTTCTGCTGGTTGCCATCGATATTCATAGTGAGATACGAGTTTCTATTTCTAATGCACACCTGTCTAGATCAGCGAGGAGTGTCCATCAAGCTGGGAAAGCCACTTCTACTATGAAAAGCTGATGACTCTGCGAGAATATAATACACGTAGTGACTGTGGCTTCACTTCACTTGTCGTTCAGGGTAGCCTTTGAAGTTCGACTCTTCAGTAGCCTTCGGGAATGCCTTGATCCATTGATCACGAGTGTAGAGACGAGCTGCTTTCCATAAGAAAGTTGTGATCTTGGTATTTAACTCTACATCGCGCTGTCAGGCTAATCCTAAAAGCGTTATCGCAACGCATGCTCACCGTCTATAGACATCGAGACTCCGGGTTGAAGTGAGTAATGGTCTGATCTCTCATGGACGAGTAGTAGGTCCTCTGGAAGTGGAGTTCCTATTCAGAGCAGTAAGTGAGTGAGCGATACCATCGTCGTCTTACTGCTTCCGTTCATGGTAGTTACCTTTCGCAATTCCGTAGACAATAACATCGGGACGTCGAAAACGAGACAAGACAAGCGACTGCTGATAAGGCGAATTTGGTCGCAGCGATGCGCCGTTTGGGGCTAGAAGTAAATACTGAGCATTAAAGTTTCAGCTAACATGTTGCTATGAGGTGACGAACGAATATAAGTCTCGGGATTCAAGGCCTTCGGCTCGACTTGCCCGTTTTGAACAACAATATCGTATATATGTCTGTCGGCTTGCTGCGCTCGTACCTTGACATGCCGGCCGTTATTCACGCGAAACAGCTCTTTAGGGAACGTCTTGAAGACGTTGATTAACCGGGTCGCGGCCATTTCAGGAACTTCTGCGAAAGATTTGAACCTATAGCTGTAACCATCTGATCGGGATGCTACCAAGTATAGGACGCGTTTAGCAGCACTATTATACGCATACAGATTGTGAAAAGAGGAAGTCAGGGATGCCGCCACAGTTCAAACATATGAAATGAAACACGCTTACATAAGATTGCTGCGCCACATACTTAAACAAACTGTCCGCGAGATAGATACCGTCGACGTCGCATTTTCTAGAAGTGTAAGAACTTAAGGGAATGTGAGAAAAGAATTCTTATCATGAATAGAGTCTAGATCACATATTTCATCAACCTCTTTTGTAAATCCATATAGAAGATTGACCCCAGTGCTAGCAGGTTGAACAGTCTAACTTGTATCGAACGTTCTCGAAACCTGGTGTTGAAAACGTCGAGGACTGGCATCCAAACTCGCACCGGATTCCTCCATCAGCAACAACACAGCATTATCATGAAACCCTTGTCGAATCTCCGTCGTGCGGCAAGGGCTTGTGACAAGGATCTTAACTGTGGTTACCACTGCGTCATCTAATGTGGTGTCTAATATAGCTGCCATCGACTCGATGAAAGCATCAGCGTGGGAACTCTTTTCATAATGATAAGCCCCATCGATGATAAAGAACACAGTTTGAGTCGGTGGGAGTTGTCGGATCAGAGACTTTAACAGATTGTAGAGGTCGTCCCAGCTTGGATCCTCGCCGTATTCAACCCATGAGAGGTCTACGTATTGCTGAAGAAGCGCGATGTCGAAATCCCATTGCCATAGCAGCTGGGCGATGAAGCTCATAATCATCCCCGGGGCCCCGGCGTCTGCGTCGGAACCGAGATCAGCATGAAGACCACAGAAATGTATTAATGAGATGTATTTGGGCCTGCTTCTGATCGCTGTCGTGAATGTTGAGCAAAACACAGACAGTGCGGATATTTGGCGGTCTCCAGTGAGATTCCCTTGCACCAAGAGCTCCCTCGATATCGGCGACACCACCCATTCGCGGAATCTGGGACTGTTGAGCAGACCTTCGGTTGCTGCTCGCTCACCCAATGGAAGCCGTTCTTGTTTCTCTGTTGTGCGCTGCATATCCTCCTCTTCGAAGCTGAAGACACTGAGTATGTCCCATAGATCGTCTTGCTGTACTCGCCAATCATTATGTGAGTTCGAATACGCGGTTGGTGTAATGGCTCTTTGTAGGTTATAGTTGATCAGCTTTAAATCTGAGAAGCTTTTCTCGAGCTCCTCATTTCTTTTCTGCAGTGCGGCATTTCGTTCTGTTGAGACCACAGCACGATTTTAGCACTATAAAGCCCTGACCAGCAATCACTGAGAGAAGATCGTGTCGCACCTTGCTGATTCCTTTCGTACTCTACGAGCAGGTTGTAGACGCTATTAACTCTGTCCGCCGTCTCCTCGGCGTGCGCTTTCAGGCTTGCCTGGCGTTGCAGGATTTCGATGTGACCATCCTTCAGTGTTCTGCGTAGTTCCTCGTGTCCTAAACAGCTGTGTTCAGTACTTGATGGTCAAGTGGTAAGTGAGACAAAATATACTTTGCTCAGCCAGGCGCCAGTTCTCTGCCGATTGCGACATGTCGGCTTTCGTGGCCTCATGCCGAAGTGCCTCACTTTTCATTGTGATATCATCGAGACCGCTAATTACGTCCTTTTCGTAGTCTTCGCTCTTAAAAACAGACGAAACCGCTTTTCTTCCTATAGTATGCTGATTAGTATAGCTGATGATTTACGTAAAGCGCAATAAACTCAAATTAGAAGACAGAAGATTATTGGAGGGAAATGAGATCCTGTAGTAGTGTTTCACCTTTAGACTTTATGTAAAAGTCAATCAATTTCTCAACAGCTACTAGAACAGAAACAACTAGCTCCGTTCCAGCTTCCAGAATTGAATTATCTGTTGGGAACACTATCAAAAACAATTCAATATCTCGAAACATGCTGTCTAGCTTATCAAGTCCTTGAAGAACTTGCTGACGAGTTTCAGACGCCCTTTTGATGGCCTAAGATATCGTGAATCAGCAAGGCCGTGGGTGTAGATAGAGAAGTCACCCCATACATCAAAGACACAATCCACCACCCCCCGAATTGGCGTCAAGTAGTCGATGTCCGGAACTAGATTCCAAGATGCTTGAACTGGGCCAATGTTCTCGGAAAACTTGCGCCATCCTCGTTTCACCTTCTTGGACCATCCTTGGTCATCTAAGTATCTTACACGGCAGGTCTCAAGTTGAGAGTAGATCTCATCCCAGCTGTCCAAGTCTCGGATGTTATATGTAGTACTTTGTCGACCTTTAGGTTCTTTATAGGTTCTCAGCTTGTCCATTGCAGCTGGAAGTACTTTTTCCCAAAAGCGCATTGATAAAATTATCTCTGGTGGGCTCGGGATCCCCCCGGCTTTCAAGTGCGCCTTGCTCCCCTCGGTGGGCATTTTGACTGCAGATAGGTAGCTGCTACCGACGTAGCGGTCTAGTTTAGGGTTATAATTATAGCAATGCTGAGCGAAGGCGTGATGGAAACGGGAAAGACTCTTATCAACAAAATCCACTGCAACTGGTTGACGATGGACCTGCGGGATTGACTCTGGATCGCTCATCGCTCACTTCGCCATTGGTTGATAGGCGCATGATAGCGCAATAGCCCTTCTCTTGAGACGTGGGCAGGTGAACAAGGAGGTTCCGAGTGGTTCAAGGGAGATTAGTGTTCAGATATACCCTTTCCAGGATCATTGCGTTGCTTGATGCTTACCTAGCTCATACCAGCTGATCTTTGCGATGTCACTCTAGATTAGTGGCTTCGGCCAGTGGATGGAGACCTTCTCTATACCCCTCTCAGTTGAGGCTGTACCTCGTAGCCTGTTCGCTGACCTCAGCTCTAATGCAGGCAGCGATATGCGACTGCACTTGTCCTTGGTTGAATTACTCGTTTAATTTGGCCCCCAAGCTCCTATCCTGGTAAATCCCGCCGCATGTAAGAAAGCACAACAGCACCCAAAATTCGTGGCAGTTTCATCAATTCGTTAATGACTTCTTTTCCATTTCTTGTTTTGTCAGCCGGAGTATACTCTCGCACAGAGATTTCAACTTCTAAATGGACCATTGGTAATTATCCCTGCGGATCATCCTCTAGAGCCCACCTAAAATCTTCGAAACAGACACAGCATGAGCGATAAGAACACAGATCAAGATGCCTCTGCTAAGGCAGAGGCTGTGTCACATGCCGGCAACACGGGTGACATCTCTACAAAAGCAGAAGACGGCAGTTCTCATTCTGTTGTTCCTCTGGTCAGTTCGGCGGAAAATGGAGGCAAGGCAGAACTTTCCGAGTTGTTGGAAGAGCTGCGGCAGCTAAAGAAAAGGCTCTCTGAAGTTGATGAGCGAACTAAAAGAGATGACATCGCAATAGAGCAAACTAATTTCACAGCGAATACGATGTCCAGAGCAGAGGAAATGTACAACATAGTCTCCGGCGAAAGAAAGATGGCCCTGGGAACTACATCGGAAGAGCTCTTCCGTACATTTGCAAAAACCCCAAACGACATGAACTTGGTAAGGATGTACATGCAATATGATAGAAGAAGACTTCGACATCGACATTTGCATGAAGAGTTCTTGATGTCACGATTCGAAAGCGAACTGGAAGGCTACTTTGCAAACCTAACGCTTCTAGGCAAGGAGGAGGTGGTTTTGAAACCTAAGAAATCTAAAAGCGACTCACCTATCAAGGCCGAGGTCAGCCAGCTCAGGTGGGAAATATGGAAGTCTCGCCAGAGCTTGGGTGGGAACAGTCCTTACGTCATTGACGTACTTCTTGGGGAGCCAAACCTTTCGTCTCATGGCTCATTGGGGCAAAAGCTCACTGGTGATAGCGCTGTCGCTTTAGAGGGCGACGAGGGGGTACAACTATCCGGAATATTCACTGGTGAAGAGCCTTTGCCGGAACGAATTCGGCTTAATTCCCGATTTTTAATCAGTCTTGTTTCCAGACTGTGTGATGTACCAGCCTCACCTTATTGGAAGCCACTAGTTCTGGTACGACCATATAAGCTTCTCACGTTCTACCGCCCGCAGATACAGAGAAAATATGAACAGATTAGGGAAGAAATAGATGAATTGACCAGAGAAGGGGAAACGATCAATACAGCCGCCAATGCTCCAACAGATCGAACACCAAATGACCAAGGATCAGGCCAACCCCCAGCCGAAGCCACCGATCCGCAAAAAGAGAAAGATATATCCGACACATTGAAAGCCCTAGCAGAGGATGAGGCGCACAACCGCCATCTTCTAGACTTTATAGGCTCATACATATCGCCTAAACAGAAATATCTCGAGCAAGAGTGTAAGAGGGTTTCTTTCGTTGAGCTCTGGCACCTTTTCAAACCCGGAACCGAAGTGATCGAGGCTGGCGACAAATACAGTCAATGCTATAGAGTCGTCAAAGTGACGAGTCCCAAGCACATGGTATCAAGCAAATACTCCTGGGTCTTTCGCAGTAAAGGAAGAACTGAAACATCGGTATCAATTTTTTGTGTTTATGTTGATTTTGATGGAAGCCTTCTTGGTCCAGTCTCCAAGAAGTTCGACATCACGCGGTACGAAGGCCTGAAAGATGTGAGATCCTTACCGGTATACCCCCTTCGCTTTGAAGATGGAGGAGATCGCCTTCGTGAACTCCTTATCGAGAGGGGAAAGAAGTTTTTAAGGGTCCTACGGGTAGGCCATATGCACTACAGCGGACTGACTGTGGACTCTAAAGACGAGATTGACAGCCAGGTCGTCATTGACTTTACAGAGGCCTTTGCAAATCGAAATGGGCATGAAAGTGGCAACTGGAAACCTAGAGTCCAGATCCAAGCGAGGGCCGAAGATGACAGGCTGAAAAGGGACAGTGGGTCGGACTCAGACTCAGATTCAGATACGTGTGATGGCGAATGCTGTATTCATGAGATAGTGATCGATGACAACGACATAGATGCGAAACAAAATGAGTCGTATCTTTCAGACCTTCTCGAAAATACGGAGGAAAATTGTCCAGCGCCACTTGAAGTCCTTGCGCGGCCTATTCAGAAGGGTAAAGAGATTTACGTCTCGGATGACGATCTTGTCATCATGTCGTATCGTGCTTTTGGCTTTGTTCTTCGAAGCAGAAGCTGGGGTAAGTCCCATCTCACGAGGTTCCTTAGAACTATAGCACCTTAGTGTATGTGTTCAGCTAATAATAACTCCTAGCAAAACTTGATGTTGCTGAGCTCATGGAGCTTGATGAATACCGTAAAAAGCGAGAGATAGAAAATCCTACTGGAGAGGGCAAGAGCCACAACGCCTTTGACAACCTTGTCTTTCCGAAGGACGGCCTTGATCGGAAGAAAATAGTGAGATCTCTCGTTGCCCAGCACTTTCGAGACAAGGAGTCTGCTTCTAGTCGCGAAGAACAATCAGATATTGTCCGGGGTAAAGGTAATCACAAGACGACTAAGCCCCTGATAGTGATTTTTGAGATAATGTTGTCTATATACTGCCATAAGATGCTGGCACTAATTTAGATTTAGGAAAGGGGCTCATCATTCTTCTCCACGGTGCCCCTGGAGTTGGCAAGACAAGTACAGCTGGTAAGTTCCAATTCCCAGATCGGATTTCTCTAACAGCCCGGATGCTAATAGCGCAACATTTAAGAGGGCATAGCAGAGCTGTTCAACAAACCCTTGTTCCAAATCACGTGCGGTATGTAACACTCGCCATATCGGGTGGCTTTATGTTAACTTCATATCCTGCTTTCAGGTGATCTTGGAACTACGGCCAAAGAGGTCGAAGCAGCCCTCGAGAAGAACTTTTCTTTGGCTAACAAATGGGGTTCCATTTTGCTTCTGGACGAAGCTGATGTGTTCCTCGCTCGGAGGACACCTCACGATTTCCAGAGAAACGGTCTTGTTGCAGGTCAGTACTGACAGCTCAATCTTCGCTGTTATAACGTGCAACTCACTAAAAGCTTAGTCTTCTTACGCGTCCTCGAGTACTACGCCGGTATACTGTTCCTAACAACAAACAGAATCGGGGATTTTGATGAGGCATTCTCATCGCGAATCCACATAAGTCTACACTATCCGGCCCTCGACTACGATTCGAGCGTAGATATTTTCGACCTGAACTGGCGGCTAATGAAAGCGCGCTTCAAGAATACGGGGAGGGAGATTGAGATAGACGAGTCTAAAATTACTGCTTCTCTGACCGATTACTGGCACAAACACCCTAATGCTCGATGGAATGGCCGACAGATCAGGAATGCTTGCCAAACAGCTCTGGCTTTGGCTGAGTTTGAAGCCCAGACCAGTGGAGGTGATGGAGTCGTCACAAATCCCACTGCAAAAGTACATCTCGGCGTTAGCCACATGAAGACCGTGTCAGACGCTTATCTTGAGTTCATCAAGTACCTCCAAGATGTGCGAGACGCTGACCAAGAGCGATATGCATACCTGATGGGCATCCGAAGACATGAATCGACAAGCATGCCTCCAGAGAACCCGCTGGCTTATGGTCCTTCAACCCCGCAGCATAGAGGCCAGGTGAACAGACTTGCGGAGCACAGAGCTAAGTCGGCGGCTCGATATAATCGCTCAGACCAAGGGCTTTATCCGCCTAGCAACCTCTCTGCCAATGAATGGCCAGGTCATCATTATGGAGACACTATGAGCAGCGGAGCCGCCTCACCGTATCAGACATTTTCTCAACAAGCGTCAGGGGCAGCTGCGGGGCCATACCAGCCAGCACTAGGACCGCAGCCCCAGCGGGGATGGAACCCAGGACCTGTGGGAGGTTATTATGCGGCTCAAGAGACACATTTTCAGCAAAGACCGCAACTGGGTACTGAAGCAATTTCTAGTAGTCAACCATATGGACAAAATACACAGTAACGAGACAAGATTAGCCAGAAACTTCAGCTTGAATCCTTCCTATTACCATAGTTCTCTAGTTATTATAGCTCTATTAGAATATTGATTACTTCGCACTACTATAGAAGATCTTAGTGACTCACAAATGAAGATTATCCCGGCTTACTTTGCGCTTTACTAGTGCCACTACACTCATTTCTGAGATTATGTGTCTACACATAATAAACAAGATCAATAGGCGTACAGCTAGTCCAATCCATAGAGAATCTCAGGTTGACCCGTCTCATTATAGGACGTTGTTGAACAATTTTCTTGAGTTGATACACTCTCATTCATCTAGCAATGTTCTTTGGGCCACACTCGGCCTCTGTTTACGAACATAGCTACTGTATGTGTTATGTAAGCTTTTTGTCACTATACGAATAGGATATAAATAAGAGCTCTATATCCTTAGTAACTACCCACATCTAACTCGAATTAAAATCCGTTTACCACAGTATATCGGGTTCTCGCTTGGTGCAATTGCTAAAACATTGGGCAAGACGGTGATATCTACAATTTGCTAGACGACAAAGACAGCAGAACATCATCAGTTTCAGAATGAAACACAATTCACTGAGAACTCACTCCCTAATTCTCTCCCTAATTGGCTGTATTGAGCATACAGTATATTCACCGCCTCTTGACCGAGACGATCTTACTGCCTTACTAGTAAAACTGCCATGCCTTGAACTTAACTGATACCGATCAAGTTACTGAAGACATGCTAGACTATCAGGATGGAAGCCCATTCCCACAATTGTGCGTATTTTCACTAGACCTCATATCTTCGTTATCTTGGAAAGGTCGAGAATATTCTGTTGTGGAAAAATCGCCACCTTTAGGGCCACACGTAGTAAAGAGTACACGTTGGGAATGTGAGCAGTTAGCAGCATTCATTCGAGCTAATAGCAAAGCGTTCGATGGAACTGTCATGGAGGTATGTCCCGGAGTGAGTAGAAGGTCAGTCACAGTCAAGTAGGTAGGTAGAAGGGTAGTATAGGCGTCAATATTCATTGAATCCTGAACCCTCCAACCCTCGAAGGGGGGGCCAACACCCCTTTATATAGCCAGTAGGTCTAATACAGCCACCCCTAGGGTCTATGTGACTATATCACCTGACAGGAACCCAGACAAGTATCGTTGTTTTAGCTCGTTCCAATAATGTTGGCACTAAAGACAATCTCAGGCCTGCAGCGATGGTACAAGTCGTTGGTAGTCTCATTACAACCCTGGCGGCGTATCTACCTCAGGATATACCGCAGAACCTGACCTCTAGACGAACTTAAATTGCTTGTTTTAGCGAAAACTGTGATCTTGAAGCCGGCCTAGCTGTCCTTTCATCGTTCCCGGCACTAGAACTACACGGCAATGGTTTGTTTCTTATTGTTGATACTAGTGATGTAATATTTTGCGAAGAATACTCGTTAAAGGTTCGAAGAATGTTTCTGAAAACTCTCCATGAAGTCGCAATTCAAATGTAGCGATTGTAATACGTGTCTGTAATACAAAGATGAGCGTGACATGTTTTTGCGACGAAGGAATACAAGGACTCCAGGAGTATAGAATTGACAGTAAAGATGCTTCATTGAATGATGAATAATCTAGCCCTCTAAAGCAAGGTATTGTGTGGCTTAGACTGTTGTCACAATAAATACCTAATGTAGAATATCTGATAACCATCAAAATAAATATTGACTAGCTGCATATAGCTCTCCCCTTGCAATGATTTAATGAGTGAATCTTATGGTCAGTTGTGGTCAGAGACATCTCGGCACCAAAGAAGCACTTGAAAGAGCTGTATGCTTTAGAATTGAAAGTGCTCAAGTTAAATTATGGAGGTCCTTCGAAGCGTTAGGTCCATGGAGGACGTATTTTCCTGGAAGCCGCCGTAGTAAACTAAACATCAAGACCTAACGGACCTTCAATTCTGCAGTTTTTCAACTAACCATGCTTTTGGTGCTGTCTGTCAAGTTCGAAGTGGTGATCGCCGCTTGCAATCTAGCATACGGTATACTAGTCGGTACAAGCGGCTAGAAGGGGACCAGGGTACTTGGCCAACAGTTGCAGACAGCAGCAGCCTACTACTGTACTAAGTGAGGATGAAGTGGAGCAAGTAAAGAGAGCTAAGTGTTCATGCATCCAGCCAAGATCTTTGTCGTCATGGTGCAGCCAACAGTAACAGTTCACCACCGCCTTTTCACCCAGTTGGCTGGTTTCTCGCGTTGTACGCATAAGGCTGGAACGAGTGTCTTGGGGCCAATTCTGTTGGCGCTACTAACATTCGGATTGGCTTATTCGCAAGATCAATAGAGGGAAAGACTGCTTTATGATACTATCTGAACATTGCATCATTGATCTAATATCGCACGAGTCAAGAGATTTTACCATACGAAAGCACTCAGCCTCTTAAGATCAGGAAAAAATGCCCCAAACCTGGCTCATAACTGGATGTTCCAGCGGCTTTGGTGAGCTCTTTGTGCGCCAACTTCGCGATTTAGGAGACAATGTGATTGCCACGGGCCGCAATGCCGAGACCAAGCTCGCTCATCTGCAATCCACTGGCGCCTCGGTTGTAGACCTTGATGTCTCATCCCCAGCATCTGTGATAGAGGCCAAAATGAGCCAAGTCTGGGACATTTATCCCGGTGGCATTGATGTTGTTGTTAACAACGCCGGTTATATCCTCAGTGGCGCTGTTGAGGAGCTGATGTAAGTTCAGCTGCTCTGCTTAGACCATACCACATCATCTTTGATGGGTAAAATTTAATGCTTACAGTTACAAATTGAACTTAGGGCCCAAGAGCTTGAAGATGTCATGAAGACAAACTTTCATGGCCCTATGAATATTACGCGGGCTTTGTTGCCAAGACTCAGGGCAAAGGGTAGTGGTACTCTCTTTTACATGAGCTCTCAAGCAGGCTGGCATGCCGATCCTGGTGCATCCGGATATTGCGCGAGCAAGTTCGCTCTTGAAGGTATCCATTAGCTAATCAGCTCTCTTCGACTTGACACGAATACTAAGATCTTTTTCAGGTGCGGTCGAATGCCTTGCACATGAGCTAGCTATGTTTGCGCCGGGTATCAAGGTCCTCATTGTTGAGCCTGGTTACTTTCGAACTCGCGCCTTCGGAAATATCAACCACGTTCCACCTCGTGTGCCGGACTATGCCGCTTTCAACGCGGCTGTACGAGATGTCGAGGCGGGCATCGTGGGAAATGAACCTGGAGACGCTGTAAAGGCCGTTGGTATCATGATCGACTTAGTCAAAGGGACCGGCGTGGCCGCTGGTAAAGAAATACCCCTTCGCATACCTCTTGGGACTGATGGTTGGGAGAGAATCAAGGCCAAGTGCGAGAATATGCTCAAGATCTGCAACGACTGGGAGCAGGTTGCGAAAAGTACGGATGTTGCTCAGCAATGATTGAATTGTTAGCGGGGTGATTGAAGGAGTCCATTCTTACGAGCATCTAGTAAGGCAGCTATACATGGAAACACACAACAATACCTGCCATAGCTTCACACTGGTACTCGGAATTTCATTCACGAATTCCTTATCGTAGAAGCTCGTGTTGAAGCTCGCTCCAAGACGGAGCGAGCCGTCCCAGCTCCAGACGTGAAACTGCACGTTCCTAGTCAACATCTCCGTGCCCACCCAGAAGTCAACTATCTCTAATTTCGGGCTCTTGTCTCGGTCTCTGCTCTCATCCACATACTCTTTTGTGAATAAAAGACTCCATCTTGCCAAGACTGCTGAGTTCTGGGGCCTGAACAGGGGGAACCCCTCGGGGACTGGGGCGTTGAACAGCGCCGTCGTTCGTTGCATGTACGGCTCTGCTAGATCCAGTAGTCCTATACTTTCCTGAAATTCACCAGCCCTGTTCTCCGCTATCAATAGTGGTGACCAGAAACGTATAAGGTCGCGGACGTAAACGATGGCGAAGTCTCGGGCTATCTCTTTGAAGCTCTTAGTGAACAGCCGGACAACCTTGGAAATGGCCTTGGTTTCCGAAGTGGACGTCTCATCGAGTGCATATCGCAAATCGACAGGGACAAAGGCGACAAAACACTTGGACAGAGGGTGCTGGGTAAACCGTGCAGTGACACGCACAATGGCCGCGTGCACGGCACTTGTTACCTTGATGCCCATCTGGCGGCAGGCTACTGCCACTTGAGTAGTTTTCTGGGTGTCCAGCTTAGTCATGACGCGAGCGCTATGACTGGGAACAATCCCGGCAGTTGAAGATGGTTCGCGGATGGGTAAGCCGATGCTGGGTAATTACACCGCGTAAGAAAATGCCAACCAGCCCGTCAGCACCCGCTGCTAGGATAGAGTCATCTTCCTTCGATCGCGAATACAAGGATTGGGCCCTCGCGAGATCCTCTAGACTTGGGGGTACTGAGGAAGGACTGGACAAAAGTTCAGTCAGAAACAAATCTCTCGTGGGCGCGCCTAGCTCGGTGGCTACCACTTTTGCTAGAACGGTCATGAATTCGTGAGCTAAAAGGACCATTCCGACGCCATCTATGCGCCAGTGTGAGGAGCAGATGACGAGCTCGCAGGAAATTGGGAGCCAATAGCAGGTCGCGGTCGGAGTATGCATCGGAGTGCGATTTTATTCGCAAAGTCTTGCCCGCCATAGCCTCCGTCTGAACCTTAGCGATTGGTTCCTAGTTACAGCCTGGGTACGTAGGTAACAAGGGTCACTTCCAAGATGACACAACATGCCTCGCTAACATAATACGCTCTGCTAGGTCTTCTTCGCCGCCTTCGATATTGCCTTTGCATTGACGACTCGCGCTGGTGGCGGACGTCACATCATGAACAGCTTGCATTACATCCGTGGCCAAAGGCGAAGTGCATGTTAAGCTTGTATGCGTGTAACGAATACAGAATGGAAATAAATACAAAAGCTGCCTATCATGAAGCATGAAGTCTTTGCTATGAATGGCGTGTACTCAGCATTATCATAACCTCAAATTGGCTGCAGCTCCTCTTCAACAGCCGGGGTGATTCGGGATTGTGTAATTCTGCCCTATAACATAGTACAGCCTGAATTGATTGATGCTGCTGGTCGTAAATGTCAAATGCGTTCCATATTAGAAAATTAATGATATTACATCCCGCACAATGGCCTGAAACCCCCGATACTATGCCTTCCATATCAGCCAATTGTGACATTCTTGTGGACATGGCCGTTGATGACAATGGTGTGTAAGTTGGATGTATCTTGGAAGACAGTGATATCTACCAAGGGATTTCCATCCACAAGAATAACATCCGCGTAGTACCCTGGCTGGACCTTGCCCAATACATCAGGATAACCCATCATCTCACCACCTAAAGCGGTAGCGGCAAGGAGGCTCTCCTTAGGAGTATAGCCGAATAGATCTACAAAGTGAGCAAGGTCCCTGGCGTACGTACCATGTGGCGCCCACGCAAACCCATAGTCGCCCCCAGGAAGCACTCGAATGCCTCGCTTGTGCATCTCTTTCATGGCCTTGCAGGCTACGTCAACCTCTTTCACTAAACCTCTCTTGGCGGCCATATCTGGTGTCAAGCCAAAAGGAATTGCGCCGCCGTTGCAGCTTTCTAGAGGGAAATTTATCGCCGGGGCAACGAAGACTAATTATAATACTGGTATTAGAAATGCGGTTTTTATCAATTAGTATGAGAAGACATCTAGCTGTGGTGTAGTTAGAGTATGAGATAAGGGAATTTTCAACTCACTTCGATCTTTCAACTCCTCGAGCATATCCATGGTCTCGTCGTCGGTGAAAGAAGCGTGATATATAACATCAACGCCAGTCAAGGCGCACAGGCGAACAGACGCTGCGGATCGAGCATGAGCGCACACGCGCTTTCCTCGGTCATGGGCCTCCTCCACGGCTGCTCTAGTCTCATTAAGAGTGTAGTACGTTTCTTCCGCACCCATCGTCTCATGAACATAGTCGCCCGTCATGCTCAACTTAATATTGTCGATTCCCAAGGAGATGAATTCTCGAACCGCTCCACGCATTGCATCTGCGCCGTCTGCCATCTTGGAAATGCTCGGGATGAGCGCGCCACCAGTAGTGGCGATCTCTTGACAGCTGGATAAAGTTCGTGGCCCCGGGATCATGCCGGTTTTAATTGCCTGCTTGATCACCAAGTCGAGGCGTGGCTGGGCGCTCGCAGCGCCGAAGCACATAGTGTAGCCGCAGTCGAGGTAGGTTCTGGCGGACTGCGCAGTGTGCAAGACATGTTCCTCGAGGGGTAAACTTGTGAGACCATCTAGGGTTGGGGAGTCATTCCAACTTAGATGGGTGTGGGCATCAATCAAACCACTCATCAGGGTTTTCTTGCCATATCCATCAATAACAAGTGTGTCGGTGTCTGGGGTAAACTCGAATTTGCCAACTTTTTGAATATGCTCATTCTCGATCAAGACGTCTCCTGGGTAAATGTCGGCGCCGGTAGAGTCGAAAATGTTTACATTCTTGAATAGAATTTTCTTTTTGTCGTTTGGCAGACGATTGCTGATGGTGATGTCTGCTGGAGTCGGCGTATAGTGAGGTAGAGCCCTCACGTTGTCGATACCATAGCCATCGAGCCCATGTCCTAATGTCCCTTTACTGATAGTGCTCGAACTCGTAGTGATTGCCATTTTGTAAGATTTGGTGTACACGAAATTCAAGACGCGGATGATGGGATGGGTACAGTAGCTTATAAACAACAACTTAGTTCGTCTTTAATTGAATTTTGAAGCAATTACCACTTATACTAACTCTAACCTTTCTTTTATAGCGGCGGGGACTTTGTAAAGCTGAGCTTGGAGTGGGAAAATGCCGTCGGAGTGCACTGTTCAAGGGTTACCCCCGACAATCGGTGAGATGCCGCTAGGAGTCTCGGTCTCTACGGTAGATTCCGGCTGGCAGAGGGTCGGAATCATATGCCGAAGAACCAAACTTTTTGAAACCATTTATACTTCAGAGTTATCGTCGTTTCGGTCATCAATGCCGTATCAACAGCCCGCGCGATGGCCTTTTTGTGATACTTTACACGAGCTGCTGAATTCAATTTTCTATCAACCACCACGATCAGTCTTCCTATTCTTTAGAGATAGTCACAATTAAAATGGCAGTCATGACTCACTGTTTTGGATTCATTGGCCTCGGGAATATGGGCTCACGGATGGCTCACAACTTGTCAGCTTACGCCCGTAAACAGGCATACGCACCTGTGCAAATCTGGAATCGATCAGCTGCCAAAAGTAAGCAACTCACTGAGACTTGCTACTGTGAGGTCGCATCCTCTATCCAATCTCTGGTCCTGGCCTGTGACATCATCCATATGTGTCTGGCCAATGATGATGTGGCACATGCTATAGTCGATGAGATTATCGCCATGGGGAAACAAGGGGTTGTTGTCGTCGACCATTCAACGCTGTTTCCTACGACTTCGAAAGCACTGCAAGAAAAATCCGCCCGAGCCGGAATTGTGTTCTGCTCGTGTCCAGTCTTCGGCCCCCCTGTTGCAGCGGAAAATGCTGCCCTCCTAATTGCCCTTACTGGTCGAGACGAAGCTCGCGACGCGTTGAAAGAATACATAGTGCCGACTATCGGGAAGGCATTGATAGATTGCGGCGAGGATGCGTCTAAGGGAGCTCTCCTCAAGATTCTCGGCAACAACTGCATCCTCGGCACTATTGAGTTGCTATCCGAGAGTTTCACGCTGGCAGAGAAGACGGGCCTCAGCGCCAATAATTTTTACGAGTTTATCCGTATGGCAATTCAAATCTCTTGGTCACTTTACTAGAGTTCTTCTAACCCATGATTATAGAAGCCTGGTTCCCGGCGCCAGCCTGGGAGAATTACGGCAAAAGAATTCGCGATGGTGCATTCTCTGGCTCAAGTGGTTTTACAATTGGCGGTGGGATGAAGGATGCTGGCTTTATACGCCGTCTTGGGGCCGAGACAGCAACTCCAACTCCCATCATCGACCAGGCATGGAACCATCTGACTACGGCAAAGGCTCTTGGAGGAGAGGGGCTTGATTGGAGTGCGTGCGCTGCAGGAATGCGTGCCACCGCTGGACTTCCTCCATTCAAAGGGGAAGACTTCACTATCGCACAATAAAATAGCAGTGGTACTAGCCAATCTGAAGCACATAGATAAGAACCTAGCTATGTTCTTGTAGGATCATAGAGGGAGATAGTAATAGAGCATGGACATTCGAAACCCGACCGTCAGGAGCTTTTTGCGTTTTCAATAATCATTATATTCTAGGATAAAACATCCTTCATCTAGTCGTGTGGTTTTTCACGAAACAAACAGATCATTCTTCCGATATTCTCATAAGCTGTGCTAGGATGAGATTACCTTGGCAGCCCCCCTCCCTTCAGGAGATTATCCCGTTGAACATTTGAAGACACCTGCCCACCCATTTTGTGTGGAGTGAGGTATTATTTACATTCCTACCAACACCTTACATTTATAACAACAATAGCTACTTGTCATTAAATAATATCACACTCTCTAGCTCTCCTTCGAACCACCCTCTTACCTAAACCTATGACTTCAGAACGACCAACGATCTAGTTATCTCAAGTCTTATGATTGCTCTTTATGTCAAGGATAAGTTACATAACCAAGCTCTTTATAATCTCTATGCATTTAGCAGAAGCCTCTAACATGTGCCAATGGCCAACGCCAGGGAGTAAAATCTGCTCTGCGTGTTCACCTATGCCACTGGCGAGAGACTTGCCAGTTTCCACGGTCGAAACCTTGTCTTCTTCGCCTGATAAGATCTTTGTAGGTGCAACAATACCATTCAGTCGAGGGGCAGCACTGTCTTTCAGTGCCTCGATAGCCAATGCATAACCTTCAGGATGCTGCCGAGTCAACATTTCCCTCGCCAGTGCGACTTCTCCTAGTCGCTCTCTCAAGGATCTGATAGCAAAGGCATTGTAAATGACCGCGTCTGCAACAGACCCCATCCCGCCCTGTCTGACTGCCGCAGCACGACTAGCTAAGGCATCTTGGCTATCTATAGGCGGCGGGCAGACAGGTCCAAATAATACAAGCGCTGCAATGGCATGTGGTATCTTGGAGGCTAGGTGAAGACAGATAAGACATCCTAATGAATGTCCAGCGAGGATAACATGGTTGAGTCCAAAGTGTGAAACCACCGCTATAATATTTATGAGATGGAATGCTTAGAGTACACTAGGGGTTCAAAAGACAATGCGCACCTTTGCAGTCATCAACATACAAGTCGATGCTTGTTGATTTTGGAACAGCGCTGCGGCCATGGCCGCTCCAATCAAATCGGACTAGATCAAATTCTTCTAGGCCGGAAACTAGCGTTTGGTAGGCATTGGTGGTTCCTCCTAGCCCGTGAACGAATAAGATTGATGGGCCGGCAGGGTTTCCTTCTCGTTCAACGTAAAGAAGTCCATTTGGGCCTTCAATATGTCCGGAAAAATTAAGTTTAGATGCCATATTGATTATTCAGGTTCGACTGTTATAGCGAGCAACTTGGAGGTCTTCATGATGTGGCACTTCCGCCAGAGCTTATAAAGTATTCTGGGTACACGTACACTACCGGTATGTGTTGGAAGCATGCAAGGGCTAATTTAGGTTCGGCAAGATGCCGCAAGCCGTCGAAACAAGGACAGGGATCATTACCGATCCGAACTCTGGGGAACTGGGATCTCTACTGTAGTGACTTCTAATACTAGGTATACATAGTATGACCACTTCGGAAAGTCTCCGAATAATTACTAGGACCAATGTAGGAATAGTATGTGTTTTACGGACAGGACCTAACTCTACAATCCTAATTCCTTCTACATCCTCACGTGGATGTCCTGAAGGACTGCGTCCGACTAGATTGTTGCATCGGGGAATGGTGTTTTCTTGCAAAGCCAACATCTAATTAGAATTATTAATGAAACTTTTGAAGCTAATTACAAGAAATGGTATCCCACGGTAGTAACCTTAGATATGCCAACTTCGTCCTAGGGCCAGTACCTCCATTGCTTTTCTCATTCAGCACGCCAAGCGTTAGAGAAGACTATATTGACCGCTAATCGAAATTATCGAACAATGCTGCTACGTACTTGCTGTATGCACAAATTATCCTCCGCGACACCTCCACAACGCCTGGACCTTCAACCCGAAGACGGGGCGCTCTTCGGAACTCTTGCGTGCAGACTCTACTGGCTTCTTGGTCTCCAAGGATTTTCTGTGCCTTTGCAGTCAAGAGTGAACTACCGACCAACGACAGGGGCGCTTCTGCTGATTCAGAAATTTGGAGAATTGCAGAGAATGGGAAGTTCGCTGGACTAGGGTATTTGGCGAACTGGGCGAGGAGGGGTAACCTGGTGAGTGCTGCGGGTTTTCCGGGAATATCGATCGCATTCTCCCATGTTTCCAGCCCGACGCCCTCCCCACGCAAAGAAGTAAAGCCCATAAGTGTGATGCCGCAGAGAACGTCGTCTCGGCTCAATAGATTAAATGTTGAGAATGCACTCGCGAACCATTGTGGGGAGCCGTTTGTATCTATAGGAAAGGCAATTGCGATGCTCGCAAGACTGTGGTCATTCGACAACCGAGTTAAATAGATGTTACCCGCACTATCTTGCTGTTGCAGGTCAGCGACTAGGCTAAACAATTGCTGTGATCCTTCCCTCACCTCAAATTTTAACCCCTTATCTGTGGCATAGTGATGTAAAGCATCGCGCATCATGATATTCAGATTTCCATCTTCTCTATGTTGTGCATAAACGCGCCGAAGCGTGCCAAGTTCCTGTTCGAGTGACATGTTGCCGGTAATTTCCAAAAGATAATTGAAATCTTCGAAAGAGATAGCAAGACAGAGTGGTTTTATCGGTCGATTTTCAATTGTAACTTGAGGGATAAAGCTTATTGTTTTCGTAATATGGTAATGAGAATAACGGTCGGGATACTGTAGGCGGACAGATCCCGTGGCGGCTCGGAATTATACTGCTTACGCACATCATGCCGGGTTAGAAAGGACAGTACCACTCGTATACAAATATTCAAGTTAGTTACCAAGACCAAGAAAAGAGTCTAGCAGCCAACAACCTTTAGAAAACTAGTAAATTTCTATATTGTGAACGGCTTCAATTCCAACCCTGTCATTGGCCCTCGTTAAACTACTTAAGTCGTGCATCTTTTGAGCGTCGCATATGACGATTAGAGGATAATGATATACCAAGTGATGCTTCAAATCAAAGGTGGGGTTTTCTAGTAGCGAAATTTCCAAAGAGAATACCCCAAATAAAGTCTCTAAGTGATGACATAATGAACTTGGGGTATCAGGAAGGGCAATTCTATCTTGGGACCATGTTACACGCATACAAAGTGTACTAGCTGAATATGCAGTTCGCCTTGCACTTCGGCCGTAGGAAAGGCCATTGCAGGCTGTTCATGATCTTTCAAAGACATGCAGGCAATATTGGAAAGTGAGGTTATACAGACTTCGCTTCTTAAAACAGACCCTTGAGACCTAGGCGATCGGGGCTGGCAGACCAGTTGTATATAGAGTCGACCAATAGCTAGGAAGGGGTTGGTTGGTTATGGACTTATGCAGCCCTAGTTGATCATTGTAATCTGAATAGCATCAAATTCCGAGCCCAGTTATCTGCCCTTCTTATTGACCAGCTTGGGACGTGCCATCTGCCTTGCTCGAATGCTTCTGCAATTCATTTGACGAACTGATAGGCCAGTGAGGACTTGCTTGCTATGATTAATAACTATAAGTAATTATCAGTTAAATTATCAAGAAAGTAATATTCTATGTACGCGCTCGGTAGGCTTTGACGTGCGGCAGAACATGCTATCTGATTTGATTCAGTAACAACCAATGAGCAGATAATGACTATGGCGGCTCCGCAATCAGTCCAGAACTTTTCTCATCTGCAGTTAGCCATAGCGGCCGCGCAACATGATGAGGCGCGACTTCGGGAGCTTCGTTCTGAACTGGCGGTTTAGGGGGCGCTGGTAGACTATAATATAGCTCTACGGCAAGCCTTTCAGCAGCATGCAAGTAAAGGGATGTGTCTACCGTTACCTCGCTTCATAAATGGGGAGCCTGCTTACATTGTAGATATTATTCTCTGCTGCTTGAAATAATATTGGGTGAGAGCAGCTCAATAACGACCTATGAAATGTGCGGTATACTACCTTGGAGGCTTTCAATGGTGATCAAGAAATCACTGCTATCTGGCTACACAAACTCTCAGCCACTGCGATAAAATCCCTGGTTATATTCTATTGTCTTCGAATTACCAATTTACGACCGCCTTCAACGCTTCTCCTGAGATATACTTGATCGTCAGGATGGGTAACTTGCGACTCGTAACCCGGGTACGATATCGGATCTATTGATATTCGGAGAAGAGCTAAATCCGCGATCTGCCCACCGTTAGAGATCCACTTATGCATTGTCTCGTCCCGACCCCTCATAAAGTAGACGTGGGGTACATGAATGTGAGAATACTCCGCGGGATCTCTCAGATGAAAAGTAGATGGTGTCGCTAGGTTAGCTTACGTCCTCGTCGGCCTACGCGGCAAGTCACAATCGAGAAATACAACTGTCTCGGTTCCTCTAAGTTGACACATTGTGAAAGACTCGACATCTCCGGAAGCTTCGTCGACTAAGACATAATGACGGGATCGCGCGGCATCTCACCGACCGAGCAGTCACCGGTGGCACAACCCGCCCGTGCCCGGCAAAGCAGAAGATATGGCTTTGCGTGCTGCAACTGCCGACATCGAAAAGTGAAATGCGACGGCGTCTTACCGGCGTGTGGGAAATGCGTCCTCTCCCGTGAGCAGTGCACATACAACAAGTCAATTAGCCATTATCTTACTCCAGAATTTAGGAACATCGAAGCTTATCGGTCAAATAGGCGTCCATCACTGGCATATGCGGTTAATCTACAACACCAACTCAAGGCCTACCAGGAGCGCTTCGAACAACTACGAACCGCTAAAGATGGCGATAGAGATGCTTTATTAGAAAAACCAGTTACGACTGGCCCACTGCAGGGGTGCAGTACGAGTGACTTTAGTCCACCTCCTGTCGTCGAATCAGCTACTCACGGCAGCGATGAAGATTCAAGCAGCCTCCAGGAGGAAACGTCCATTGGGACCGATGGCCAATTGTGCTTCTACGGTTCTACAAGCCTGTATCATATTTCGCCATCAGATGGACACCGAAGCAGCACTCTTTATAGCAAAGGTCGAGAGACAGGGGCGCCTCACGCTAGGCTTGAACAGCAAGATGCAATGACTGCGTTCCTTGCCAAGATACCCTCTTCGTTGTTGGATAACTTGCTGTATACATATTGGTGTTGGCCCCACCATCTACATTGCGTGTTGATAAAGAAGATTTTCATACGTAAGTCTGCGGTCTAAGGGGCAAAGACATGCACGGTGTGTTGCAGATTACTGATGATGCATTTCAGGTGATCTGGAGAATCTGGGCCCGTTTGTTACGCCATTCCTCCTCAGTGCTGTATTGACGCAGGCTGCTCGATACTCTACAAGGTCGGATGCTGCAGAGGTTGGACGTCACTTCGCGAAGCAAGCGCGTAAGCTGCTTGATCTTGACATTGATCGCGGAAGCTCAATTGCCACGATCCAGGGTTTGCTCATCTTCTCGGCAAGAGAATGCGCGTGTGGCAGAACATCCCAAGGCTGGCTGTATAGCGGTATGGCATTCCGGATGGCGAGAGACCTAGGTCTTCATCTCGCTCCAAAGAAGCTCAGCCCCCTATGTCCACATTTCTCTGACGAAGACCTTGCGGTACGAAACCAAATATTCTGGAGCTGTTACACATGGGATAAAACCATAAGTTTATGTTTGGGCCGAACTCCAGCAATTACAAATGTCATAGAGCTGCCAAGGCCTGACACGCTTTTGGACGGCCTTGATGCAGACGAGGAGATCTGGGAACCCAAGGCGTTTCAGGGCTCTCTGTTCGGAGGTCTTATGCAACACAGAGCCTTCAGCAGCAGCAGATTCGTCGCCTATTGCGAGCTTTGCGTAATAACTCATGATGTCCTTGATAAGCTCTATGTCCACAGACACCGTATGGAAAAGGATCAGTCAATGGCACGTTATCTTGATCAGACGCTCGAGAAGTTGGATGAGTGGTGCGTACGACTACCTCGTGATCTACTCGTACAGGACGATTCGAAGAGTATGGAATGCCCCCCATTGCATATTCTGTTGTTGAATTTGGTATATCAGACTGTCGTAATCTTACTTTGCCGGCCCTATCGTGTCAGTTCCGAAACCGCCAAGGCTCGGTGCACACGTGCAGCGCAGATGACGGATTCGTTATTCATGCTTCATGTCCGACGGTTTGGCTTCCGCTGCGTGACTTGGTTGCAGACCTATACAATGTTTGTGGCGTGCACCATCAACGTCAAGGACCTGAAGGAGAACCGAGAACAAGATAACACAATGTCCAACGCGGATCTAGCGCGCGCAACTAGTGCTCGCCTCGATTTTGGCTTAGAGATCTTACGTCAGGGCGGCAAGAGCACACCGAGCGCTGGACGATGTGCGGCAATTGTAGCTCAGTTGCTGAGCAACGCGGGTAGCACGTGTGTTAATACGCGTCACGTGAGCCAACAGGGAGCAGAAATCTTGGAGTCGGATTTACAGAATGATGAATGGCAGCTGGAAATAACAAGCCTGGATCCGCAGCCGCAGAGAGAAACAACACAAGCTGACAAAACGCTCGCAACTGTTCCTAATGTACCCTTCAATAAACAACACGCGGGTACCGAAAGTCGAACGGCGTCAGATCTTATGCACCCCGGAGGTAATGTGCAAGGACAGAGTCCTGAAGTCCCAAATAGTGGGAGCATGCTAGATGGCAGTATCACAACATTTGATGTAGGAATACAGTCCCCCTTGGTCAGCACCTTGTTTGGAGGGGCTTCCGAGAATTTGTGGGAGGGAGGGAGTTGGACGTTGACGGATACGGAGTTTGACCTGAACATGGCGTTTAATAACACGGATTAAACTGATAGTATCTGTTGAAATAATAATTATATTTTCTTCTGCTCGCCGAGTACACTACAGAAGCGCCGGCTACAGTGTCATCGGATACCCCTTAAATATACGATGCATCAAGCCTATCTGTCATGTTAGGTAATATACCACCATGGTCCAACCAGGCAGCCCCGGTCCCAGGGGAGAATATCGACTTGTTCCAGAGTGGCAACATGGTATCTGATTCTAACCCACATCAATCTCAGCAATACCAAGTGAAACTATAATGGATTCGTTTCGGTAGATCGCCAGGGGCATTAAGCACAAGGAGCGTTGTCCCCTACACATATTAAGATTGTCCATCTGCATTGTAATGGCGGCCACGGCTTACAGGTGACTGAAATGAGGCCAGCCGCCATAACGGTCGATGAAGCAGAGCCGGAAGGTTAGCACCTTTTTACTAGTGCGGATTGCCAGCGTTTTGTCCCTTGTCCGGCTACTGAGAGTCAAAGGCCACGATTCAATGCCAGCAACCCTGGACCAAACCTCTTCTCCGTCATAACGATATGAGCATCTTGTGGAAGCCCCGGGTGCATTTTGGTCCTACTGATGCACCGAAGTCCTATTCTGTTTGACTGTATTGGCGGCCTTACTTATTTGGCATTCAATGCCTCCTTCTAACTAAGCCTCACATTTTCTTAACTCTAGATAGCTAATCGATCTATATTTTAGCATCCGATAATCAGGCAAGGAACTCTTCTCAAACATATGTTTGGGCAGAGGTGCAAAAACAATGTGAGTGAGATAAAAAGACATGAAACGTCAAAAAGCGGTATTATATTTCATGACTCATGTTTGGTTATTTCTTTCCTTACTTTATAAGTGCAACTCTACATAACCCACAATCCGTAAAAAGGAATCTTGAAACATCACACGTGCCCACTAGCGGAATCGAACCGCTGATCTTGTCATGGCAATAGATAGACTTCTTGATTAGAGAGAGTACTAGTGACACGCTATACCACTTAGCCAAGCGGGCTTCAGTTGGTGATTCAGTGTGATTGAACGTAACTAGATTCTTACCATTACAGCTTACGTGTACTGGTGTTGATAGAGGAAGCAGGCCAGATCGTATAAGCAGCAAAACAGGGGTAGGCGAGTTCGGTGACTGATAATATCTGCATGTCAAAAAAAAAAAAAAAAAAGTCTAGATGTTCGAATATTTGGGGGCTATCATATCTGTGTATGCTGAAAGTTAAAACTAATAATAGCAGGTAGCTTTATTTGTAGACAACGCATACTAATAAACCATCCTACTTCTACCCTTTGCATTAGTTCAGAATAACTCGAAATCACAACTACGTCAACATAATAGACGCATCGTCTCGCATGGCCCCCTTTGATCGAAAGACTATCAATCCTCCTCTTCAATGTAGAATATTTTACCGCCCATCTTGTCTAAGACGGTCGCTTCCATAGCTTGATCAAAACAATCCCTATATCCTTTACCATCGCCGGACGAGAACCTCCCAAGTCTGTCGGCAACGACGACAAAGCTGTGCTGGATAGGAAGCAACCTGGAGCTGCCCTCCTCCGGCACGGAATAGAACTGATAGTCGCAGTGTTGTAGAGCGAGCAATAGGTCGATTAATGCATCTATAGAGTTGCCTTCTTCGTCAGTGGTCCCTCCTTCATCCTCACTTGGAACATCAAATAGGAGATATTTCTGAGAGCACTGGCCGCCCCAAATGCCGTACTCCCTCATTTTCTCGGGGGGTACATGGGTGATATGCGAAGATATTTCGGATATCAGAGTACAGAGGACGCATCTCCACGCCTCCCGGATTCCCACGATGGACTCTGGAACTGCGAGAAAAATAAAAGTCGTCTGTACCGGGGCATTGACAGTGTTGAGATCCTGAGCCGTTTTCCAGAATGAGTAAACACCTAGTGTCCCTGCGCCTTGGTATGAGGAAATAGTGTTTCTACGCGGAGACTCTATGATCAGTTGAAGTAAAGTGCGAGTGGTGAGCGGTTGGTCGGCGTGTGTTTCTTGGAGTACATCTTCCGGTTTGACAGCCTCGTCACTTAAGTTGGCTGCCACGTATCGAAGCTCGTCTGTATCAAACGGCGGAAATTCAGCAAACATTTCGCTATCCATTCTGACTTAGACTGTTCGAAAGTTGTGTGTTAAGATCGCTTTGTTCAGTCGGAGTCTTTGAAGGGGTCGCTTCCTGTTTTTATATGAACATTGTTTAACAAAGGGTGAGTTACATGCTACCAATTCATCAATTCTCTACTCGGTGAGTATCAAGTCCATCCGGTCACCGAGAGTCCAATTTACATCCATTACCATGTACATTACCACGTCACCGCAATGTTTGCAAAGCTATGTGCCACAGTCTCGGATATGCCCCTAGCTTCAAGGGGCAGTAGACTCCTGTCGTTGCGCAAGGAGCCCTGACTGACTCCCTTAGTGGCCGGCACTATATATAAAATTCTTCCCTTAACCCTTGATGCTATATTATATACTATGTACCATCAAACAGACAATTCCACCTCATGAAGGGAGTTGTAAGTGGGCTATTGAAGCCCAATCGCTTGAAGCGATTTGCAAATATCTGAAATCTGGTGCATACAAACACGCAAGCACCCCAAACTATCTTAGGGATTTTTCTGTTCAGCTCGGTGAAGCTTTAAACGTCTTTGTGGATTTAGCCCATCCCTAAATAAACAGAAGCGAGCCACATTATTTTGGTTGTCCATGTGTTGGTACATTAACCTATAAAATCACATAAGCACAAGTGGAACATGCAATACTGTAGGAACTGCCAGTGTCCCTAAACTTGCGGTTGGTATTGGCGCGACTTTTCTGGGCGTGGTGATATATTTCTAGGCTACTGCTGGTGTTGGGTTTTTTGCATGTATCTATCGCCACATTCAAGAGTCACTCTTTCTTCCGGCGTGGCGGTTAAAACGCAGGAGCGGCGAAGAGTGTGCCACCCGAGGCGCCCTTACCCTCTTCAACTGTAAGATCTAGGAAAGAACATGCGGGTAAAACTATGGAAACAATGTTATTCGCGTTCGATCAGGACTGAAAATCAAGTGCTCAAAGCTGACTGAAACCCGAGCATGCGTACACGGATCCCGATACATTCAAGTGCCCAGAAACCCGTTCCAACTGGATCCGGAGTAGCAATTATCCACATCACTTATATGTTCAACGCTTATTTATCGTCTGATAGGGCAGGAGAATTCCACTCGACCCGGTCGCTTCTGACTTCAAGATGGCGGAGAATCTTGCAGAGGCCAAGCCTCCTTCAATCAAGCATGATACTCCATACGGACCTTTTAACAGCCTAGTCGAGAAATACTTACTTAAGAACGCCCCCATCTTTGAACAGTTGACCGAGCTCAGAGCAAAGGTACCAGAGCCATTCCCCTTGAGGCCTATTGTCGACATTAAGATAACCGACTGATGTTTTATTGGTAGTATTCGTAGTGGTTTATCGCCATGAGGGACGGTCAACAGAAGCGAGATTCGAAACTAAGAGGAATACTCGCAGGCAGCCAACTGACTGATGCTTTTGAATTCAATCAGACATCAGATATCCCCAGTGATCGTCAATTCTGCAAATTCGAGGCGCACGTGACCCCTGCCGGTGTTCTAAAAGCTGTTATGGATCTCGGCGAAGATGCCCAGTGTCTCGCTTTCACCCTGCCCCGTAACAGGGACTGGAAGGCAACCCAGTTAAATACAACCGCGAGACTTGCTTTCTACCCCTTTGATATCAATTGTCTAGCCGCGGACATGGGCGCCTTCGTCACCGGACGTCCAGGAGACCCTGGTTCAGTCCAGGGCCATATCCTTGAATTTATTCAGGAACCCTCTACCCTTTCAGAGCCCGATGACCTAGTTGTTTATCAGCACCCACACCCATGGAATTTTTCGGTAGCTCCTCTGTTTACATCCGATGAGAAACTCGACCTCATTATGTGTGATGCCCGCTTCCCCTTGGATGACATTGAGCTAAAAGAGACAATGGACATAGGCCGTACGCAACTAGTACAGCTCGCTCTTGGTCTCGAACACGTAAAGGAAGGTGGCAAGATGATCATTCGCTTGTCGGATATTGAGTCATGGACGGCTGTCGACTTGCTCTATACATTCACCCAGTTCTCCTACGTGGATGTCTTCAAACATGCCAGTACAGGTACCAGATGGCCAGACTGCTATCTTCTCGCCTCCAATATCCGTCCCCTGGAACTCGCAGCTATTACGTCGGTTCACCGTTGGAAGAAAGCTTAGAGAGCTGCCACATTCGAAAGCGAGGATGAATATTAGAGATTAATCCTACCATCGCCGGAACGTGTGGAAAAGGTTCTGGAAAAATTTGGCAAATCACTGATATTCAAGGGAGGGGATACATGGCATATTCAGGTCAGAGAACTTCTCATGAACCCGCCAGTTGATCCTGAAACAGCCACCGTACCTCCTTAGCTCTTGAATTTCGCCCCGACTCCAGTGTATATGAAAGGGGTATACGAAGGATATTCAGTAGTCGGCAAACGTTAGCGAAGCACTAGCGATAACAAAACAAATAATTACATAGCGAATATACTCAGTAGCGGCATTTCCCTTATGCATCACATTGATAAATTCCAGGGGAAAATGTGCATCATCGCCCCGGCTCTATAGGTCGAATATTTCCAACGAATGTTGTAGATACGAACTCTTGGGACTGACTTGAAAACCAAGACCATGAACATTATTTTCTCCTGCGTCTAGGTGGGTGCTTGTTTGAAATCATCGATACGCCCACCTCGCTTAATCATACTGCCCAAGCACGCTCACTGTTCCAGCATACTCATTTTGTCAACGGGTATATAGAGATTATGGGTTGGTACGTGATATCAACACAATTCTATATTATGATAAATTATTCGCAAGTTGGATCTATAAGCGCAAGAGGTAAATAAATACAATACTTTACAGCTCACGCGAAATCTCTATCACCAGCCCTCCACAAGCTGAACTTTCACGTGCATACCGTTGGCCGGCCGATTTGTCGCGCCATTCCTGAGTTTAATCTTCGCCTCGTCCCGGAGTGATTCATCGACCAGTGAGAACTCAAACCTGCCTACTAGCGTTGCGAGCAAGATGGCCAGCTCTGCTTTGGAGAATGACTGGCCTATGCAGCTCCGGGGGCCGTGTAAGAAAGTCAATGTCGCGTAGTTGCTTCTAGTGCCAGTATGCTTGTTAGAGTGCTCGCTCTCATCCAAGGGGTCAACTTCTGCTCTTTTGGGTTGCGACAGGTACCGATCGGGGTTGAAAATTTGCGCATCGTCCCCCCAGAGTGATAAGTCGTGGTTCGTAGCCCGAGGGCAGATGGCGAGTATGGTGCCGGCTGGGATAGGCGTCCCGTTAATCGACGTGTCCACGGCAGCCTCGCGAGAGGTTATGGGTACTGGTGCAAAGTAACGTAGCACTTCCAGGCAAACTGCCTGAAGGTAGGGCATATTGTTGTCTATAACGGCGGATAGTTCCTCGGATGTTTTCAACTTGGAAGAGGACGGACTGGGAAGGTGAGCGCGAATCTCGTCTCGAAGCCTCGTTTGCATTTCGTGGTTCTTGCTGAGAACATAGACGGCCCACGTCAACGCCGTTGCCGTAGTCTCATGGCCCGCTGCCAGGAACGTGAGAAGCTGTTCGACAAGCTCATCTTCCGTGAAACCACCGTAGTTAAGGGCCACAGTTAGTATGTCTTTTTCCCCTTTATCTGCCACCTCTGATTCAAGATCACTCTTTTTTTGGCGAATGAGCTGCCTGCATATGTCACGCAGTGTCCGTGCTGCCTCTTGAAGTTCGACGTTCCTCTTGAGAGGGACGTATTGTACCATCCAGTAGGGCATGATCCATACGCGGAGGATGAACATGATCAGATCTTGTATGCTCTGACTAAATACGGTCTTGTAAATCCGTCGCAGGGTCATATAATCGCGGTCTTCGCACCGGACGGACTCGAAGCTCTGGCCCATGCCTCCAACAAAGATGATATCTAACGTAACTTTGCTCGCCCATTGCATCATGTCAATAGTGTATGGCTGCTGGTCCGCTTTGGACTTGGTAGCAACGGCTTCTGTTAATGATGTGACGGCATGGCTCGAGATATCCCACATCAGCCCATAGAGATCCTTAATGTGCCTATATGCGAAAGCTGGCAACAGGGTCTTCCTCTGCTCTTTGTGGTGATCTCCCTCGGCTAGTAGGATACCCGCCCCAGCAATTGGCTTGAGCGCATTCGCGACAATCTGCGGCTTCTTGAAATGGTAATTTTTGGTTGTGAGCACCTCCGCCAACGCCTCCGGACTCGCTACAATAAGCCTCTCCTGGTTGAGAGCGGTTCTGTAGCGAACGAGGCCACGTTGATGGTGTGGAACTTGTTCAACCCTAACACCCATGTCAGTACAATATTTACAAGACTGCTGTGGTGCTACACCAGGTGGCACACGCCGTGCTTTGAGTGCTATGGAATGGAAAATTTACCAGTCACTCTGGGGAAGACCTTTCGGTTCAGAGATTAACCGTAACGACTGTCTGCTCCACCACGCGTTGCCATCTACAGTCGGTAGATGTCTCAAAGGTGAGAGCAGGTTAGGGTATAGGATGCCTCGATAGATGACCCATAGCAACAGGCATGTACCGAATACTCGGCAGAAGACGATTGGGTATGTCGAGTCGCTGGTTTTGGTCAGAGGATAGGATAAGGCAGCGGATACCACCAAGACGGTCTTGAATGAAATGCTTGGCATGTTGGTTTACAAGAAGATACACAAAAGCATACTTTAGGTACCCAGGTGCCTAGGTATGTTCCTCGTTGTAGATTGGGCGTTGTTCTCACAAGAAGGGGCAGAATACGAAACGCGTCAGAAGCAGCGACGTCGAGAGTGCAATCAATGATGAGACAGTTTATCTAGGAATATCCAGTCGGTCGACTTGTGATCTTGCGACCTGCGTCTAACATATACCTAAGTAGATGTTCAAAGCTGTCTGCCTAGAGACCCGAATGCGCATTGTTGCGAACCCGATACCGAAGCCAATGCCCGATCCCGAATAATGCCGAGAGCTACGGTCAGCGATGACGTTAGCAAAGGCTCCATACCCTACCTAACTCGCTAACCTTCAAATAAAGAAGTGGTTGAAAAAGCGGAAAGCTCGGGAAACGTGCGGCGCGGCGACGTCGGGGCTCTTTTTGACATGATATGTTCTTCTGGTCCTGAAACATGCCATCTTGCCGTGCGCCTCGGGTAGCATTGTATCTCCAAGCGCAAATATCCCGGCATCCCCAAGATATCATGTTCTGCTCGAACAAGAGCGTGGATTTTCTGCATCTGTAGGTATCTTTCCAATATCCACCGAAATTCGTGCTCTTGAGCGTCAGGTGCAATCAGGAGGTCGGTATTCACGTGGGTTAGGTGAGGAAGTACCTAAGTATAGGTACCTAACTTTATTTGCCATCTGCCAGAAACCGCCTAGCGCAGAGCACTAGCATTCGGGATCGCTTTCGCTTACATATAATTAATGTGTATTATAGGTACTAAAATACTAGTACTTAGTACATTTGACGAACCCTGAGTATATAGGTAGTCTATAGGTACCCTTAGGTACAGGTACAAGGACTGGGGCCTTTGGATATGCGGAATAGTAAAATGTCAAAACACCAAAACACCAGCTCGCTCTAGATGGATACGAGGACTCCTTCTACCTGCACAACCTCTCTAGAAACTCCCTACTATATGTAGCAGCGGATTGGCCTTCAAGACTAGGTACCTGAGCTGTGCGTGTTAAGCCACGAGGCTCGCATTAGAATCCGACAGAGCCTACCTAATCTCAGTGGCGAGATGTGGCTGTCTACAAGTCCTCATCCTCAGCCGCCGACTTTTCCACAATGGTGTATCTTTCGCGGCCTGTCTTCGCGTCCGTCTCGCGCTCGACTAAATCCCGCATTGTTTTGTTAGCTTCCATCCTTGAAACGGCGGTCATCCTATGGGCATAAACTCACAAGCAAGCTTATTGATCTGGCCGATGATGTCCTCGATATTCGAATCCTTCTTGTTTCGGTCTTGGCGTCCCAAGTCGTTAATCCAATTCACTCTGTTGAGCACGTAGTATACCACTGCAATGACCACCGTGACGCCAATCGAGTACACCCAGACCACCACTACAGTCACGATGTCGGTGTAGCCTTGGGGAGAATTGACGAACTGATCCTCCATCGGGTCCGTTTCGGGCTTGCCTGACAGCCAGCCGAACAGGCAAAAAAGGGTAGCCAAGACGTCTACGCCTAAAATTGCTAGGATGAGCTGTACAGACGGCCAGGTTTCTTTTCCACGCGTCACAAAGATCAGCCAGTTCTGTGTCAGGGCAATTTCGAGGAACAGCACTTCCTGAACAGATCCGAAGGTCTCAATGATGCCGCCCGTCTCTAGCAACATGGTGCCGTGAACAATCCACGTCGCCGCTGCAAGCAGGACGCCCATAACAACACTGATGAACCAGATTTTTTTCAATTGCCACTCTACCGGTCGAGGTTCCACATGTGCATTGTCGTAGGCGACAGCCACCGTCGCCAAATCCGCAAACAGTGCGATGAAAACAACGAGATCTGGCCGGATTGTCTCGTTGCGAGCAATCATCGAGGTGGTTAGGTATAGCTCAAGATGCAGACATAGGGCAATGCGATACTGCACGTATGATTTCATCCGCTGGAAGATCTGCTTCGAAGTCAGTATGCTTTCACGCCAGCGCTGATATTATATGAAGGGAGGGCGGGATCGATCGACACCAAGATCCGAGTCAAACACAGTTATCATTCTGACGTACCTGACGAGCTGTCTTAATTGAAAGAATGATCGTACTCAAACCAGGTGCCAGGAACACGATGTCCGCTGCTGCTTGCGCTGCCTCGGACGATCCCTCAACCGCGATACCACAGTCGGCCTTCTTCAGTGAAGGAGCATCATTGACCCCTGCGAGTTTGTTGATTCGTTAGCTCATGACACACACCAGTGAAGGACATCATGTTGTGGGACTGGGACATAATCTGCCATACCATCCCCTGTCATCGCAGTCAAAGAGCCTCTCTGTTGAAGCATCTCAACCACTTGATACTTGTGTTCTGGAAAAACTTCAGCAAAACCGTCGGCTCGCTGAACTAAGTCATGCTGCAACGCTCCAGTCAGTCCGCTATTGGTTAGCTTCTCTGAGTTGTAGACCCTGGTACCAAGGCCCAGCATCTTGCAGGTTTCTTTGGCTATTGCGATCGCATCGCCTGTCAACATCTTGACTGGAACGCCTAAATGTGCAGCTTCCATGATCGTCTGTGCCGTGTCCTCGCGGGGCGGGTCGAACATCGACAGCAGCCCCAGAACCGCCCAAGGCTCATCGTTCTTTTTATATGCAACACCGAGAGATCTGAAACCTCTCTGGGCGAATTCCTTAGCTTTCAAGGTGTACGTACGGCTCGTCTCTTGGTCGACGTCAGCAAGAGCAAGAATAGCTTTAGGCGCTCCTTTTGCACAGATAAAGCGATCTTCTCCCCGCGTACAATAGCTTGTAATCCGCTTCGACACGGGGTCAAACGGCATGAACCTGTCCGTCCTCCAACCCTCACGCAAGTTCTCCCGCGCTTTCGGATACCGTTTCAAGCCCGTAATGATGACATTGTCAATTGGATCCAGTGAGTCTACCTTGTGGGAACTAGCTAGTGCCGCCACGGTCATCATCCAGTCCACATCTTGCCCTTCGGCCACATATGGGTCGCGGAGGCTAAGTTTGTTTGCTGTCAGAGTTCCTGTCTTGTCCGAGCAGAGAACGTTTACGCCCTATCACAACCGGTCAATGGCCATTCCTCCACAGCGCGAGGAAGCACTCACCGCAAGAGACTCGATAGCCGTCAACTTCTGAACAATAGCCTTTTGCTTTGCCAAATACGCTGCCCCCACGGCAAGTGTTGTGGTTGTGACTACCGGAAGTCCAACTGGGACGCCGATGATGAGGAGGACTAGACTATAGTGAAGCAGATTCTGCGTGTCGGGTTGTGCAATCTTGAGGTGGCGATAGAAGCCGCCAATCCAAACAACAAGAACGAAAAAGAGAACGAGCACTAGGAGGGCGGTGCCGATGCTGTTCATGACAGCCTTGAAGTGCCCCTGATCCTTCGCCCCCTGGACGAGCTCAGCAGTGCGGCCAACGAAAGAATGCTTTGCAGATGTCAGTATGATGGCGTATGCCTTGCCACGCTTGCAACCCGTGGTATAGTATATCGTGTCCCCCATGCTCTTGTCAACGGCAAGCGACTCTCCGGTAATGGCTGACTGGTCACAAGCCACTAGTGATTCCCCGTAGCGAATGGACTCGGTGCTGTCTTCCTTCCCTTTGGACTCGTCTCCATCACTATTTGATTTTTCTCCTTTCTTGTCATTCGTGCCACCTGCATCCACGCCGTTGGAATTGAATCTATCTTCGTTCCTCAGTTTCTTATACTGCTCAAAGTCCTGTGGCCTGTTATAATCGCAGATGAGTTGTGCATCTCCTGGCACCGTCTGACCTTCCTGAATGATCACCTATAAGATTTGATGTCAGTGCCCAGCGGACAGGAGCCTTCACAGGGGCGAGAACTTACGATGTCGCCAGGGACAAGCTCTCTAGCCAGAATTTGTTGTGGCTGTCGATCGCGGATTACCATTGCCTTCATTGCAATGTCACCCTGGAGACTTTTCACGACATCTTGGGCCTGCTTTTCTTGGTAGTAGCCTACGAGCGCATTAAGGCCCAGGATACCCATGATGACACCGAAATCAATCCAATCTTGTAGCCCCAAGGCCAGTAGAGCAGCAACCTGCATGACTACTAATGGTGAGCTTTACTCGAGTGAAGCGGCGAGTGGGTGCAATAGACGTACCATAAAGGATAGGGCCCCTGAAGTAGCTGAATATCTTGGCCAGTGTGCTGTCTTTCTCCCCACTGATTTCATTCCATCCAAACTGCTTACGACGCTCCGCTACCATGTCCGCAGTAATCCCTTCGCGGATGTCGGTATCCAGCCACGCACTTGGGGGCTGTCCTTGGGCGACCACGGGCTCACCCTCGACCGCATATGCGGCCTCATTCGACCTCCAAAACTGCCACCATTTGGAATTCTGGACAACAGGCCGTGAAATGTTGGCGAGACTTGCTCTGCGCCCAGTTTCGTAGTTGGTGATGAAGCGGTCGAGCGCTTCGAACTCATCAAGGTCTTCTTCCTTGGGAGGCGGCTGGTTTTCGGCAAACGCGACGTGTTCCCTCTGTTCATTGCTGGTGTTACTACTTTCACCAGGACTGTCTTGGACGACCACTATTCCTTCCAGATTCGGTTGGACCGCAGCGTTGGCCTCAATGTCATCGGCCGGCCGATTGGGAGTCCGACGGCGAGTCAAGCGCCTCATTTTTGTCTTGATTAGGCAATGTTAACAAATAACTGAACAGTCATTCAATTGTAAAATGGATTGAATTGAGACTTTTCCAAGTGTACTTGATAATGCTTTTTATTCGACTCGGCGGAGGTGGAAGGGGGAAAGGGTAGTCCCCTCTCTCCCTCCAGTTGTGGGTGAGGGCCACGCTTGATATCGTTAAGATTGAAAACTTAAATGATGCTTCCGAGCCCTCAATAGGCGTCCTATTCGATGCGGAAATCTTAAATAGACGCTCGCTACTACAAATATGCTTTCCGGCCATGCACCTCAGGAGTCCTTTCTTCGTGCGTAACCTGCAAATTCATCTTCAAGTTAGAGCTTGATTGCCCCATCGCCCGGATAGAGTTTCGGGGGCATGCTCGAACCAGCGATTAACATTCCGCCTTGCTGCACCGAGGACGCAAACACTGCCAGGCGAGAGTATAGGCTCTGGTCCGCAACTGTCAACGTATGGACATTGTGATCGTGTTCGAATTATGAAGCCGAGAGTGTCATTATATATACATAGCCTAATCTGTAGCTGCCAACAAAGACTCTTAAACCAGGTGGTCGAGCGAATCAAGCAACAAATTTCAATCACAGATATAAGGCGTACTGTTCAGGGCATGTTATGTTAGGCTTCCAGCATAGAATATCTTGGTTAGGCCTGTGATCAGGCTTTACCGTGGCCAAAAAATCCATAATGCAGTTATACATGTATCGGTTAGGATGACACAAACAGGTTATGTAGAAGCGGTAAACTTCACTTGAACATATGCCCACGTGCTAGTTGAGTAGCAAGCGTCGGAGTATTCCAGGGCAAGAGGCCGAGTTTCGAGAACAAGCGAGAAAGAAAGTCTTAGATTACAGCAGGCCTTGCGTGCTACCTGTGCGTACATGGGATCTCTGCAAGGAATCTGCTGCCCGGTATGCTCCAGTCAAGTTCTTTCAACTTCCTCATGCAATACGCGTAAGATGCTACGAACTTTCGCTGGGCCGTTGCTTAGTCCGGGATAAGAAGAGATACGCCTGTTGGACATGGCTCAGCACACCTCTTTGCACGTGGAACCCCGTTGTTATTCAATGTCTTGCTAAGACCAAGATATCCGAATGGAACTTTGTTAATACTCCAATTACTATACCGTAAATATTAATTTAAACCCTTTTCTCGGCCTTTCTTATATTTAGGAATCCCTACACTAAATATGGGATGTTCAGTTCATTCCCTATAAATGGGCATTGTTTTATTTTGTTTAGAGAGATAATCACTCCTTTACGTCATCTTTGTTTTATCCTGATCAGTAAAAGAAAGTTCATTTAGTTCACAGTTAAAAAAGAAAAAAGAAAAAAAAAGTGTTATTCTGATCTACTACATTTTAGTATGCGAGGAATTGAAATAATTAAGCTAGCTAGTTAGTTACTCCTAGTACGGAAAACCACCAGGGGGTCCAGGAGGAAAACCTCGAGGTGGAAAAGGACCACCAGACGGAGGGAAGTATCCAGGAGGAGGGAAATAACAAGGAGGACCACGAGGAGGAGGTCCGCCAGGAAAGCCACCATGAACCGGGAAGGGGCTTGGTTGCGGGCCGCTCGGTGGGCCGCCGGGAGGAAAGTAAGGGGGAGACGCAGGACGAGGACCGCCGGGGACACTATCTTGGTACCTGAATGTCCCAATTTCGGGGTCCATCTCGCGTGCATGGTCGAAAGCAGGAGAGTCGAACAGCTCCTTCAACCTGTCACTAATAAGTCGATACATGTCACGAAATATCGAGCCATGCTGCCCGTTCTGCTCTACTCGCTCGTAGTGCTTGGGATGGCTCTCGTCACAATTTAGGTGAATAAAGGCATGTACACATTCATGTAGCAAGGTATGTAGAACCCACTCGATAGCGTATCTTTTTGGGCGCCCTTTGGGTAACTCTCGCAGATAGATCGTTATGCTTTCCTCGTCCCCCCGGAAGAGCCCCCTTATTCCTACCGAATCAACGGTAGAGTAATCGTCCTTAATGAGCAAAAGGATCGTAGGCTGCCCGCTCTGTGATTTCTTTCTCAGAGTCTCGAAGAAGAAACATGTATCAAGGAGTTCCATGAACCGCAAAATCAAATCTTTCAGCTGCTCTAAAACCGGGCTTCTAGCTGCTGCCTCCTGCTGGCAATGGTTGAAGCAAGCTACGAGTTCTTGTAGCCTAGACGAATGTGGGCGTTGGAAGGCCAATGCCTCATTCTTGATCATATTGAGCAAGGACTTCGCATCGTATTTTTTGTTTAGCGGTGACATTTTGACGGGGAATAGCTTGTGTGTGTAGTAATGGTTAAGTGATGATGAGATATGATGCGAAACGAATTATCGAGCAGGCACCTTTCTTTATATGCGTAAATGAACCAAAGAGAATGTTTCGCTTGTTAAAGAGATGTAGTTGGTGTTCGAGGACAGAGCCTCTGTTCGCTAGTATATGTACCTTGGACAATTCAATTGTTCCACATAAAAGAGCATTGTTTCTGTTTTGAATCGAGACAGGGAATAACGCGTAGCCTCTATCTACTCCCCAGGAGGTACATACTTGCTTTCAATTGAGAAGAAGTTCGTTCGTAGAATATAACAATGATAAAATGAAAAGATTTCAATTTAGCCAGCTCGATCGTGTATGAATTCTCTAACTCATGTATTCTCAGTTTGGCATAATATATCGCTAAACGCACACGATATTCACAAACCCTATACCATTCGGGTCCAGACAGGTGGTACGAGGACTGCGACAACAGAATAAGCATCATCAGTAATGGTAAAGCATTGGGGATATTGTCACGATGCTAGGGCCATGAGCAATGAGATGCTCTGTATATAGCCCTAGGCTAGGCAAGAAACCTTCAAAACCTTCGTGCCACAATAGACGTCTTGCAATAACCCCATGACTGCAGACCTTGCTGGTAATTTTGCACGTATACCAACAGGTGTGAACAATGGAATGCGTGATGTCGTCGAGATTTGGGCTGCCCTCACTGTTCGGTACTCAACTTGGCCTCTTACACTGTACGTAGCGTATTACTGTTTCTTTCTGTCTTTACGGTACGACCTGGGATACCGAAGTATACATATTACCCAGTCGTTCGGGTCTATTGATGTGCAAAGGTAGCGAGGGGACTTAACAGACATCAAGTCTCAAAATCTCGATTTGGTGACAGTGTTTGGAGTCGTGATGTGCGTATAGCCGCTCCGATCGTCGCTTGCCTGGAAGTCAGAGTAGCAGGGTGTGAAAGGAGCCCAGTAGTAGAGATGAGAAATGAAGAGACGGAAAATGCTCTGTTGTGACTGATCAAACAGCTAGGGCCTATCAGTGAAGTACATGAGATGAATCGGGACTTATAGCGGCTTGTGTGAATGCCATAGCGGTGATGACCGCGTCACGCCTAATTCCAGTAGTTCCAGTATGTAACAAACGCCCAGTACCATGCCAGACACGCGCTCCATTTTTCTTTTTTAATGGCTCAAGAATGATTCCCCAACTCCTTCACTATTTCGTGCGCCGCCCTAGTAGAAGAAGCCCAGTATCTTGCCAGAGACGTGTTTCCGTCTGGCAGTCTGGTGATCCATGACACCGGCGGATGTGGTGAGGACAATGTGACCGAACTGACGAGCAGGCAAGAGCTTCGTAACCCACTTCTCCATCTGTGAAATCTTGATGTTGTATCGGGGGCTGATGACACCGCACTTGTTGAGGCTGTTTATTCGATGGTTAGCAGCGGACGCGGTGGCGCAATGGGCAGGGGCAACACTTGCCGTCCGTTAAGCTGAACGACGATCTTGCCGCTGCGGTGGTCGTCTACGATCTCGAACTCGCCGATGTAGCCTGCCATGTGTTAGCGTCCGGGGATAACGACGAGGCCGACAGCTCGGCAGCATTCCCAGCTTACCGTGCTTCTGCATGATGTTGAGGAACTCGACGGTGACCTTGGAAGCGGGACGGACTAGGACTTGGCGCTTGCCCATGCTGTCGGCATTGTTGATGGAGTTCATGGCATCCGCCAAAATACTTGTTCGAACCATGATTGCGGCGGTCGGAGGGGAATCGACGAGTACCTGTACCTAGAAGAAGACGGCTAAATCAATTAGGAATCGATATATGGCTCGCTTGAAGAGAATAGAGCAGAGGATACCGACATACCTGGTGGATGGACGTGGTGGTTAGCAGACGTGGTTGGTAGACGCGGAGAAGGCGTATTTTTTTGGTTGGGCGACTGGGAGTACCTACGATGCTGACTTGCTTGCTGGATTTCTCGGTTGTCGAGCGCACAAGACCAATTTCTCAAAATTCGGGGCAGTTTTTCGCCAGGCGTGGGATTTGTGGGGCGTGCCTAGGTTCCCCGCCACATACCAGCCACAGACCAGCCATTACCTAGGTACCTAAGGTAGAGGGGTGCACATCGTTCGTAGGCACCGCCACACTCGCTTTACGTACAACTTTCGAATCTTAAGACATTGTACATTGAGATCTGACGAAGTTGGGCTTTTCTCTGGTAGATACCATGTCTACTCACAAGGCTGCCTGCAGTAGGCCTAGATATGTGCCCGTACTGAACTAGAGCTGGAACAACGGTGCTCGTATCCTGGTATGCCAATGATAGTAAGATGGTGAACCTTTTCAACACTAACTCTTCTGAAAACCTCCAGGTGAGGTGTACTAATAAGTGATGGGTCTTTGATGGGTAATTGCCTAACTGCCAATATGTGGTCAAGATCAAAGTCAACCACTTTATTCATCGATCAGCACTGCGACCCTTCGGCCAAAATGCATTGTACTTATTCTATTCTCACTTAAGGCTAGGTACTCGAAAGAATGGACGATCGCAATCCACGATATCCTTGATAACATTGTACTCAATCGTCTTTGTTTGTTTACAAAGAGTCGCTTTTGAAAGCCCAGTATGAACAAAGACCGCCGATTGATACTTTAGCTGTTTGCCGATTGCCACGATACAGCTCATTCGTTACTTGACATGAACACTGATCAAAAACAGACGGCTTTGAAGCAACGAATTGTTTCAATATTCAGAGGTCTATAAATACAGTCACAGTCGCGGTAGGCCTCGCAGACTTATTTTCAGCCACCTTAAACGGTTTCCTACCCAAAATACTACCAGCAACCTTACTCTGAAATCGCACTTACAGCTCAAAACTCAAATAGTTCTCTATTCCATTCAATACCCAGTCTCTGAAAATGGGTGGCAAGGAAGCGCGAGCGTTCATGAAGTGGACTGTTGGAGCTAGCCCCGACTCGGTCATCAAGAAGGACAAAAAGACAAACGAGGCCTACGCTGAGAAGCCCAAGAAGTCTCACTCTTCATCTTCCAAGCGTAAGTCTTCCCAGAAATCCAAATCCCAGTCTCACTCTCATTCTGAGCCCTCCGCCTACCCCCCTCCCAACCCTGCTTCCCACTATCCTTCACATACCTCTTCATATGCCCCTTCTCATCTTCCTTCTCATCCCCCTTCTCATTACTCTTCACGCCCTGCTTCCCACCATCCTTCACATACTTCTTCACATGCCCCTTCTCATCTTCCTTCTCATTACTCTTCACGCCCTTCTTCCCACCATCCTTCGCATACCTCTTCACATGTCCCTTCTCACTCTGGTTCTCATCCTCCTTCTCATCATTCTTCACGCCCTGGTTCCTACCATCCTTCACATACCTCTTCATATGCCCCTTCTCACTCTGGTTCTCAGCCCTATCCCCACGCACCACCCTCTAGCCATGCGTATCCTAACGCATATGGATCAGGGCACCCAGCCCCATCATACACAGCGACAAGTTATGCAACAACGCCGATCGACGAGGATGCCACGACAGTGTTACCGAGCGACTCAATATCACAGTACTCGGCAAGGAGATGGCGCTAACTTTTCACAGGAATCCCATTAGATATTCCTCAAGCATAAACATCTAAAGCCTTCTCATAGCTTGTTGTTTAAGTAAGTGCTATCATATTTACAAGTCAAGCTTATCTTGCAATATTTGTTTTGTTTTGTTTTGCCTTGTTTTCTTGTTTTCTTGTTTTTAGAATAAATAAAATTAAATAAACCTTGAAAATGGAAAGAAAAACACCGTAAGGTGGTGCTGAAAGCGTGAATCTCGTTTTTTATTCATTTTTAAACTGACATCGTGCTCTACTGCTCTTAATTAATACGTAGTATGTCAACTATCGAAACCTAGGACATTTGGCCTATTTGACAGAATATAATGATGATTCTTAATTCGTGCCTCTAGAACTACAACCGAGATTCGTTCATTCATTTCGTAAGTCAGGGGGCTACAGACAAAGAGACTCGCTGTATATGGGCCTTCGTCAAAACGTTCACGTAATAACAATATACTATCTACCCAGGCTTAGAGCTCCCACAATTGAGGATGATCAAGTCGAGGTTACACATAATACTTCAATGTAACCTGAAGGCAATGTCACACGATACCATACAAGAAACAAAACGAGATGTACATATAATAAGGACAGACAACTAGGCTTGGAACTTTGATGTTATTCAGATTACAATGATCAACTAGGGCTGCATGAGTCCTTGACCTACTAACTCCCTCTCCGCTGTTGGTAACTTGACTCGACTCTATATATAACTGGTCTGCCAGCCCAGGCCGTCTGGGTCTCTAGGGTCTGTTTCAAGAAGCGAAGTCTATATGACCTCACTTTCCAATATTGCCTGCATGTCTTTGAATGATCATGAATGGACTACAATGGCCTTTCATATGGCCGAAGGACAAGGCGAACTGCATATTCAGCTAGTATAGCTTGTGCAGCTTGTACGCGTGTGACAGACACAAAACAAGATGTACACTTGCAGCTTATTGTTGATAACTGAGTGAAAGGGGGAAGAACCAGGACTATTCTTTTACAGAGGCACTTGTCTATTGAGTGCTTTGTATGTCTTTATGCGAACTTTTTTACACAATTTGATTGTTCGCATACTTCTGAACACAGCGCGAGCTTCACCGCAGTATTAATTGCTCTTCAACCCCCTATTACAATTTGTCATGATTTCACCACACACGCCACGCTCTATTCTACAACTGCATACTATAATCTAGTATATCCATTTGGAACTACCATGGCCCCCAGCAAAAAAAGTCAGAAGAATGTCACTGACCTAGAAAACAGAACATGCCACCTCTCCGGCTGCAAAGTCGTTGTAGGTTCCCAACGGACAATGTGCCCTGTCCACAGGGTAGAACACGCTAAGCACCAAGCCGCATTGCGACAAAAGCGGAAAGACGATCTCGAATGCGTGCGCTGTGGCGCGAAAATCGATAACAACTATTTTTCTAACTGTGCAAAGTGCAGATTTAAGAAATCGCAGTATCAGAGGAAGATGCGAGAAGAACGCAAATCTAGTAGTGGCACAGGAGGGGGGAACAGAGAAACGGAGGCTGCGCATCGTCAGCAGCAGAGTTTCATTGAATTAGTTTGTAGCCCGCCAGACTCTACCGAGCATGATGTCGAAGCTGCGAAAATCTTAATGCAGATGAGCAAGCCGCGATACAACCTGAGATCATTGGCTAAGTAAGGTGTAATTAATTAGAGCATGTTCTTCTTAATTGATATTTGTTGTTAAAGATATTTAAACTTGTGACTGCGAGTATTTTAGCTGCTCGTTAGAGACGGATGTCTAAGGTACGAGGTATACAGCAAGACTCTCTATTGTTGATAGAGATCTGCGGTATTATTGTTACGTAACGAAGTCACGTAATAGACCGACCGGGGCCTACCCCACCATGTATTTAGACCGTAGTTCTTTAGGTAGCCCGAGGGGCCTGGGAGTTAGTTAGTTTATATTATTAGATTGGTCCTATTTAGATCCTATTTTGCGTAGATCGTAACCTCTACGCCCTACGCGCCTTTAGATTAAATGTTTTTAACCTATTATATAGTAGCTAACGATTGTTTTAATATTTTTAGACCTTAAAATAATTAAAATACGATAAGTTTTTTTAAAGTTTCGTTAACCTAACCAATCTTAGTTATTTTAATAATTTCCTAATTAAAGCTATTTAATAGTATATATAAATAAACCTTATAGGATAAGCTTTTTATATTTCTATTAAATATATTTAATTTAATAGATTATTATTAAATTAAGTAGGGTATAGTTTAATTAAAGTATTTTTAACCATTAATTATAATTATAGGTAATATTTATAGAAGTTATTAAAGATTTTTAAAAGTAATATTTAAGTTTTTATTAATAACCTAACTTTAATTTATTTATAATTATTATTTATTATAGGACCTAAATAAAAGTAAAAGCAACTATAAAATATTTAAAGATGCTTTATTAAAATATTATTAGGTATAAATAAATAATTAAAAATATTAATATATAAATTATTTAAAATAAATAACTTTTAAACGATAAGTAATAAATTAATAATAGCTTTTATATTAGTATAGCTAATATAATTATTAAATAAATATTATATTAAAATATTATAGTAAATTTAAATGTTATTATTAAACTATATTTAAACTTTAATTATAAAGGATATTTAAATAAAAGGGGGAAGTTTCCCCCTATAATAAAAATAGGTAATATATTAATTTAATAAAGATAAAGTAATTATATTTACCGTTTATTTAAATAAATAAATTCCCCTTCTTTAAATAAAGCAAAAAACATCCCTAATAATAGTTATAATTAATATTAAATATATTAAATATAAGCTTTTTACTTATATAGTAAAAATATTACCCTTTTATATTAAAATACCTATTAACCCCTTATAAATTAAATAACCTTTAATACTATAACTTTTATTACCTTATTATTTTTCTTTTAAACCTTATTTAAATAAATAAAATTTAAATAATTAACTTTAAATTTTATATCTTTAATATATTTAATAATATATTTAACTATCCTTTAAATTAATTTATTTAATTTATTTATTTATAAATTGTTAGAATTATATTAACCTTTTTATTAGCTTAATTTATAAATTAGGGCAATTAAATATAAAAGTAATAGAAAATCTTTCTATTTATATTCCTATTTATAATCCTTTATTAAAACCCCTTCCTATAAAATAAGTAAAAACCTTTAATTAACTTAAGTAAAGTAAGCTTATTAAGCTTATATTAATACCTTTAACCTTTAATTAATTTAAATAAAATAGGTTTATTAATTTAACCAATTTATTAATTATTTTTATAACCTTTAAATCTGCTATTAATCTACTATAAGTACGATTTAACCATTATCGGTAATTAGCTTAATTATATTCCTTTATTTATTAAGGATTTTAATATTCCTTTTAAAAAAGTAATAAATTAAATAAATTAAACATTTTATCCCTTCTATTTCTATTTTTAACTTACCTTTAAAAGGTTAAAATAATAAATTAAAATAATAGGAAAGGCCCCTTTTATTATTAAAATAAAAAACCTATATATATATTACGTTTAAATCTTTAATATAACTTAGGAGGGGATATTTATAATGTTTAATTGGACTAAAGCTTAGGAGGAAATGTTTAATCCAAAGGATTAAATAAGCCTATTTTAAACCTTAAACCTATTATTCCAAACCCGCTATACTATACTTCCCCCCTTTATCCTTAATATATATATTTTAACAAAGTTAAAAATATAGCTACTTTAATAAAAATATTTAATAATATAAGTTTAAGTGCCTATTTAAAATTATAATAGTAAATATTTAAAGAAATATAGAAATATTATTAAGGAGTTTTAATTAACTTTAAATATATTAATTAAAAAATATATTAGCTATAAGCTTATTAATATATTATAATAATAATATAATTAAGTTCCCGCTTTTAATAGTTTTTAAATTATTTTAACTTTAAAATTATTACTATTTTACCCCCTTTAATGCTATATATTCGATAAGATTTTACTATTTAATAAGATTTTACTTTACCGGTATATCTAATAGCCCCCCTTTTTTAACTATAGCTAACTTTTAATAGCTTCCTATAAGGATTAAATTATTTAATATATAGCTTAATATTTATATACCTATTAATATTTTAATAATATACTTTAAAGAACCCCTTTATTTAAAATTAACTATTACCTTAATAACCATTTACTTAATAATACTTTTTAGGAAACCCTTTTATTTAAACCTATTAAGTAGCTTTATAATAATATAATTCCTTTATTATAGTAAACGTTTTCGTTCCCCTTTATTAGCTTTAAGGGCTATAGTTTTAAGATATATAAATTAATCCTAATATAATGGGTATCTTTATAATTAACCTATAAAACCTATAAATTTATAATTTTAATAATATTAATTAGCTTTAATAAATAACTAATATATAAAGCTTTATTTTTAATAAATTTAAGCTTAAAATGTTTATATATTATAACTTTATTCTTATTATATAATTTATTAATAAATTTAAATATTTTAAAGCTATTTAGGAAAAATAAGCAGTACTTTAAAATTTAGAAGTTAGAATTATACTTAATTTAACCTTTATAGGAATTAAATAGTTTAAAGGCTTTATTTAAACGGTTAAATAAAATATCTTATAAAGCTTTAATAAAGTAAAGAAATTATTTTATAAAAGATTTTAAAAGGATAGATTAAAAATTATAAAGTTAATAAATATTAAAAAGTATTCTTTTATTAATAAATTTAAAAAACTAGTAAATTAATATATTAATAATAAGGTTTAATATTATTAAAAAATAGGTAAAGTTAATAAGGATTATATTATTTATTAAGTTTTTAATAATTTTAATAATTAATTTAAACTTTTAATTTAATTAAAGCAATTTAATAATATAATTATAAACCTTTAAAATTAGGTTAATATAAATAAATATATAGCCTTAAAATAATAAAAAAAGGAAAATAAAGTTTAAAAGGCTTATAATAAATATATTCGAAAATTTAAAACTATTATTAAAAAACCTAATAATAATTATAATTTTAAACTATTAATAAATAAGGTTAACTAGTTTATCCCTTACCTTTTATTACCTTTAATAAATATTATTATAGTTAATAAGGATTTTTTTAAAGGAATGGTAAATCTTTTTCGCTCCTTATAAAATATTAATATATATAATTAAAATGCTCTTAACTAAAAATTTATAAGTAGTAAAAATCCTAATAAACCATTTAATAATAATAAAATAACTAAAATAGAGAATAAACTTATAGGTATTAATTATTAAGGCTAATCTTTTAGTAGGGGTCTTTTCCGGTTAGGCGGAGGTAAAGGTAGCTATTAGAACTTTAATAACCATAGTACTTAAAATAGTTATAAATAAAATAATACACCTAAAGTAGCCTAATCCTTTATATTAGCTAAATTTAACGTTTAATTTAACTAAGATTTTAAGGAATTTTATATTTAACTATATATTTTAAAATAAATATAATAATTTAAGCTATAATTTAATAAATACTTTAATAAAAAAAAGGATAATAGTAATAACGCTATTACTCCTAATCTAAAAAACAAATAGCATAAACGTTTACGGGGGATATTTTACCAGCTTTAAATAAACCTTTAAAACCCCTAACTCCTTATATCCTATATATTATAAATATTAAAATAACCAACTATTATTATTATATTACCTTACCTATCAATTTTATTAAGTAAACTAATATTATTAAAAAAATAGAAAATAATTTATTATTAATTAAAGGAAACCCTTTAATATATATTAATATTAATTTTAATTCTTTTATATTAAATATATTACTTTAATTTATAATAAACTTTAATAAAATTAATTATTATAAGCTTATAGTAAAAAAGGATTATAATAAAACGCTACTTATAAATAATTTTAAAAAGTATAAGCTTTAAAAAACTATAAGTTAACCGGGTATACTACCCCTAGTAATAATAAATAAAGCATTTAACTAATTTGAAATTCGGGGTAATATGCTTAAATATATAAAGAAGATTAAAACTACCTTTTCCTTTTTCCTTTAAGGTTAAAAGTTTAAATAAAAAATATTTTTTTATATTAAAATATTAATCCATTCTTTAATAGTTATAGTTAAAGCTTATATTAATTTATACTCCTTATTATTTATTATTTTAAAAGTATATATAAATAAATTTTACCTAATAAATAACATTTTAATATTATTAATAGGTTTTTACCTTTCCAGCATTAATAGCGGATTATAGGTATTTAAATATATTAACTTATTTATAATTATATTTAATATTAATAAAAACCTATAAAAGGTAATTAAACGTTTTTATATTATTAATAAATTAAGCTATAGGATAATACTTAAAGTTATATTTTTAAATATACATTAGTTATATATATATTAAGGTAATAAAGCTTAAAATAATAAACTATATATTAAAAATATAAACCGTTATATTATTATATCTTTTTAAAACCGCTTAAAACTATAAAAAAAAAGAAATACGCTTATCTTTACGCTATAATAAATATTATTATTAAATTAAGCAATAGAATAACTATACCTATTATATACCTTAATATATTAGTTATTATAAATGGGTATTTTATATCCCCTTAACCTATTATAAACCTTATATATTATAAATATAGGGCGTTTATAAATATAATTATTAATAGTTAAGATAAGGTATATTATTTTATTAATTTAAAAAATATTT